TACTAAAGACGAATACGCGATAATAGCTCATACATATAATGCTATAATGAATGCGCCACCAGCAGTCCAAGACTGGTTTAAGAAGACAGACAACAGAGCAATGGACCTTTCGATTCTGATGGGTGTAGGGAGAAACACTTGTGTGGCAGCAATTAAATATGCACAAACAGGCATCGTCGAAATGACAGGGCGAGGAAGAACTGGACGCCCTAAAAAAGAAGCGGACAAGGATTTAAACTCGAAGGTGCTGAATATCATAGTTGAATCAAACAAGAGCGGGACTCCTAATTCTGCGGGTTTAATTGCAAACCAACTGAAAGAAGACTTTGAAATCGACAGATCAGCAAGATCAATCACTCGCGACCTCCGTAAAATGGGACTGTATTGGGGCAAAGGGATCCGACAGAACTTTTTGCACGACTCCAAGGAGAATATTGCCTTCCGAGCTACTTACCTGAAGCGCCGTCTTAAGAATTTAAAACTAGTAGACGGCAGTTGGGTGCCTAGGACTCCAGAGGTCTTCTTGGACGAGTCTTACTGCCACATTGACCATGCTGCAGCAAGACGTTGGGTGCAAAGTGGCGGTGGTGTCATTAACGATGCAGGAAGGAAATCAATCATGGTTATATTTGCAGCCTTCATTGTATATTATGATGAAGCTGCTAAAAAGGTTGAAGGCAAATTCGTTAATGATAGCGTGTATGTTTGGCCATCAAAGGGACCAAAGCCTCAATCAAAAAAAGGCCAAGAGCAGGAGGCTGAACTGTGGGATGACGTACCTGAGGAGATCAGGAATGCAGGGGTCGTGGCAACAGATCACGATTATCATGGAAACTTCAACGCTAGTTTGTTCGATAGTATCTTTAAGCGACTTTGTGAGAATCTCAATAAGATGGGACTTGGCCCTTGTAAAATCCATCTTGATGGCGCTTCATATCACTTTCACAAGAAAAACAGGGAACCAACCAAGAGCGACACTGTGAAAACTATCAAAGAGTGGCTCACGGGCAAGGAGATTGTTATTCCAACAAGGGAAAATGGAAAAGCACTGAACAAAAACGAGCTTATGGAATTGGTTAACGCTCTTCCTGATGAGTCGTATTTCTCTATCAGTAAAATAGCCCAGGAGAATGGTGGACATGAAATCCTCAAGACTCCACCCTACCATTGCGAGCTACAACCTATTGAGAAGATCTGGGCAGTTGTGAAAAACATAATTGCCTCGAGAGCAATGGTGACAATGACATCCATCTTGCTGAAAAAAGGCTACTAAGCTTGTTTTCCCAGATTCCGTGTAAAGTCTTTTACTCTGTATGGAAGAAGTCTGTGAAAATTGGCATGAGATACTATAACGAGAGGAGTCATGCACAGGAAGAAATAGTCGAAGAGGTTTATCAAGAGGTTTTTGATGAAAACGAGCCTATTGTGGACCTTAGTGACACTTTCAAAGTCGACAATAGTGAGTGGGATGCAGAACTCATTAGAGTACTAAATCAAGAGCGAGCTGAAGCTGTTACCCTAGGCCCTGAGATAGTGGATCTTACGCTAGATGCTGGAAGCATGTTTAATGTGATAGAGGATAGCGAGTCTGAGGACGAGCCTCTTATCAATCGAAAACGCTCTCGTAAAAATTAAAATTTTGAGTTTGTACGTATTTTTCCTGCGTCTAAAAGTGGAAGTATTCTATTCAATTTAAAAGCCTGAAAAATATATCCAGTTTATGACTTTTTGGCGAGGACTCTATATCATATAATAGAGCAAAGATCTATGAAACGAGTTATTACGATAAGGGAGAAACCATTTCGACTTTAGTATATAGATAAAGAGATTTGAAGGAATATGGCTTTCAACTCATCTCTCTCTTTCACACACGCCTTGTCACGTATAACACAGCCTTTTAGCTCTCCTATTACATACGACCATTGCCATAAAGGAAGGTCTTTTTTTTTTTTTTTTTTTTTTTTTTTTTTTTAAAAGTCACATTTTGTCTGCCATGAATGCTTTGATACCGACCGAGGCGGCAGGCATGGGCAGCACGCAACTCGGCGCTTCGAAGCGAGGATAGATTGCTTATCACCGCCAGAATTCCAGAGAGAACCGAAGACGATATCAAGGCCTATGTCGATACTCAGAGTTGTCGTCGAGTATTCTTAAATGACTTTTTCAGCATTGTTCACAGAGATGTTGAGAACTGCTGTGGCAATTGTGATCCCAAAATGCAGGAGCGTCCACCACTACTGGAGACCAGAGATGGTTGACGCAGAATCCAGCAGAGCGACTAACCGACATAGGGCCTGGGAGGTGGCAGCAGGAAAATAGGTACAAGAAACTACTGCATGGAGAGACAGTGCGTTCAACAACGAGTTCAGGGGCCAATACTCATTATTTGACGAAGATATTGTCATGAAGAATGACATGGCCGAGCTTGCTATCAAGGGTGCTGGCATTGTGGTGCCAGAGCCGATTCTCTCTGCTATCCGTTGTCAGTTTCCTAAAATTGAATACCCACCAGCTCTGTGCAAAATTATAATAGCTTTGAACAGAGCCATCATTTCGACAAGGTAGCGAAAAAGTGGTCGTTTATCACCCGAGGAAGAAGATTCCTAATCACTACAATGGCTAATTAAGCACTAGAACCAGGCTCGGCCCTTTGGTTGTTTGACGGCAAAGTATGTGTAGCCACTTCAGCGCTTTTGAATCTACTATTAGAGAATCTTCCAGTGCAAGCTCAGCTTTAAATGCCATCACTATAAGGACTACTGTATCTCTCAGAATTACCATTGCATTCCCCGGAGTCACAGGAGCCACCGCTGGCTTATGAGACGTTACCCCAAAGGGTAGAGCTGCGTCGTCGGGCTGTGCAAAAATGTAGGGATATGGCTGCGGAAGGAGTGAAAGAGGCCTTATGGTAGTGGAAAAAGTGAAGCTGCGAAGCCAACATCTCTCTAATAGTTTGGAAGAGAATGAAGCATTGCGGACAGGGGAAAAACCTTTTGCACAAGGGCCACTGGAGTGCTGACTGTTCTCATTCAGGTAAAGAACCCTCCACAACGCTTACCACTAGTAGCACATAGATTATTAAAGCTTCCTTCTTTTGCACAAGAACCGTTGGGGCACTGGCTGTTCTCGTTCAGTCTTTTGTATTGTGTTGTTATTTATTTGCGTTCAAGAAGCATTTTGTCTATCTGTCGCTGGGAATGACTTCACAAACCACCAAAAAGGCCAAGTTTCTCTATTCAATTAGCCCTAAATTTCCCAACAGTGTTAATCCTGAGAAAAAAAAGGGTGTGTTGCAATGCGCTTGCCATACATGATGTTGTTGTCGAAGTTGAACCGCGTTTGACGGAACAAATTGTTACGAAGATCTTCCCCAGCACCCTTTTTGGATCATATGTGCGGCTGAGTGTGAGGTCCGGAAAAGGGGTTATCGCTATCATCGCCAGCGCATTCCATAGGTTCATCCCAATCATCAGCTGGCTGACACTATTAAATCATTGGTAGACGATATTGAACAGCCTGTTTTCTGGAAGAGCCACGTTTACATCGGCATGTGGACCATCAGCCACAGAACGCCCACTCTCTTCAAAAGGAGAAAGAGAAGGGATAGGAAAAGGTTAAGGGCACCGCAAAATAGAGTTCGCGCCATCACTAGGAGACGCCGGCAATATTGTTTCTAAGGGGGCTGACTGCAAGCCAAGCGCACTCGACTCATAAAAAACTTTCATACTTTGACTGAGCTACGATGCTTGGGCAAAGTCCTTGGATGGTATGAACCCCATCAAGGTGGTTCCAAAAATGCCCCATCGAGAGGCTGTTGGTGTACCAGTCTTGGATCTGGCAGAGGTAGTGGCAAAGCTGGGCTACGGCCGGGAACGAACGACTGTTGGGTTGAAGTAGGAGTGGCAACAGCTGTTCACCGACAGATAAATCAGTGTTTTTTTTTTTTTTTTTTTTTTTTTTTTTTTTTGGATTTAAGCTCATGTCAGCTTTGAAAAAGAAAAGGGGAAGAGGAAAAGGGACCTGCATAGCCTTTGGCATAGGCTCCGAAAAGCCGGTGCGGTATCTTTCCATACGCCTGCACCTGATGGTTAGACCAGTGTCCATATTCGGCGGAAGAGTTAGGTGTAGAGCCATCTAAACAATTTCTTTAGTATAAACTGCCCTGGGAACTGAATAAAATATTAAGGAATGGCCATTACACTGCTGATTGGGAACAAAAATGATCAGCATGCTCTAGGACTTATTTAATAGCCTCACTAGCTCTTATAAACACTTTAGACACCAACGTACCTCTCTCCGCTTCACTTTGTCACGTCTCCTCACCATGTGGAGAGGAAAAGGAAATAATATTGTGAACTTCCAGGACCGGAAATATTGTTTGACATCACAGTAAAGCGAGCTTTGATAGAGGGTGATATACTTGATGCGTAGCCAACGCACTATTGCCATCTCGATCAACCTTACTCTTTTCTTCCTCAGTGGGTGCTATAGGGTAAATAGTGACCATATTGTGCCTAGTCCAATTTATTTGCAGTACTACTACTGCATTATTCCGCCATAAATGTCTAAGGCTATCAATCCTCTATGGAGATTTAAATGACACACATAACGGACCTAAGAGTGAATCGTGGCATGCTGCAAAAGGTGTGCGTATTTTAGGTCTATGAATGGATTTGTATCTTTGAAATATGTTTAATACCACCTCTATTATCTGAAAAGAGAGCGAAGGCACACTATTTCAGTCGCCTGTGCTACCGCAGCACTATGTCGATATTTGTTCCTGGTGAAGAGTCTTTTGGTATTAAGAGAGTCCACCTAATCTACGGTCAAGGTTGCATACAACCACATGCATCTTGATGCAGGTAGTTGCTTGCGTGCATTGTAAGGCGTATTTTATCTTGCCATCCTGTTGTAACGCCTTCAAATTATGTGCATATATTCTGAACACTAGAAGTTCATCCCAGTGTTGCCGGCCGCTTTTCGATTAAGCAATGGGTAGTATGCGAGCAATTGCCTCAGGTAACTTCACAGAAGTGCCTTTTTCAAAAGGCCCAGTGGGAAGCAAGGGAAATAGTGGGGGGGATAGCGTGGGAAGCAGCAGGAAAGGTAACAGAAGAAAAAGCAGTGGGGTCAGCAAAAGAGATAGCAGAGAAGGCGATAGAGAAGACGGTCATGAAGCCAAGGAGCAAATCCTAATATTGATTCCCTATTAATGTGTATTGAGCGTTGGAGAAAACAATCGCAGAGCGACGTTAGCAGAGTGTATGGTCTTCAGAACATGTATCAGGACATTGCTGAAGTCGATAGTATGAGGTTTGAGAAGGAGCTTGCCAAGTTGGAGTGCACCTCTGCGACGTTCATTCATAAGATCCGATCTGGCGAAGAACTACTGCTGACACGGACTCAACTAGCAGACTTCAAGAGGTTCCTAGCCATCATGACATACAGGAGCGAGCGCCGGAGGGAACAGTATTACGAGTGTCGATTTGATATTATGACACTTCTATCGATTCGAAAACACATGTCCCAAAACAATATTGACAGAGTTCAAGACGTATGGTTCGAGAATCTCAAATGAATCATCAAGACCCCTCACGACGAAATCATTAAGGAGAGCTCAGCTATCGATCCGAAAGGCGTCAAGACTCCCATGGATACTATGTTTGCTTTGAGCAAATATAAAGGACCTATTTACGTTGCAGAACTTATGGACTATTATAACTTAGTGTGCAACTACGTGTGTGTCTGGCAAGCGGAAGAAGGGCCTGAATTTATCCTAACCGACAAGTGCTCTGTTGGGTTCGAAGGTGAGGATGCTATCCACTTCCAAAGCTTCTATGTTGTGTCTCCGAAATATATGGTCGTTCTTGTGAACCGTCTTTACATGTGGGACCTTATGAAGACCGTGGGTCTCCGGAAGTCGTGGTCTGGAGGCGAGCTCCATGCCAATCCAGTTGTCATTAATACGAAAAAGCTTGTGAGAGGTGCGAAAGACTTCACTCCGACAGACGTGTTCAAATTCAAAAGGATTGTCGCCCCAAAAGAGAAGGTATATCTCGGCAGCAGCTCATTTTGGGTGGAGGTACATAACATAAAAGTCCTATATCTCCATTAACAGGTCCTTAAGATGCTGCGATAAGGCTAAGGAATCTTTATATACTAACAAATTTGATTGCCGTTTCATGAAGCGCGAAACATTAGGATATGGCGACATTATATTTTATGTATTTTTAATTCCAATGCATCTTATCCTGAAGGACGCAGCTCCTACACTATGGTTAACCCGATGTAATAACAGTCTCCTGCTGAGAAGAAAGAACGGAAACATAAAAAGGCAACTATCTGTGTGGACCAATAATAGATGGAGGATGGAGGAAGAAAGAAGTCTGTAAAAGTCTTCGAGAAAAGGGATGTGCCAGAGATAACACAATAATATTTGGAGAGTTTTGACAACGTCAACAGCATTTACAGTGGACATTGGTGTTTAAAGAACACATGTTTAGTGCTATTTTACTATACCAACCCCTGCTTGTGTAGAGGATCTGTTTGCCAAGCAACCAAAAAATAAGCGGAACGATGTTTGGTTGTTGATCAATGCTTTGAGGCATGAACCACATGATAGACAGTGTTTATATTATACGAGCCGGAGACGGTGGCGAAGCCACGGTCGGCTCTTGCCTCGTTAGAAAATTTAATGCTTAGCCTCGTAAGACAACAAAAAGAAACATTGCCTACAGCAGCAAAAGGTTTATATTTTGACATAGGAATGAAGACAATAAACTCACGTAGGCCTTTGGCCTTTTACTACTGTAAAAATTATGTGTAAACTGCATGTTTTTTTTATTACAAAACTAAAATACAAAGCTAAAATACAGAACTAAAATACAGTAGATAAAACGCAATAAAGTAGAATACAAAATATACAAAATATACACAATAAAATACAGACGAAACTACAATCAAGAGGGAGAATATCTGGTAATCACAACATTTGATAGATTAACGGCGGCGAGGAGGTAACGCAGTAAATGGCAATCAAAAGACAACGTGGCTATAAAGCATCTTTGAAGACAATGTTCCGTGTGTATGTTCCTAGCCCTCATTAAGGGGACTCAAGATAGCGCGCTCAATGAGCATCTCAGGAAGGAGTCTAGCATTTTCGATATCCGGAAATATAGTACGAAAAAATTAAAAAAATTAAAAAAATAAAAAATAAAAAATAAAAAATAAAAAATAAAAAAAAAAAAGGAAATAAAGAGTGAACAAAATGTAGCTCACCTTCGCCTTTGTGTGGGTCTCTCATTTTCGATATCAAGGTCATGGTCAAAGCTTCGCTCGCGCACTGCTCCATGATTGGCTTCATTTTGGATATGGCTGCTAAATCAATGGATCAATGGACAGTAATAATCCGTTATAAAGTCAAATCGATGGCGAGGAAGAGTATGATTATATGAAATATTTAAAGTACGTAGAGCCCACCTTTCAGCACTCGGATATGTACTTCGATTATGTCCTGGGCGATTGCAAGTGCTACACATATGCGGCCTTTGAGGCTGGCTAACAATATTTGCCCTTATATATATATGATGAGAATAAAATAATAGAGGGTTAAATAAATAAAATAAAAAACAAAATAAAATAAAGATTAAATAATAACTTCTTTACCCTCTCGTGGGACCAATAACCTGCTCCAGGTGTGAAGCGGAGGGAAGGTTTGTGCGAAGCTCAACACGCTCTGTTTTTTGAGGGCAGAGCCGCCTATCATGCTTTTCACTGTTGCACAGACTACAGGTGCGGACCATGTGTTTATGAAATCTAGGTGCTGAGAGAAAAATTCAAATTGACAATATTGTAATTGTATTGGGTGAAAAAGACAGAAAAGGCCTTTGGCAGCGCTGCCTGCCTACTATATCCTCTACCACATTATCGATGGATAAGTTTTGACACTTTTATTTTATTTCACCGCCAGAAATAAAAACTGGTCAAAATGAGAATGATTTTCATTTTGACCAGTCTTTATGGATTCTCCTACAGAAAACAGAGCTCTGGCGACGTTTATTGACGATCATTTATTTTTTCCGCCCTCCACAGCTTTATATTCAGAGGCTCTACATCAAACAACAGCTCCGAAGAACATCTGGGGCAATTGATGGGTGCAGCTTCATAGTGCACATACGCTTCATTCATCTTCTCTGAAGATTGTGATTGATAAACTGGTGGCGGAGGAGTTGCGGGGGCTGGCTGCTCTAGAGAAGGACAAATACACTTATATTGAGAAGAGCAGCCGATGTTCAAGCATTCCCTGCAGCCAATCTCAGCTGCAATCCCAGTTTTTCTTGCCTTTCTTTCTTCAAGTTTTCTTTCCTCCTCTTCACTCTCACTCTTTTTCTCTTCTTTCTCCTCTTGTTCGAGTAAAGCAAGCAGGGTGTATTCGTCGATGGAGCTGTAGAACCCATCATACAACTCTTTACTGCCTGTTGGCTTTGTATTAGTTCCTCTTCAGCGTCTATGGGTCGTTCTTTGATATGTTGCACAGCCCGCCGAGCTCGTCGTGCTTGGATAATATGTTGTACACCCGATGGATTTGGTGAAGTTGTGGAACGTGTAGAACGTGTGGAGTTTGTGGAGCGTGCGGAGCGTGCGGAGCGTGTGGCAACCATTTCAAAAAATCAAATTAAAATTTAGGTTCAGAGGTGAGAGATTGAGGAAGCCAATTATCAAAGAAGCTTCATGATACATGTACATGCTTTTTTTTTTTTTTTTTTTTTGTTTCATCGTTTATTTTTGTTTCTCTTTTGTTTCATCGTATCTCGTCTTTTTAAAGTCACCTTTTTTGGCTGTCACATAATTTTTTGTAATATTTTAATATAAGAGATAATATTTTAATATAAGAGAAGAAATATAAGAGAAGAGAAGAAGAGAAGAGATAAGAGAAGAGATAAGAGAAGAGATAAGAGAAGAGATAAGAGAAGAGATAAGAGAAGAGATAAGAGAAGAGATATTTTAATATAAGAGATACCTCCAATACTGTACATTTAGACTCCCGTGTGTTTTTTAATACTGATGCACCCGTTCATCTTTCAAAACTCCGAACAATCGCAGGGCTAAAGTGAATAGAAAAATGGGTTCACAGTATATAATTCTTTGATGAATGGTCAATTGATGGGATTAACTATTGTAGAGGGAGGAGAATGGGTGCGGGAACATCATATAGGACCGTCCCTCGTCCCAACAATTATTATCAGGTCAATCTTCTTAGTGATGAAAGAATCGGGCTCTTGCTGATTATCCCCCGAAAAAAACGCACCAAAAAGTAGAAAGGGTTTCAAAAAGCAGATTTGGTGTGGAAAAAAGGCTTACGTGGACACTGCTCAGAAATAAGGATATTTCGCTGTTACTTCCATCATGCTCACTCAGCTCTTCTGCCTTTTTCTCTGTTCTTCATACGGAATCAGGACAATCATCCCTACACTTGCATTCACATCCTTTTTTTCAATTGCTTCCTCCATTACCTCTTCGAACCCATCAATCATTGTGACTGTTTTTGAAAACACGCGTTTATTTTATTTGCGCCACTGAACTTGGAATTAGTTTGACATACGTTAAGGTAATGCAGATAGTCATTTGAGAGCATAGAGGTGCTGGCGGCTTGGGGTTCATCGTTCTTACATTCGATATTGTGCGCGATGTGAGCTGACTTGGGCTCTAAACACATTTAAGACCGGCGTACTTTACTGGCGCACGCTTTTTCTTTGCCGACCTTGCTTTAAAAGCGGTGCTCAGCTTTTATTTCGATTTGTGGCACAGAATATGAAGATATTCGATGATATACTGTTATTAACCATTTCTTTCTTTTCTCTCTTTTTTTTTAGAGGATAAAACCAAATAGAAAAAAGAATCCTCCGAGATCTCACGCATTTCGATGGATTTACTATACGACACCCAAAAGTTGCAAGCTTTACTGAAGAAGGACCAGGATATCAACTTGAGGAATGGCAAGGTGGACACCTTTAAGAGGGATGGATACCAGTCTGTTAGTCTGTACACCAAAAGGCTTGTAGAAATGTGTTCGTACGAATTTCAGATCGAAGCAGCAAAGGCGCTGTTTGGCAAGATTCCAGACGACCGCAAGCACTGCCGTCTCGAACGCGTAAAAAATAAAGCCTATCGAGGCTTCACCGATGGCGAATTAAATGAAGACGATGGGGAACTTAATGAAGACAGTGACGATGGGGAACTTAATGAAGATAGTGGCGATGCTGACAGACCTAACGTAGAGGGCTGGATCCTTGTTGAAGAGCCAGAGATATACAACCACAACGACATTGTCGTAGCTGTAATCACTAAGAGCTTTGGCGATGAAACAGGCTCCAAGCGATACATCGGCTGCTTGGAGCACATCTACAGGGACTGGCAAACTGGATCGAATGAATATACTTTTACATTTGACGCGAAAATATCATCTTCCAAGGAAATTGACGTGCTGATGTGGACGATTGGGAACCTTACAACCTACGAGCGTATTATGAATAGTCTCTCTAATGTGGATAAGATGAGCTGCATACCAAAGGTGCTTCTGAGAGGCCCTGCAACAGGCATTAGCTCCCTTATAGACGATACTCAACACACACAAACTGATGTACCCGAGTCGATGAACACAGCGCAGAAGGTTGCGATAACAAGGGCAACCCAGGGAGGCCCGCAGGATGTGGTGCTGGTTCAGGGCCCTCCTGGATGTGGTAAATCGACGGTAATCGTCGAAATGGTGCGTTTACTCACCCCCCGTGTCCAGTCTAGCGCGAGAGTGCAGGTCCTGGTGTGTGCACAGACGAATGTTGCTGTGGTGGATCTTGCCTACAAGTATATCACCACTAACGAGCCTAAAAGCAAGTTTGAGTATGTTATGGTTATGAGACCACCCAAGATCATCGATAGCCACAAGAGAACAGTGCTCGAGCCATTTACAGTTACCGCTCGATATCACCAAGTTGTCAATGCTGTGTTGCACACCATCATACGCGTCTTTGGGTACACCCCCTTCGCATGTCATGGGAGCTCGGCAAGAGATGAAGTTAAGAGTATTGTAGCCACCGATTTCACGAGCTTTGTGGAAAGTGGTTTAATCAAGCTACTGCCTATGCGCGCCCGCGAATTCCTTTCTGGGCTGCCGTCTGCCGATTCGGCCCAGATGAAGCCTCTGATTTTTGGAATGCGCAACGAACTAGGGCCCTTTTTTAGGCGCGTTGACTTCAAATCATTGCTCGAACTGTGCGGTACTGGCCAGGGTACTGACATTCCACGCTCTAAACCCTTACCCATTTATGGATGGCTGAAACAAGCTCTTCTTCGTGCAGCTTCGGTCGCGTTTTGCACAATTAATGTTGGGATATCGGCGACTTTTTGGGGAACCATGACCAACCTAAAGTATATCGTTGTCGACGAGGCAGCGCAGGCACTAGAGCCGGATGTGACTGCACTAATGTGCGTTGATTCGAGCTTTAGTCGCCTAATTTTGGTTGGAGATCCAATGCAGCTCCCAGGATATTGTACATCCAACCAAGGCAAGCGTGAGATGATGGACCGCAGCCTCATGGAGCGTCTCCAGACATACCGGCTGTGCCATTCGACACTCCTCGATGTACAGTATCGCATGCATCAAGACATCTGTGCTTTCGTGTCCCGAACCTTCTACGATAACAGATTGACCTCCGACAAATCGATCCACGACAGGAACCCTGTTACAACACTACCAGCAGTTATGCACGTTATGTTCCTGGGATCCCAGGCAAGCCAGTCGAGAATCACGACAACGAGCGTGGTGAATATCGACGAGGCTAGATACATTGTTGCCCATGTATTCAGTGTGCTGTTGTCGTCCAGGCAAAAGCAAGCTCCTTTGACTAATCCTGTGACTAAATCAAGCACGTTTGATAAGATGGCGGTGACACTTCCGCAAAAGGTAGAGGCGCGACAGCCTGCAGAGGCCCCCACGACCACCATTGGGATCATATGTATCTACAAGCCGCAAGCCAACGTTATACAGTATCTAGTCGACAGAATGCTGTCCCAAGGAGCCTATAAAGGACTTGGATTTAACATAGTCGTTAACACTATAGATTCATTCCAGGGGCAGGAGTGCGACATTATCTATGTGGCACTTACAAGAACTACACAAGTTAACGATTTTATGGGCGATCCTAACCGTGTTAACGTCGCAATTTCGAGAGCTCGGCATCATCTAATTGTAGTGGGAGACGTGAGTCTTTCGCTAACAGACAAACAAGGCGCATCATTATCTTACTGGCATAGCCTGTGTGTGGACAAGAGCTCAATGATTATCGAACAAAAGTACATCAAGAACGTACCTCCGTACGAAGGACCAGAGAGTGTTACTACTATGAGGACTGCGGCAATGCCAGCAGCGCCGGCCACAATCAAAAAGCTCATAGCTAGGGGACTGAATGCCACAACTTCTATTTGGACCATCCACTACGAGAGACTTATGATAGACCCGAAAACTCCGCAAGGAATCCATATACTCGAATATGTCGTGCAAGCACTAGCCAGTGGAGATTTTGACACGGGCAATGGTGGTAGAACAACAAGGCCTTTATTCCGCAGCAAACAAAAGGGGGCAGCTCTATTTTTCGTTACCAGAGTGTGTGATAAAGTGTGCCTTGCGTGGACCGTGATAGTGCACAGGCAGCGTCAGGCCATTGAACTCTTTGGCATTGGAGACAAAACATTCGTCGAGAAGAAGGTTTGGCCATCGCTCCGTCGCGACAACGAAAGACAACCGGAATGGGAGCTCTCTGCGTCTATGAGCCTGTGGTCGTCCGGTACAAGCGTAGACCTCTCCAAGGATATGCCAAAAAGTACGTCGCTGCTCTATGTACCCGCAGATATAGATCCTCCTGCCACCGATGTATTGGCAGATGTATCAGAAAATGGTCGTATGATCGATCACGGCCATATTAAAGCCATGGCGTCCATGAGGTCCAGACCCATTATGATCCTTGGAGGTGGGGGTACTGGCAAGACGGAGTGCATGTTGGGTATGATCGAGCAGCAACTGGACATGGATGCAGACTTTGACAACATGCAGCTTTATTTAGGAGCAACAGATTCGTTAGCCAACTGGTCGTCAATGAGGCTATTAAAACGGGAGAGTATAACGGAACAGGGCTTTAAGATGGTATCGTTCACCAGTCTTCCATCTCTACTCACAAAGCTCTACATACACGGGAAGCTTTTTGTGGATCGAGACGTCTTTAGGTCCGAATACATGGATGCCATGCCTGCAATGGTCCGCAGTATTGGCGCCGATGAGCTCTACGATGCTATCCTCGCACGCATGGATATAGAGGCACAAAACAGTACTAGGTCTAGGTTCCTTAGGTCAGAGCACAAGACAGCGCACAAGGTGTACAAATCGATCAAAGCATTGCGTGGCCACATCGACGCTTACGACCTTCACGCATTCGTTAAGCGAGACCCGCAACGAGTAGTGGCCATGGCATCGAAGATTGCACGCATCTACTTAGATGAGGTCCAGGATATATCGTGGACAATGTGGTCCGTAATTGAGATAATGCTGTCTGCAGGCACCTCAAGCGTGGTGTGTGCTGGTGATTTTACACAACGACTTACACCAGGGATTCCGGTTAATGGCATAAAGACGCTTATTTATAAACACATCCCAAAGAGTATGAAAACCATTGGATTTAAGAAAAATTATCGATCGGACCCTAGCATTATATCGCTCGCCAATCGTATTCAATCGTACACACGCATGAGGGAACATGCAATGGAACCGTCCCTCTACCCTCAGGAAAGCAGCAACTCCGTGAGACTGGTAGAGATACAGGACATTAAGCATGAAAATGTAGCCGATGTGTTGCGCTATATCGGAGTACCATCCAACAACTACAAAGCTGCGATCATCACATCGTCGTCATGGGCACATCGGCTTCGTGAGTCTTTGGGTAAATCTCACAATGTCTTTAGTGCTTACGAATGCAAGGGCCTCGAGTTCGACCTTGTTGTGTGTTGGGATCTCTTCAACCCAAGCATGGATGTAAAAACATCGACTCTAAGGCGTAACATGGGGACTGCCGCGTTGGATAGAGGCAATATTGAGGGAGATGAGAACTTCGAGATATACTTGAACCACCTTTACGTAACCGTTACAAGGGCACGCAAGCATCTTATAATGGTCGTCCCATCGTGTGATAGAACCAGTATTATGATCAGGGCACTCGGGATTAACGATGTCGTCCATTACAGCGAGGTCCAGGAGCGTGGGCCTCTGCCTGAAATCACCCTTCTAGTTGACGAGCTCAGCGTGTCTGACGACGATCTAAGAATGGCGATTGTAATGAGAGAGAGAGGATTGCTCCAGCAGGCCCTCAACGTCTTTGAGCAGCACGGCAACGCCGCACAAGCAGGATTTACGAGAGCTCTAATCCACCGAAAAGAGCACAGGCTTCGCGGGGAAGATCGGGAGATCCAGCTTTGTATTTCTGAGTGTTACGGTGTAATCGAGGTATTGCAACAGTCGACGGATAGTGTTCTCAAAATCGAGGATGTAAAGATATTCCTTACCCAGGCACTGGTCGCTGATAAGCAGTATGCTGAAGCATGTCTGCTTTACAAGGAATTGGAGATGGAAGATGAGCTGGTCGCGTGTCTAATCGAGGCAGTCGAATCAAAGTCTGGAGATGTGGTGCGGCTGCGAGATCTAATACGCGAAAAAGCTATAGATATCTCAGAGCATTTCAAGGACAACAAGAGATACGCAAAATTTGTTGTTGCGTTAATGCTTGTATTTAAATCCTCGTCTGTAGATATAGTTCAGTCGATGATCACGCACATTCCATTCAAGACAGGCCTTACTATGATGCATAACTCCCTGGTAGAAGTCAATGAAAGCATATACCCTATATGGGAAGTATTCCGAAGAAGGAAGTCGCTGCAGTCAAAAGAACTGACATTCTTAGAATGGAGCTTATTGCGACGCCTGGATGGCCAATACGCCAACGAAGACTTGGTTTACATTACATCTACTGGTTGCTTGTCAGAATCCCAGTCGCCGATGGCGTGTCTATTCGTCGGGCCTAGAAACAACAAGACTACAAATACCTTATCGCTTCATATCCAATCGGGTGCTATGCTAAAGTCGTGTCGATCGCTGGAAGTGCCCTTGAGGCATGCGGCAACGAAGATGAGAGAACTCTCGTGCCCTCTGACAGATTTTATGGCACTCCATTACCAACTAAGCGGAGAAGAGGCAATGTACCTGCTTGTCGAGGCGTACAAGATGCATAAGCTGGAGATGAGGGGTAGCGAGCATCAACTCGCGCTCTTTAGATGGTGTGCTAAGATGTGTGGAGGTATGAACATCATCGAGATGATCTGCACCACGCTTAGGGAGGATAAAGGGATGCTGACCGCCATCTACAATCCAGGCAACACTTCAAACGCAACACAGAAAGCACTCCTTCGTGTGTTAGACGAGAGAGATTTATAGGTACGTTAGGCTAGGTTTATCTGATTTCGGATCCATCGAGCATTATATATCATAGGTGATCCACATCCTTTTAAAATAAAACACTTTGATTTTATCTTGACCATGGTTTGGTATTTGGTATAAATGTGGCATTGTGAAGATCTCGAGTTTTATTTCAAGTTTCTTTTTTTTTTTTTTTTTTTTTTTTTTTTTTTCAACATGCTGAAGATGTGTTGTCTGCTAGAGATTTGGTTATTTTGGGCTGTAGAATTCTATTACGTTGCCTAAGATCATATGCGTGGGATTTTTTGTTTGGCCATTTGTTATTTGCTCTGCGGCTCGTGCGTAGCGGTAGCCGAAATAGCGGCATCATCTATTTCTATTAAAGTCGCAGGGATTGTAAAGCCTTCAAACCCAGCTTGATAGTTTTTTTATTCTTTTGAATAAATAGGCTTTTATCCTTCCAAAAATGACTAGAACTCAACGATGGGTCCCCTCAGCCCTTGATACATAATGTAAAAGACATCAATGAAGGGTTTTCTCAGCCCTTGATGCATAGAATAAGCAGAGCTTAATGCCAATGACAGATTTCTTCAACCATTCATATATGTACATGATATATTTGATGATACTCAAAGCCGTAATATATCTCTGTAAAATGCCTGGGGGACCATCACTTTTGAGGAGCTGTGGGATTTCATTCACATTTGTTTTTTAATTTAGAAACATTACCTGTGTCCCGCGATAGACTTGATTTTATACATTTATTATTTAGTGCTTTTTTTAGTCTACACTACACTAATATCATCGCCATGAAGTGCCAGCACGGATCGAAAATTCATCTGACGAGATATCGTAATCTTAAAGAGACCCAAAACCATACTCCTCGAGCCCCATTTCGAACGTCAACAACCCCTCCCCTCTACTTTTACCCTTCCCTTACAAAACATGATGCCGTTCAAGGCCACGGGCATACATCTTCCGGAAATAACCAATCTTGATAGTGGCTTGTTTCAACCATTTATTGTTGGAAAATTAAGGGGTAGGAATGATAGGAGATTTTGAGTCGTTTTGATGGTTTATGAAGCCGGCCACTTCCAGCTACAGATAAATGAAATAACTCTCTTAGACAATAAAAGAACAACACTACTCGAAGACTGAACGAGAACAGTCAGTACTCAAATAGCTCTTGTGTAAAAGAAGAAACAAAGAGCCAGATTTTCCTGAGCTGTTGCTCGTTAAGTAGTTGGTGGCGAACCCTCTCCACGTGACTAAAACTAAAACCAACAATATGGTCGATGGGCTCTTTCGATCATCGTTTATGAGCCTGCTCCGTCTGTGCCCTCCAAAAAGAAAAAAGAGAAAAAAAAGGGGGTTTGAAGGAATATGGCTGTTAACTCAACCCTTTCACACATGCCCTATCACAAATAATTCAGTCTGCTGGCTCTCCTATTACATAAGACCATTGCCATGAAGGATCGTAATACCAAGATTTTACTAGGTCAACATTTTTTTTTAAAGTCACATAAACTGCAGAGAAATATATTTTTTTGTTTCTCATGAATGCTTTGATACCGACCGAGGCGGCAGGCATGGGTAGCACGTAACCCGGCGCTTCGAGGCAAGGGTAGATTGCTTACCACCACCAGAGTTCCAGAGAAGACCTGAGACGATATCAAGGCCTATATCGATACTCAGAGTTGCCGTCGAGTATTCTTAAATGACTTTTTCGGCAATATTCACAGAGATAGCAGAGAAGGCGATAAAGAAGGCGGTCATAAAACCAAGGAGCAAAATCCCATCAGTGATTTCCCTATTTATATGCCCTATTAATGTGTATCGAGCGTTGGAGAAAACAATCGCAAAGAGCGACGTTAGCAGAGTGTATGGTCTTCAGAACATGTATCAGGACATTGCTGAAGTGGATGACAATATGAGGTTTGAGAGGGAGCTTGCCGGGTTTGAGTGCACCTTTGCGGACGTTTATTCATAAGATCCGATTTGGCAGAGAACTACTGCTGACGTGGACTCAACTAGTAGATTTCAAGAGGTTCCTAGCCATCATGACATACAGGAGCGAGCGCCGGAGGGAACAGTATTACGAGTGTCGATTTGACACTTCTATCGATTCGAAAACACATGTCCCAAAACAATATTGACAGAGTTCAAGACGTATGGTTCGAGAATCTCAAATGGATCATCAAGACCCCTTACGACGAAATCATTAAGGAGAGCTCAGCTATCGAGCCAAAAGTATCAAGACTCCCATGGATACTATGTTTGCTTTGAGCAAATATAAAGGACCTATTCATGTCCCAGAACTTATAGGCTATTACCACCTAGTGTGGAACTACGTGTTTGTTTGGCAAGTGGAAGAAGACTCTAACTGACAAGTGCTTTGGTGCGTTCGAAGATGAGAATGCTATTCACTTCCACAACTTCTATGTTGTGTCTCCGAAATATATAGTCATCCTTGTGAACTGTCTTTACATGTGGGACCTTATAAAGACCGTGGGTCTCCGGAAGTCGTGGTCTGGAGGCGAGCTTCATGCCAATTCAGTTGTCATCTATACAAAAAAGTCTATGAGAGGCGCGGAAGACTTTACTCCAACAGACGTATTCAAATACAAAAGGATTGTCGTCCCAAAAGAGAAGGTATATCTCGGCAACAGTATCATTTTGGGTGGAGGTACATAACATACAAGTTCAATATCTCCATATACAAATCCTTAAGATATTACGATAAGGCTAAGGGATCTTTATATACTCACAAATTTGATTGCCGTTACATAAAGCGCGAAGTATTAGAATATGACGACATTTTATTTTATGTATTTTTATTTCCAATGCATCTTATCCTGATGGGTGCGGCTCCTACACTATGGCTAGCTCGATGTAATAACAGTTCCTGCTGAGAAGAAAGAACGAAAACATAAAAAGGCAACTATCTGTGTGGATCAATAATGGATGGAGGATGGAGGAAGAAAGTAGTCTGTGTAAGTCTTTGAGGAAAGGGGTGTGCCAGAAGATAACACAATAATATTTATAGGGTTTTGACAACGTCAACACCATTTACAGTGGACATTGGTGTTTAAAGAACACATGTTTAGTGCTATTTTACTATACCAACCCCTGCTTGTGTAGAGGATGTGTTTGCCAAGTAACCAAAAAATAAGCGGAGCGATGTTTGGTTGCTTTGAGGCATAAACCAAACAATAGATACTGTCATGTTTATTCTTCGATCTTTATCAACTGCTGGGATAAACTATTGTAGAGGGAGAATGGGTACAGAACATCATGTAAGACCGTTCCTTGTCCAAATAATCATCGGATCAATCTCCTTGGTGATGAAAGAGGGCTCTTGCTGATTATCCTCCGAAAGGAAAAAAAAAACATCAAGAAGTAGAAAGGATTTCCACAAACAGATTTGGTATGGAAAAAATGCTAACGTGTACGTTCCTGCGTTTGCTTGTATTCAGGTGCTATACTTTGAAATGTGCTATTTTTTTCTTTGAGCCAAGGATATGTTTTATTATATCTTTGATGCCTCTATCACCTCGCTCACTCAGCTCTTTTGTCTTTTCTCTGTTCTTCATACGGAATCAGGACAATCATCCCTACACTTGCATCGATTCACATTCTTTTTTCAATTGCTTCCTCCATTACTTCTTTGAACCATCAGTCATTGTGACTGTTTTTGAAGACGCGTTTATTTTATTTGCGCCACTGAACTTGGAATTAGTTTGACAAACGTTAAGGTAATGGTGATAGCAAATAGTCATTTGAGATGTGGGGTGAGTGTAGAGGTGTTGGCGACCCAGGGTTAATCATTTTTACATTGGACATTGTGTGCGATGTAAGTCGACCTGGGTTCTAACTGGCGCACACTTTTTCTATGTCGACCTTGCTTTAAAAGCGGCTCAACTTTATTTCGATTTATGGCACAAAATATGATGTTCGATGATGTACTGTTATTAACCATTTCTTTCTTTTCTCTCTCTTTTTTTTGGGGATAAAAACCAAATAGAAAAAAAGAACCTCCGAGGTCTTGTGCGTTTTCAATGGATTTACTATACGACACCCAAAAGTTGCGAGCTTTACTTGAGAAGGACCAGAAGATCAACTTGAGGAAAGGCACGGTAGACACGTTTAAAGAAAATGGGTATGAATCCGTTGACCTGTATACCAAAAGACTAGTAGACATGTGCTCGTACGAATTTCAGATCGAAGCAGCAAAGGCACTGTTTGGCAAGATTCCAGACGACCACGATATCCGCCAACTCAGACGCGTAAAAAATAACGCCTTTCGGGGTCCCACCGATGACGAACTGAATGAAGATGATGGAAAACCAAATGGAGACAGTGGCGAGGTTGACGGGCCTGACGCAGAGGACTGGGTTCTTACCGGGGAGCCGGAGATGTACAACTATAAAGACATTGTCATAGCTGCAATCACTAAGAGTTTTGGCGACGAGACAGACCCCGAGCGGTACATCGGTTACGTGAGCCATATTTCCAAGATCCCACAAAGCGGCCTCCGTAGATATTTTTTTACATTTGACGCGCAAATATCTTCTTCCCAAGATATTGACGTGTTAATGTGGACGATTGGAAACCTTACATCCTACGAGCGTGTTGTGAATAGCCTTTCCGATAAGGATGCGATGAGGTCGATACCAAAGCTATTTTTAAAAGCTCCTGTGACAGACATTAGCCCCCTTACAGACGATACTGTAGACATTCCAGATGGTGTGCCCGAGTCGATGAATCAATCGCAAAAAGTTGCGATATCAAGGGCAATCCAGGAAGATGGGGACAAGGTGGTGCTGATCCAGGGTCCTCCTGGATGCGGTAAATCGACGACTATCGCTGAAATGATCCATTTACTTACCTCTCATGACCGAGGTAACACAGGAATGCAGGTTCTGGCGTGTGCACAGACGAACGTTGCTGTGGCGGATCTTGCGTTTAAGTATGTTACCACTAAAAAGCCTGCCAATTTTAAGTGTGTTATGGATATGAGGCCACCCAAGATAACCGATAGCCGCAAGAGAGCTGTGCTTGAGCCATTTACAATTACCGCCCGATATCACCAAGTTGTCAATGCTGTGTTGCATACCATCATACGCGTCTTTGGGCGTACCCCCACCGCGTGTCACGGGAGCACGACAAGAAATGAAGTTAGGAGTATTGTGGCCTCCGATTTCAGGAAGTGTATGGAAAGTGGTTTAATCAAGCTACTGCCTCCGAAAGCCTGTAAGCTTCTTATGTCTATGGAGGCTGCGATCAGCGATTCTGCGCTGCCGTCTACCGATTTGACTCAGGTGAAACGTCTTGTTTCAGGAATGCGCAACGAACTAGAGCTCTTTTTTGAACCCGTCGAGCTTGAGTCGTTGCTCGAACTTTGCAGTGTTGATCAGCATACCGGCTCGTCGCCACGCTCTAAAACCATACCTATTTACGGGTGGGTGAAGCAAGCTCTTCTCGACGAAGCGTCTGTCGTATTTTGCACGATTAATATTGGGATATCGTTGACTTTTAAGAGACGCCTGGAAAGACTAGCGTATATCGTTGTCGATGAGGCAGCGCAGGCGCTAGAGCCAGATGTGGCTGCACTAATGTGTGTTGATTCGTACTTTCGCCGCCTAATTTTGGTTGGAGACCCAAAGCAGCTTCGAGGATATTGTGCGTCCAACCGAGGCAAGCGCGAGATGATGGACCGCAGCCTCATGGAGCGCCTCCAGACATACCGGCTGTGCCATTCTACACTCCTCGATGTGCAATATCGCATGCATCAAGACATCTGCAATTTCGTGTCTCGAACCTTCTACGATAACAGATTGACCTCCGATGCGTCGATTCAAAGCAGGAGAGCTGTTACAGCACTAGCACCTATTATGCACGTTATGTTCCTGGGATCTCAGATGGCACAATCGACAATCACGACAACGAGCGTGGTGAATATCGACGAGGCTAGATACATTGTTGCCCATGTATTCAAGGTGTTATTGCAATCCAGGCAGAATCAAGTCCTCTTGACTAATACTGTGACTAAGTCAATCTCTTATGCTGCCGTGACGAAAAACACAGAAAAGGTAGAGACGCGACAGCCTGTAGAGGTCGCCAAGATCACTATCGGGATCATATGTATCTACAAGGCACAGGCCAACGTTATACGCTGTCTAGTCGAGAAGTCTCAAAACGCCTATAAAGGATTTGGAGCCGAAATAGTAGTTAACACCATAGATTCGTTTCAGGGGCAGGAGTGCGACATTATCTATGTAGCGCTTACAAGGACTACACAAATTAACACTTTTATGGACAATGCTAATCGCGTTAACGTCGCAATTTCGAGAGCTCGGCACCATCTGATTGTAGTGGGAGATGCAAAACTTTCGCTGGCAGCCAAACAAGACGCCCCATCATCCTACTGGCATAGCCTGTGTATGGGCAGAAGATCCATGGTTATCGAACCAAAGTACATCAGGAGCATGCCTCAATACGATGGGCCGGAACGCGTTACTGTTATGAAGGCTGCGGTAATACAAGCAGCGCCGGCCACAATCAAAGAGATCATAGCTAAGGGACTGGCTGCCACAACTCCCATTTGGACTATCCACTACGAGAGACTCACGATAGACCCGAAAACCCCGCAAGGGATCCATATACTCGAATATGTCGTGCAAGCACTAGCCAGTGGAGATTTTGACACGGGAAATGGCGGTAGGACAACAAGACCCTTATTCGGTAAAAAACAAAAAGGGGCATCCCTGTTTTTCGTTACCACAGTGTGTGGGGTAGTGTGCCTTGCGTGGACCGTGAGAGTGCACGGGCAGCGCCAGGCCATTGAGCTTCTTGGCATCGGAGACAAAACATTCGTTGAAAAGACGGCCTGGCCGTTGCTCCGTCGCGACATCGAAGGGCAACCGGAATGGAAACTCTTTGCGTCTATGAGCCTGTGGTCGTCTGGTATAAGCGTAGACCTCTCCAAGGATATGCCAAAAAGTACGTCGTTGCTCTATGTGCCCGCAGATATAGAAATTCCTGTCGACGACGCCTTGGCGGATGTACCAGAGAATGGGCACCTTCTGATCGACCACGACCACATTAAAGCCATGTCCTTTATGAGATCCAGCCCCACTATGGTCCTTGGAGGTGGGGGTACTGGCAAGACGGAGTGCATGCTGGATATGATTGAGCAGCAACTGGACATGGATACAGACCTTGGCAACGTGCAGCTCTATTTGGGAGCGACTGATTCGTTAGCCAACTGGTCGTCGATGAGACTATTAAAACGGGAGAACATAACGGAGCAAGGCTTTAAGATGGTATCGTTCACCAGTCTCCCATCTCTACTCTCAAAGCTCTACATGTCGAATAGCACCATACGCGGGAAGCTCTTTGTGGATCGGGATATCTTTAGATCCGAATATATGGATGCCATGCCTGCAATGGTCCGCAGTATTGGCGCCGATGAGCTCTACGACGCTATCCACGCGCGCATGGATATAGAGACAGAGAACGGCATTAGTTCTCTTAGGCCAGAGTACAAGACAGCACACAAGGTCTATGAACTGGTCAAAGCGTCGCGTGGCCACATCGACGCTTACGACCTTCACGCACTCGTCGAGCAAGACCCGCAACGATTAGTGGCCATGGCATCGAAGATTGCACGCATCTACTTAGATGAGGTCCAAGATATATCATGGACAATGTGGTCTGTAATCGAGGTAATGCTGTCTGCACGCACCTCGAGCGTGGTGTGTGCTGGTGATTTCACACAGCGACTTACACCAGGGATTTCGGTCAATGGTATAAAAAGCCTCATCTATAAACACCTCCCCAAGAGTATGGAGACCATTAGATTCAAGACAAATTATCGATCGGACCCCAACATTATATCACTCGCAAACCGTATCCAATCGTACACCCACATGAGAGAACACGCAATGGAACCATCTCTCTACCCTCAGGAAAGCAGCAACTCCGTGACACTGGTAGAGATACAGGACATCGAGCATGAAAACGTAGCCGATGATGTGTTGCACTATATCGGAGTTCCGTCCAACAACTATAGAGCTGCGATCGTCACATCGTCGTCATGGGCATATCGGCTTCGTGAGACTTTGGGTAAATCTCACAATGTCTTTAGTGCTTACGAGTGTAAGGGTCTCGAGTTCGACCTTGTTGTGTGTTGGGATCTCTTCAACCCAAGCATGGATGTAAAAACATCGACTCTAAGGCGTAACATGGGGGCTGCCACCTTAGATAAGGGCAATATTGAGGAAGACGAAAACTTTGAGATATACTTGAACCATCTCTACGTAACCGTTACAAGGGCACGCAAGCACCTTATAATGGTCGTTCCATCATGCGATAGATCTAGCATTATGGTCAAGGCACTTGGGATTAGCGATATGGTCCATTACAGTGAGGTTCGGGAGCGTGGACCTCTGCCTGAAATTATCATTCCAATAGACGAGCTCAGCGTGTCTGACGATCTAAGAATGGCGATTGTGATGAGAGAAAGAGGATTGCTCCAGCAGGCCCTCAACGTCTTTGAGCAGTACGGCGACGCTGCACAAGCAGGATTTACGAGAGCTCTAATTCATCGAAATGAACACAGGCTTCGCGGGGAAGACCACGAGATCCAGCTTTGTATTTCTGAGTGTTACGGTGTAATCGAGGTATTGCAACAGTCGACGGATAGTGTTCTCAAAATCGAGGATGTAAAGCTATTCCTTACCCAGGCACTGGTCGCTGATAAGCAGTATGCTGAAGCATGTCTGCTTTACAAGGAGTTGGAGATGGAAGACGAACTGGTCGCGTGTCTAATCGAGGCAGTCGAATCAAAGTCTGGAGATGTGGTGCGGCTACGATACCTAATATCCGAAAAAGCTGTAGCTATCTGGGAGCATTTCAAGGACAACAAGAGATATGCAAGATTTGTTGTTGCGTTAATGCTTGTGTTTAAATCTTCGACTGTAGACCTAATCCAGTCGATGATCACGCACATTCCATCCAAAGCAGGGCTCACTATGCTGCACAACTCCCTGATAGAGGCCGATAAAAGCGTATCCCCCATATGGGAAGTATTCCGAAGAAGAAAGTGGCTGCAGGTGGGGTCTGGATCGGAAGAGTCGGAGGAACTGACATTCTTAGAATGGAGCTCATTGCGGCGCCTCGATGGCCAACACTCCAACGAAGACTTGGTTTACATTATTTCTACTGGTTGCTTGCCAGAATCTCAGTCGTCAATAGCCTGTCTGTTTGTTGGGCCTAGAAACAACAAGACTACAAAAACCTTGTCGCTCAATATCCAATCGGGTGCTATGCTAAAGGCGTGTCGGTCGCTGGAAATACCTTTGAAGCATGTTTCAACGAAGATGAGAGAGCTCTCCTGCCCTCTGACAGATTTTATGGCACTCCATTCCCAAATAAGTGGGGAAGAATCAAGAATGTACCTGCTTGCTGAGGCGTACAAGACGCATAAGCTCAAGATGAGGGGTAGCGAGCACCAACTCACTCTCTTTAAATGGTGTGCTAAGATGAGTGGAGGTACGAACATCATCGATATGATCTGTACCATGCTTAAGGAGGACAGAGATATGTTGCTTGGCATCTACAGCCCAGATAACACTATAAACGTAACACAGAAAGTACTACTTCAGGTGCTGAATGAGAGGGATATATAGGTACGCTAGTTTAGACTTGTCCGACTGCAGATCCATCGAGCATCAAGTATCATAAGTGATCCACATTTTCTTAAAATAAACCACTCTGATTTCTCCTCTCCCTGATTTGATATGAAATGTGGCCTTGTGTTAGCTTCAAGCTCTGTTTTTCCAATATGCCAAATATATGTTATCTATTAGGGATTTAGTTATTTGGAGCAGTAGAATCCTGTTGCTTTGTCTAAGATCATAAAGGTAGGGCTTTTTGTTTGATCCAACACACCATTTGCTCGGTGGTTCATGCGTAGTGGTAGCCGAAATGTTGGTATCATCTATTTCTATTACTTGAGGCCATAGAGACCGTAAATGGCTTCAGAGCTAGTTACGTAACTACAATCACATCATAAGCCTAATCATTGGCCTGATAAAGTTTTTTTTATGTATTTTAGTCTACACTACACTATTCTACTAATATCATCACGGAGTGGCAGCCTGGATCGAAAATCATCTAACTGGAAATCATAACCTGAAAGGGAACTAAAGCTCTACTTCTCAAGCCCCGTTTCGAACATCCACAACCTCTCCCCTCTACTTTTACCCTTTTCTTACAAAATCATAGTGCCGCTCAAGCCCATAAGCATATACCTTCCGGAAATAACTAATTTTGATAGTGAGTTGTCTCAACCATTTATACATAATATGGTTGATGGGCTCTTTCGAGCATCGTTTATGAGCCTGATCTGTGTGCTCTCTAAAAAAATAGAAAAAAAAGGAGTGCGTTGATAGAAATGAATAAAGAGATTTGAAGGAATATGGCTTTCAACTCATCTCTCTCTTTCACACACGCCTTGTCACGTATAACACAGCCTTTTAGCTCTCCTATTACATACGACCATTGCCATAAAGGAAGGTCTTTTTTTTTTTTTTTTTTTTTTTTTTTAAAAGTCACATTTTGTCTGCCATGAATGCTTTGATACCGACCGAGGCGGCAGGCATGGGCAGCACGCAACTCGGCGCTTCGAAGCGAGGATAGATTGCTTATCACCGCCAGAATTCCAGAGAGAACCGAAGACGATATCAAGGCCTATGTCGATAGTCAGAGTAGTCGTCGAGTATTCTTAAATGGCTTTTTCAGCAATGTTCACAGAGATGTTGAGAACTGCTGTGGCAATTGTGATCCCGAAATGCAGGAGCGTCCACCACTACTGGAGACCAGAGATGGTTGACGCAGAATCCAGCAGAGCGACTAACCGACATAGGGCCTAGGAGGTGGCAGCAGGAAAATAGGTACAAGAAATTACTGCATGGAGAAACAGTGCGTTCAACAGCGACTTCAGTGGCCAATACTCATTATTTGACGAAGATATTGTCATGAAGAACGACATGGCCGAGCTTGCTATCAAGGGCGCTGGCATTGTGGTGCCAGAGCTGATTCTCTCTGCTATCCGTTGTCAGTTTCCTAAAATTGAATACCCACCAGCTCTGCGCAAAATTATAATAGCTTTGAACAGAGTCATCATTTCGACAAGGTAGCGAAAAAGTGGTCGTTTATCACTCGAGGAAGAAGATTCCTAATCACTACAATGGCTATGAAGCACTAGAACCAGGCTCGGCCCTTTGGTTGTTTGACGACAAAGGATGTGCAGCCACTTCAGCGCTTTTGAATCTACTATTAGAGAATCTTCCAGTGCAAGCTCAGCTTTAAATGCCATCACTATAAGGACTACTGTATCTCTCAGAATTATAGTGCGTTCCACCTAGTCGCAAAAATAAACCTTATTTTTTAATGGGACCAGATTTCAGTCCATTCACTCTTACAGGCGAAACATACTCCATGAACTACTCTGAAGACTATTATATAAAAGAATTGTGAGGAAAGCCAAAAGGGATTAGACGGGTTCTTATAGAAAGGAAACTTTGGAGAAAGGATCTTAAGATGATATGTGCGAGCTGCAAGGTTCGTGATTATTCTAATAATCAAAGCTCATGTTGTTGTACACGCATTTTGGAGCTACAGAGGATTTTATGGCGCAGCGATCATTTCTAGAGGAGATTGCAGACAAACATGAGCAGCAAATCATTTTCTATCCAAAGTACCACTGCGAATTGAACTTCATCGAGATGTTCTGGGGTGCAAGCAAGCGCTATACTAGAGCAAACTGTGACTATACTTTCAAGGGACTGCAAGAAACAATACCAGCGGCATTGGCTTCTGTAACTATACTCAGTATTCGAAAGTACGCAAGGAGGAGTTTTCGATACATGGACGCATATAGGAAGGGTTTGTCTGGCCACGTTGCCGAGCTGCAAGTGAATCCCATAGGCGTATTCCAGCCAATTGGGATTTGAGGACAGAATAGACTACCCTTAATATCGTTATGATGTCATCTCAATTAAAGTTTCAGCCAATCATAATTTAAGATTTTTTGGTGCAATTTTTCCCTCTCATAGAGAATTGGCAAACGAACAACATTACGATGAGTTTTCTTGTCTGGCTCTCATGGAGAGTGAGGGCATACATTTCCCCCGTGGTCCATTATTTTTCACAAAAAAAGTGCGTGACTAAGTGGAAGACACTGTACCATTGCATTCGGAGTCACAGGAGCCACCGCTGGCTTATGAGACGTTACCCCAAAGGGTAGAGCTGCGTCGTCGGGCTGTGCAAAAATGTAAGGATATGGCTGCGGAATGAGTGGAAAGAGGCCTTATGGTAGTGAAAAAAGTGAAGCTGCGAAGCCAACATCTCTCTAATAGTTTGGAAGAGAATGAAGCATTGCGGACAGGGGAAAAACCTTTTGCACAAGGGCCACTGGAGTGCTGACTGTTCTCATTCAGGTAAAGAACCCTCCACAACGCTTACCACTAGTAGCACATAGATTATTAAAGCTTCCTTCTTTTGCACAAGAACCGTTGGGGCACTGGCTGTTCTCGTTCAGTCTTTTGTATTGTGTTGTTATTTATTTGCGTTCAAGAAGCATTTTGTCTATCTGTCGCTGGGAATGACTTCACAAACCACCAAAAAGGCCAAGTTTCTCTATTCAATTAGCCCTAAATTTCCCAACAGTGTTAATCCTGAGAAAAAAAAGGGTGTGTTGCAATGCGCTTGCCATACATGATGTTGTTGTCGAAGTTGAACCGCGTTTGACGGAACAAATTGTTACGAAGATCTTCCCCAGCACCCTTTTTGGATCATATGTGCGGCTGAGTGTGAGGTCCGGAAAAGGGGTTATCGCTATCATCGCCAGCGCATTCCATAGGTTCATCCCAATCATCAGCTGGCTGACACTATTAAATCATTGGTAGACGATATTGAACAGCCTGTTTTCTGGAAGAGCCACGTTTACATCGGCATGTGGACCATCAGCCACAGAACGCCCACTCTCTTCAAAAGGAGAAAGAGAAGGGATAGGAAAAGGTTAAGGGCACCGCAAAATAGAGTTCGCGCCATCACTAGGAGACGCCGGCAATATTGTTTCTAAGGGGGCTGACTGCAAGCCAAGCGCACTCGACTCATAAAAAACTTTCATACTTTGACTGAGCTACGATGCTTGGGCAAAGTCCTTGGATGGTATGAACCCCATCAAGGTGGTTCCAAAAATGCCCCATCGAGAGGCTGTTGGTGTACCAGTCTTGGATCTGGCAGAGGTAGTGGCAAAGCTGGGCTACGGCCGGGAACGAACGACTGTTGGGTTGAAGTAGGAGTGGCAACAGCTGTTCACCGACAGATAAATCAGTGTTTTTTTTTTTTTTTTTTTTTTTTTTTTTTTTTGGATTTAAGCTCATGTCAGCTTTGAAAAAGAAAAGGGGAAGAGGAAAAGGGACCTGCATAGCCTTTGGCATAGGCTCCGAAAAGCCGGTGCGGTATCTTTCCATACGCCTGCACCTGATGGTTAGACCAGTGTCCATATTCGGCGGAAGAGTTAGGTGTAGAGCCATCTAAACAATTTCTTTAGTATAAACTGCCCTGGGAACTGAATAAAATATTAAGGAATGGCCATTACACTGCTGATTGGGAACAAAAATGATCAGCATGCTCTAGGACTTATTTAATAGCCTCACTAGCTCTTATAAACACTTTAGACACCAACGTACCTCTCTCCGCTTCACTTTGTCACGTCTCCTCACCATGTGGAGAGGAAAAGGAAATAATATTGTGAACTTCCAGGACCAGAAATATTGTTTGACATCACAGTAAAGCGAGCTTTGATAGAGGGTGATGTACTTGATACGTAGCCGACGCACTATTGCTATCTCAATCACCCTTACTCTTTTCTTCCTCAGTGGGTGCTATAGGGTAAATAGTAACCATACTGTGCCTAGTCCAATTTATTTGCAGCACTACTACTGTATTATTTCCGCCATAAATGTCTAAGGCTATCAATCCTCTGTGGAGATTTAAATGACGCACATGACGGATCTAAGAGTGAACCATGGCATGCTGCAAAAGGTGTGCTTATTTTAGGTCTATGAATGGGATTTGTATCTTTGAAATATGTTTAATACCGCCTCTATTATCTGAAAAGAGAGCGAAGGCACACTATTTCAGTCGCCTGTGCTACCGCAGCACTATGTCGATATTTGTTCTTAGTGAAGAGTCTTTTGGCATTAAGAGAGTCCACCTAAGGTGTGGTCAAGATTGCATACAACCACATGCATCTTGACGCAGGTAGTTGCTTGCGTGGATTGTAAGGCGTATTTTATCTTGGCATCCTGTTGTAACGCCTTCAAATTATGTGCATATATTCTGAATACTAGAAGTTCATCCAAGTCTTGCCGGCCGCTTTTCGACTAGGTATTGGGTGGTAAGCGAGCACATTGGATGAAATGTTGCTAAGTGACTAGAAACATATTATTAGGGAATATTTATAATTACCACTGTGTGACTCGAACATAGGACTTTTTATTCTTGAGTGCGCCCTGGAGGAGGAGTGTTGTCATCAGGTAGGACGGCGGAGAGCTTGAGCTTTGGAAATAAATCATATCAAATGTTCTCCACATCATAGAGTCTACTAATAACTTTCAAACGTGTATAAAAAGCCCACCATTTCTTTCATCTCCCAGATTACTTATCCATACATCTACTCCATTCGATAACCAAGTAAAAGTAACATTACTTTATCTGTTTGTTGTCATCATTATGTCTCAAGATCAGTTCCATCACTATATACCACGCTTCATATTGAAGAGCTTCTCTGATTACCTCCAACTGAAACCTTCAAGTATTTTCTCACCAAATGCCTCAGGCAACTTCACAGAAGAGGCTTTTTCAAAAGGCCCAGTGGGGAGCAAGGGAAATAGTGGGGGGGATAGCGTGGGAAGCAACAGGAAAGGTAACAGAAGGAAAAGCAGTGGGGTCAGCAAAAGAGATAGCAGAGAAGGCGATAGAGAAGGCGGTCATGAAACCAAGGAGCAAATCCTAATATTGATTCCCTATTAATGTGTATTGAGCGTTGGAGAAAACAATCGCCAGAGCGACACTAGCAGAGTGTATGGTCTTCAGAACATGTATCAGGACATTGCTGAAGTGGATGATAATATGAGGTTTGAGAGGGAGCTCGCCAAGTTGGAGTGCACCTCTGCGACGTTTATTCATAAGATCCGATCTGGCGAAGAACTACTGCTGAGGTGGACTCAACTAGCAGACTTCAAGAGGTTCCTAGCTATCATGACATACAGGAGCGAGCGCCGGAGGGAACAGTATTACGAGTGTCGATTTGACACTTCTATCGATTCGAAAACACATGTCCCAAAACAATATTGACAGAGTTCAAGACGTATGGTTCGAGAATCTCAAATGGATCATCAAGACCCCTTACGACGAAATCATTAAGGAGAGCTCAGCTATCGATCCGAAAGGCGTCAAGACTCCCATGGATACTATGTTTGCTTTGAGCAAATATAAAGGACCTATTTACGTTGCAGAACTTATGGACTATTATAACTTAGTGTGCAACTACGTGTGTGTCTGGCAAGCGGAAGAAGGGCCTGAATTTATCCTAACCGACAAGTGCTCTGTTGGGTTCGAAGGTGAGGATGCTATCCACTTCCACAGCTTCTATGTTGTGTCTCCGAAATATATGGTCGTTCTTGTGAACCGTCTTTACATGTGGGACCTTATGAAGACCACGGGTCTCCGGAAGTCGTGATTTTGGGGCAGGCTCCATACCAGCCCAGGTGCCATATATACGAAAAGGCTATGGGTGATCCGAAAGGCTTTACTCCAATAGACATGTTAAAATACTCAAGCGTTGCTGTTTTAAAAGAGAAGGTGTATCTCTGCAACAGTATCCTCTTGGATGCAAGCCCCAAGTGCATAGCATACAGACCCAATGTACCCAAGTATAGGTCCTTGAGTTACTATGGCAAGACTAAAGAAGATCTGTTTACCTGAAGCGCGAAGTGTTGACCAATCTTACGGCAGAGATGAACAGAATATATTGCTCCTAGGTTCTCCTGAAAGACCCTTCTAGGATATTGTACTTCTTCCACTTCTCCTCATAAACAAAGATTATAGTTGTTAAGTACAGCTTGGTGAAAATAAAGCAATGGACTTCTTAGCCAGCACTAATAAGGAGCCGATATGGAAGCTTGGAGGAGGATGAGTATAGGAATGAGGATGGCGACATTTTTATTTGGTTCTCATTTTTAATTTTATTTCTAGCGCATCCCATCTTGAAGGATGCGACTTCTGTATGATGACCAACTCGATACAATAGCAGTTATTCTGTTAAGAAGAAAGAAAGAAGACATGAAAAGACAGCTATCTGTGTGGACCAACTATGAATGGAGGGTAAAAGAGGAAAGAAGTCTATGAAAGTCCTCGATGGGCAGGGGTGCGCCAGATAATAATATGGTAATATTCTGGAGAGCTTTAACAGCTTCAACCAGTATTTACCATACAATGGGCGCTGGTCTTAAAAGAACACATGTTTAGCGGTATTTACTTATACCAGTCCCTCCTTGTGTAGAGGATGTGTTGGCGGAACAATGGTCTACTGAATGGTCTACGAAGGACGACCTATTCACATTGTCATAGGTACCATGGACGTATGTGTGTGTCACCTTTCTTCATTGAAAATCCGACGAGAAATAAAGAAAAATAAACTAAATAAAAAGATCCCTCTGCCCTGCAACTCTGATCTACATCTACTTCTCGAGCCAAAAAGGGGTGGTGTGGGTGGGACATACGTCCATGGTACCTATGACAATGTGAATAGGTCGTCCTTCGTAGACCATTCAGTAGACCATTGTCTACGGTACCATGTCCGTATGTGGCTCCAGAGGGATCGCCAAAGAGAACTAAACTAAAACAAAACTAAAACTAAAAGAAAACTGAACGAAATGAACAACTAACTAAAGAAAATCTAGCCTAGAGTGCTCATGGACATGTTGTTGGAGGTGGCACTCGACAAACGGTAGTGCTTCTCGAAGACTTTCGGGGACGACCAATTCCCCTGCACCATGATATCAGCCACTGGTACGCCTGCTATAGCCGCGAGCGTAGAACCTAAGGCTCGGAGCTTAGGAGCTTTCTTGTCTCCTAAATCCATCAGCGAAGAAATCCTACTCATGTGGGAGCCAATAGTAGTCGCACGCGCCGGCTGGGTGTGGTCTTTCACAAATCTAATCAAAGGTACAATGCTTCTTGTTGGGTCCTTCGGATGAGGAGAGGTAGTGGAAGGACAAGACAGCCTGTCCAGGTAAGCGGTGTATGCGTCGACAGGGCATAGCTTCTTGTCAAAGTGAGAACCAATGGTCACATGCTTAATGATACGTTGCCCATCACTCTTCTCTTTTGGGAAAACAACAACAAGCTGAAGCTTCCCTAACACAATCTTGGAGAGACTGACATCTACACATCTGATGTCGTCTGGTCTCATGAAGCCACAGACGCCTAAGAGCCAACACAGCTTCCATGTAAGCTCCTCAAAAGGCAACTCCATATTTGCTGATGACTGCCGAAAATGGTCCAAAACAGGTGTGATGTCAAAGTGACCAGACCTGGACTCAACGACACCTTCTTGCTTTCCAGCCTTGAGGAACTGGCGGTAGTATTCATCTGATCGTACTCTCTCTGGGTCACGAAATAGGGCGAGGACAGCCGACTTCATGGTCATCAGCGTGGACCACTTCAAATTGCGAGCGACCCGCACGTAGTGTAGCCAGTTCACTACTGGGATCGCGGGGTTAATCCCTTGTTCGAACGAGCCCTCTTTCAGCCAAGTGACGAATTCAGCTTGATGCTTTTCGTACTCTCGCTTGGTGCTCTTGGATCCTTTGTGAGCACAGATAAACTCAGTCACCGCTGGCGAGAGGCCATCTATGAGCATCCTCGTCCTCTTACTCTCCACGCGGTAAGGCCCCAGTGTGGAATCGGTAAAGGGGGTTGGGTCGCCATTGCCTGTATCTTCGGGAACCAAATCGCCGATGGCCAAAATGGAGTAATTATGGTCGCTTCCAGGCCTTCCTGGTCTAGCTTCTGCAGGATCCTTGGAAGTAAGTTCCATGGAGGACAGATGTAAAGGTTGCCCAAGTGGCTCCACTTGTGTCTCAGCGCATCGAAGTCCACTGCCAAAGGATGAGGTTTCCATGTCATGAACTGAGGAAGCTGGTTGTTGCTGGGCGATGCAAAGAGGTCTATCCGATGAGGCCCCCACTGCTGGTCTAGACGACGGAAAAATGACGGGTCCAGCCTCCATTCGAGCTGCGCTTGCATCCGGCGTGATGGTGCATCTGCTGGATTGAATACTGAAGGTACATATGTGGTCCTGAGTCTTGTGCCTGTTGCTAGACAATGCTTCCATATTTTGTCCGCCAGGTCCATCAGAGGTTGTGAACGAGTTCCGCCGAACCGGTTGATGTAAGCGATGGTGGTTGTGTTGTCGATTACTAGGTTGAGCATCCTCCCTTGTGTTTGCGGTAGAGTGACTGCGTAGTACACGGTTAGTAACTCTTTTAAATTGATGTGTTGGTGGCGTATGTTTGGTGGCCATAGCCCTGTCCAAGTGCGCTGCCCTATGACGATCCCCCAGCCTTGGTCGGAGGCGTCTGTGTACACGTCCATCTGAGTTGGCGACTGAATCCATGACGTCCCGTTCCACTCCTTGAGTTGGTGTGTCCACCAATCCAGATCGGCTCGAGCTCTGTCGTCCAGTGAGATCGTCGCTTCCCAAGATGACCCCTGATGGCTGAGCGCTCTGTTCTTCAATGCCAGAAGATGCCGCGTCATTAGACGAGCTGGAAATACTGCTGCTGTCGTCGCCATGGCTTTCCCTATGAACGTAGCCAAGTTGCGAACCGTCGTCCATCCCTTGCTGAGCATCTTCGCTGCTTCTCGCCGTATGTCCCTGACCTTGGACTTCGGTACCGAGAGGGTCATGTCGGTGGTGTTGATGGTGAAACCCAGATGATCTAGACATTTCGTTGGCATCAGAGAGGATTTCTCCTTGTTGATGAGGAATCCAAGAGACTTGAGTTTGTCCAGGACAAGATTCGTGTGCTCTTCTGCTTGGGCTTTGGAGCTGGCCATGATCAACAGATCGTCGATGTAAGCTGTCAGCCGTATTCCTCGACGCCTCGCCCATCTCAACACCGGGCGTAGGACCTTCGTGAAGACTAACGGCGACAGTGACATCCCGAAAGGTAGAGTGCGAAACTGATACAGCTGACCCTTCCACTGAAACTGAAGGTAAGGACGAAAATGTGGATGAATCAGCACATGAAGGAAAGCATCTTTGAGATCGATGCTCGTCAAATAATCGTTCTTCTGAAGGGTATTGCATACTACCTGAATCGTCTCCATCTTGAACGAGTCTGTGATGATAAATTGATTGAGAGGACGTAGGTTGAGGACAGGCCGGAGGTCCCCTGTCTTCTTGGGGATAGTAAACAAACGACTCTGGAAACCAGGTCCCGAAGCGTGCTCTATGGCTTTTTTGGCCAGAAGTGCGATCACTTCGTTCTCTATCGCCAGTGTCTCCTCCTTGGATAGATGCGGGGAAAGGGCTCTTGATGTGTGTGTTATTGGAGGTTGTCTGTGGAAGGGAATCTGAAAACCGTTTCCAATCACGGAGCGGACCCACCTGTCGTCCGTGAGGAGCCTCCAAGCCCTCGAGTAGAGGTGCAGACGGCCCCCTACTGGCTCTTGTTGGCGCTGCCGCGTCCCCGTCCACGGCTGCCTCTGTAAAAATACTGTCCCTGCTGGTTGTTATGCATGGGCTCTCCATACCCGTAAGTGAGCTGAGGAGGTGTGGCTTGTTGTGCTTGATGATGATTCGCTGGTGAATAAGGTTGCGATTGTGATGGAAATTGCTGGAACTGTTGCTGCTGGTGGGGGTACATGTTAAAGTAAATACCCCTGCTGCGAGAACCGGAATTGCGACCGGATCCTCTGTTTTGCAAAGCTGTCTTGCGAGGCTTGCTGGCCTCCTGGTACTCCTCAGCAGCTTTAATTCGGGCTGCAATATCATCTTTAGTGATAGTTGCAGTCTTTTCATGATCAGGGGCTGGCTTGAGACCCTTTGCGTACACAAAATTATCCATGCGCAGATCGGTGATTTGGCGTGCTGTAACGGCCAGATGAGATCGCATGACATGCCCAAAATCTGCGACGATCTGCCGTAATGCAGGATCGTGCACTTTGTGAAAGTATTCTGCCAGGAATTCGTCCAAGGGTCGCGTAGCGTGGGCCTGACGTTCCTGTAGTTGGGATAACCACTTGTCCACTCGTTGAAAAGAAGTGGTCTCCTGAGGCCAAGGCAACTCAAGAGAGGGCGCTTTGTACTGCTGATCTGGGTTCTTGGGATAGAGGACGTACTCGGTGAGGATGTTATCGTCGCCAGAGTTGTCCGGGGGACGGAAGAAATGAGAGCCGTCAAGGGAAGGTACAGCCGCTTTGAGGGTATCAGAGAGGACAAGTATCTTGGCCTGTGGGCGATCAATGGTGATGGGGGAAGGGGAAGAGGAGGAAGGGTTGGCCTGCGTAAGGGCAGCCACCTGCTGACGAAGAGTGTTGATTTCATGAAGGAGTGCATTATGAGTGTTGTCGGTAGAATTGTCGCTCATTGGAACGAATAGATAATAGTCTGCAACGGATGAGTTCCAGGAGCGACGAGAAGAAAGATGTAGATCAGAGTTGCAGGGCAGAGGGATCTTTTTATTTAGTTTATTTTTCTTTATTTCTCGTCGGATTTTCAATGAAGAAAGGTGACACACACATACGGACATGGTACCGTAGACAATGTTTGGTTGTTGATCAATGCTTTGTGTGACATGAACCACATGATAGACAATGTTTATATTAATTCTTTGATGAATGGTCAATTGATGGGATTAACTATTGTAGAGGGGAGGAGAATGGGTGTGGGAACATCATATAAGACCGTCCCTCGTCCCAACAATTATTATCAGATCAATATCCTCAGTAATAAAAACCGGGCTCTTGCTGATTATCCCCCGAAAAAATGCATCAAAAAGTAGAAAGGGTGATTTGGTGTGGAAAAAAGGCTTACATGTATGTACACTGCTATGTTTGCTTGTTATGCAGGTGCTGTGCTCAGAAATGTGCATTTTTTACTTCGCCATTTTTTCTTTGGACCAATATAACTAAGGATTTTCCGCTGTTACTTCCATCATCTCGCTTGCTCAGCTCTTCTGGCCTGTTCTCTGTTCTTCATACTGAATCAAGACAATCATCCTTACACTTGCATCAATTCGCATCCTTTTTCAATTGCTTCCTCCATTACTCATCGATCATCGTGACTGTTTTTTAAAAACACGCGTTTATTTTATTTGCGCCACTGAACCTGGAATTAGTTTGACATACGTTAAGGTAATGGTGATAGCAAATAGTCATTTGAGATGTGGGGCGGGTGTAGAGGCGTTGGCGGCTTGGGGGCCCATCATTCTTACATTCGATATTGCGCGCGATGTAAGCTGATCTCGGTTCTAAACACGTTTATGACCGGCGTGCTTAACCGGCGCACACTTTTTCTATGCCGACCTTGCTTAAAAGTGGTGCCCAGCTTTTATTTCGATTTATGTCACAGTATGAAAACACTCGATAATGTAATGTTATTAACCTTTTTTTTTTTTTTTTTTTTTAATGGATTAAAACCGAACAGAAAAAAAGAACCTCCGGGGTCTTGCACGTTTCGATGGATTTACTATATGACACCCAAAAGTTGCGAATTTTACTTGAGAAGGACCAGAAGATCAACTTGGGAAAAGGCAAGGTGGACACCTTTAAGAGGGATGGATATCAGTCTGTTAGTCTGTACACCAAAAGGCTTATAGAAATGTGTTCGTACGAATTTCAGATCGAAGCAGCAAAGGCACTGTTTGGGAAGCTTTCAGACGACTACAAGGAGTGCCGTCTCCAACGCTTAAAAAATAAAACCTTTAGCGATTTCGCCGATGGCGAATTAAATGAAGACGATGGCGAACTAAATAGAGGCAGTAACGATATCGACGGATCTAGCGCAGAGAAATGGGTTCTATACGGAGAACCAGAGATGTACAGCTACAACGACATTGTCGTAGCTATAGCCACTAAGAGCTTTGGCGATGAGACAGTCTCTGTGCGATACATAGGCTGCTTGGGCCGCATTTCCAGGGTCCCGCAAACCAGCTTGCGTAAATACATTTTTACATTCAACGCTCAAATATCTCCTTCCAAGGAAATTGATGTACTGATGTGGACGGTTGGAAACCTTACGTCCTACAAGCGTGTTGTGGATAGCCTTTCCAACCAGGATGCAATGAAGTCGATACCAAAACTGTTTTTGAGAGCTCCTGCGACAGATATTAACCCCCTTACGGACGGTACTACAGATATTCAAGATGGTGTGCCTGAGCGGATGAACCTAGCGCAGAAAGTGGCGATATCAAGGGCAATCCAGAAAGATGGGGATGATGTGGTGCTGGTCCAGGGCCCTCCTGGATGCGGTAAATCGACGATGATCGTTGAAATGGTGCGCTTGCTTACATCTCATGGCCGAGGTAACGCGGGAATGCAGGTTCTGGTGTGTGCACAGACGAACGTTGCTGTGGCAGACCTTGCGTATAAGTATGTTACCCATAATGAATTTAAAGGCAAGTTTGACTGCGTTATGGATATGAGACCACCCAAGATCGCCGATAGACACAAGAGAGACACTCTCGAGCCATTTACGGTTACCGCCCGATATCACCAAGTTGTCAATGCTGTGTTGCACGTCATCATACGCGACTTTGAGCACATCCCCACCACATGTCACGGGAGCACGACAAGGGAGAGAGTTATGAATATTGTGGCCAGCGATTTCAATGCGTGTGTAGAAAGTGGCTTACTCATGTTGCTGTCTGGGAGAGCCACTCTTCTTATGTCCATAAAGACTGCCGATTTGACCCGAATGAAACGCCTGATTTTAGGAATGCGTAACGAATTAGAACCTTTTTTTAAACCTGACGACCTCAGTTTGTTACTCGAACAGTGCAGTGCAGGCCAGTATACCGACACATCACGCCCCGAATCCTTTCCCATTTATGGATGGGTAAGACAAGCTCTCCTTAGCGCAGCAACTGTCATATTTTGCACAATTAATGTTGGGATATCGGTGACTTCTAAGAAATTCTTGGGCAATCTAGCGTATATTGTTGTCGACGAAGCAGCGCAGGCACTGGAGCCGGATGTGACTGCACTAATGTGTATTGATTCGTGCTTTCGACGTCTAATTTTGGTTGGAGATCCACAGCAGCTCCCAGGGTATTGTGCATCCAACCGAGGCAAGCAGCAGATGATGGACCGCAGCCTCATGGAGCGTCTTGAGGAATACCAGCTGTGCCATTTTACACTCCTTGATGTGCAGTATCGCATGCATCAAAGTATTTGTGATTTCGTGTCTCGAACCTTCTATAAGGACAGGCTGACTTCTCACGAGACAATCCACAGCAGAAGTCCCATTACAACACTATCACCGGTTATGCACGTTATGTTCCTAGGATCTCGGACGAGTCAGTCGACAATCACGACAACGAGTGTGGTGAATATCGAGGAGGCTAGGTACATTGTTGCCCATGTATTCAACGTACTGTTGCCATCCAGACAGAAGCAAACCCCTTCGGCTAAACCTGTTACTGAATCAACCCCTTATGCTACCGTGGCGAAAAACACAGAAAAAACAAAGACGCGACAGCCTATAGAGGCCGCCACTATCTCCGTCGGGATTATATGTATCTACAAGGCACAGGCCAACGTTATACGCTATCTAGTCGACAAGTTCAAGAAACTTCATAATGTATCTGGTATTGATATACTTGTTAACACTATAGATTCCTTCCAGGGGCAGGAGCGCGATGTTATCTATGTGGCACTTACAAGAACTACACAAATCAACACTTTTATGGACAATGCTAATCGCGTTAATGTCGCAATTTCGAGAGCTCGACATCATATAATTGTAGTAGGAGATGAGAAGCTCTCGCTGACAAGCGAAAAAGACGCCTCATCATCCTACTGGCATAGCCTGTGTGTTGGTAGGAGCTCGATGGTTGTCGACCCAAACTACTTGAAGGACGTGCCTCAGTATGATGGGCCAGAACACGTTACTCATACCAAGGCTGAGGAAATACCAGTAACGCCGGCTGCAATTAAGAAGCTCATAGCTAAGGGGCTGGCTGCCACAACTCCCATTTGGGCTATCCACTACGAGAGGCTCATGGTGGACTCGAAAATTCCGCAAGGAATCCATATACTCGAATATGTCGTGCAAACACTGGCCAGTGGAGACTTTGACGCGGGGAAGGGCGGTAGCACAACTAGGCCTTTATTCCGCAAACAAAAGGGGACAGCCCTGTTCTTCGTTACTACGGTGTGTGGGACAGTGTATCTTGCATGGACTGTGAAAGTGTACGGGCAGTGCCAGGCCATCGAACTCCTTGGCATCGGAGGCAAAACATTCGTCGAGAAGAGGGTCTGGCCGTTGCTCCGTCGCGACATCGAAGAGCAACCAGAATGGAAGCTCCCTGCGTCTATGAGTCTGTGGTCATCTGGAGCTAGCGTTGACCTCTCTAAGGATATGCCGGAGGATACGTCATTGCTCTATGTGCCCGCAGATATAGATGTTCCTGCCAACGATGCACTGGTGGATGTGTCAGAAAATGCACATCTTTTGATAGACCAGAGCCACATTAAAGCCATGTCATTTATGAGGTCCAGGCCCACTATGGTCCTTGGGGGCGGGGGTACTGGCAAGACGGAGTGCATGCTGGATATGATCGAGCAGCAGCTGGACACAGGTACAGGCTTTGACAACATGCAGCTTTATGTGGGAGCAACAGATTCTTTAGCCAACTGGTCCTCAATGAGGCTACTAAAACGAGAGACCATAACGGAAGAGGGCTTTAGGATGGTATCGTTCACCAGTCTTCCATCTCTACTCGCTAAGCTCTACATGTCGAATAACACCATACGCGGGAGGCTCTTTGTGGATCGTAACATCTTTAGGTCCGAATACATGGATGTCATGCCGAAAATGGTCCGCAGTATTGGCGCCGATGAGCTCTACGATGCTATTCACGCGCACATGGATATAGAGGCAGAGGGCGGTGTTAGCTCTCTTAGGCCAGAGTACAAGAAAGCGCGTAAGGTCTACGAATCGGTTAAAGCATCGCGTGGCCACATCGATGCTTACGATCTTCACACACTCGTCAAGCAAGACCCGCAGCGATTAGTGGCTATGGCATCGAAGATCGCACGCATCTACTTAGATGAGGTCCAAGATATATCATGGACAATGTGGTCCGTAATCGAGATAATGCTGTCTGCACGCACCTCGAGCGTGGTGTGTGCTGGTGATTTCACACAGCGACTTACACCAGGGATCTCGATCAATGGCATAAAGACGCTTATCTATAAGCACCTCCCCAAGAGTATGGAGATTGTTAGATATAAGATCAATTATCGATCGGACCCCAGCATTATATCGCTCGCAAACCGTATCCAATCGTACACCCACATGAGAGAACACGCAATGGAACCGTCTCCCTATACTCAGGAAACTAGCAACTCCGTGACACTGGTAGAGATACAGGACATCGAGCATGAAAATGTAGCCGATGTGTTGCGCTATATCGGAGTACCGTCCAACAACTATAGAGCTGCGATCGTCACCACGTCGTCATGGGCACACCGGCTTCGTGAGACTTTGGGTAAATCCCACAATGTCTTTAGTGCTTACGAGTGTAAGGGTCTCGAGTTCGACCTTGTTGTGTGTTGGGATCTTTTCAACCCAAGCATGGGTATAAAAGCGCCAATCCTAAAGCGTAGCATTGAGGCAGCCGCGTTGAATAAGGGCAATATTGACGAATACGAGAACTTCGAGATATACTTAAACCACCTCTACATAACCGTTACAAGGGCACGCAAGCATCTTATAATGGTCGTTCCACCGTGCGAGAGATCCAGCATTATGATCAAGGCGCTCGGGATTGACGATATCGTTTATTACAGTGAGGTTCGGGAGCGTGGGCCTCTGCCTGAAATTACCATCCCAATAGACGAGCTCAGCGCGCCTGACGACCTAAGAATGGCGATCGTGATGAGAGAGAGAGGATTGCTCCAGCAGGCCCTCAACGTCTTTGAGCAGAATGGCGACGCTGTACAAGCAGGGTTTACAAGAGCTCTAATCCACCGAAAGCAGCACAGGCTTCGTGGGGAGCATCGCGAGATCCAGCTTTGTATATCTGAGTGTTACGGCGTAATCGAGGCATTAAAACAGTCGACGGATAGCGTTCTCAAAATCGAGGATGTAAAGTTACTCCTTGCCCAGGCACTGGTCGTTGATAAGCAGTATGCTGAAGCTTGTTTGCTTTACGAAGACCTGGAGATGGAAGATGAACTGGTCGCGTGTCTAATCGAGGCAGTCGAATCAAAGTCTGGAGATGTAATGCGGATACGATACCTAATACCTGAAAAAGCTGTAGCTATCTGGGAGCATTTCAAGGACAACAATAGATACGCAAGATTCGTTGTTGCATTGATGCTTGCGTTTGAACCTCCATCTGTAGACCTAGTTCAGTCGATGATCTCGCACATTCCATCCAAGGCAGGGCTTATTATGATGCATAACTCCCTGGTAGAGGTCGATGAAAGCGTATTCCCCACATGGGACGTATTCCGAAAGAGGAAATTGTCGCAGATGGGATCCGGGTCGGAAGAGTCGGAACTGACATTCTTAGAATGGAGCTTATTGCGACGTCTCGATGGTCAACACTCCAACGAAGACTTGGTTTACATTATTTCTACTGGTTGCTTGCCAAAATTCCAGTCGTCAATGGCTTGTCTGTTCGTTGGGCCTAGAAACAGCAAGACTACAGAACTCCTGTCGCTCCATATCCAATCGGGTGCTATGCTAAAGGCGTATCGCTCGCTGGAAATGCCTTTGAAGCATGTTGCAACGAAGATGCGAGAACTCTCGTGCCCTCTGACAGATTTTATGGCACTCCATTCCCAAATACCGAGTGAAGAAGAGTCAAGGGTGCACCTGCTTGCCGAGGCGTACAAGACGCATATGCTCAAGATGAGAGGTAGCGAGCATCAACTCACGCTCTTTAGATGGTGCGCTAAGATGAGTGGAGGTATGAACATTATCGAGATGATCTGCACCATGCTTAAGGAGGACAAACAGATGCTGCTCGGCATCTACAGTCCAGATAACACTGTAAACGCAACACAGAGAGCGTTGCTTCGTGTATTAAGCGAGAGGTATTTATAGGTACGCTAGCTTAGGCCTATCCGATTGCAGACCCATCGAGCATTAAATATTATACGTAGGTGATCCAAACCCATTAAAATAAAATACTCCAATTTCTCTTCTCCCTAGATTGGTATGAAATGTGACCCTGTGTTAGTTTCAGGTTCTATTTTTCCATTATCCATCGAGCCAGGACCATATATGTGTTATCTTCTTTTATTGCCTAATTTAGCGAACTTTTCAGAAAACTACCCTTAAATAAAAGAAATAAACTATATAAATCTGCTCTGCTACCAAGTTGGATCTGCATCTTCTTGATAGTGAGCCAGGAAAAAATAGTAAAACTAAAGACAAAAGGGTGAGTATAGGGTGGGACATATATGGTCCTGGGATAATAAGCTTAAGTCGTCATGTTATTCGACTTGGCCAGCTAATATGCCGAACATATGCTATCTGCCTGAGATTTGTAGAGCCCTGTTACGTTGTCTAAGGTCATATGCGTGGGATTTTTTGTTGACCCGACACACCATTGCTATTTACTCGGTGTCTCGTGCGCAGTGGCAGCCAAAATAACGATATCAATCTCTTCTTCTCTCTTATATTTTCTCTCTTCTCTTCTTCTCTCTTCTCTCTTCTATTAAAATATTACAAAAAATTACGTGACAGCCAAAAAAGGTGACTATAAAAAGGCGAAGTGACTGGCGGGATACGATGATACAAAAAAAAAAAAAAAAAAAAAAGAACGCGTAACATGAAGCTTCGATAATTAGCTTCCTCAATTTACTAAGCTTTCATTTTATCATTTCTTGAAATGGCTGCCATACGCTTTGCATCCTCCACAAGCTTTAAACGTTCCACAACCTTACCTACAGTGGATTCCAATATTGTCCAAATGTTTTATTCTTTCAAAGGGAAACTATAAGTGTTCAACAGTGAGCAGCGCTTGTGCCCTTGGATTCTAAATGGGAACAGTCCCAAAAAATATTGACAGAGTTCAAAGCGTGTGGTTCGAGAACCTCAAATGAATCATCAAGACCTTCACGAAGAAATCATTAAGGGAGGCTCAAAAATTGATTTAAAAAATACCCTGGCCCCCATGAATTATAAGTTTACTTTGAGCAAATATAAAGGACCTATTCACGTCCCAGAAATTAGGAGGCGAACTCCATGCCAATCCAGCTGTCATCTATACGAAAAAGCTTATGAGAGGCGCGGAAGACTTTACTCCAACAGACGTGTTCAAATACAAAAGGATTGTCGTCCCAAAAGAGAAGGTATATCTCGGCGGCAGTTTCATTTTGGGTGGAGGTACATAACATACATGTACAGGTCCTTGAGATACTACGATAAGACTAAGGAATCTTTATATACTCACAAATTTGGTTGCCGTTTCATGAAGCGCGAAGTATTAGAATATGACGACATTTTATTTTATGTATTTTTATTTCCAATGCATCTTATCCTGATGGGTGCGGCTCCTACACTATGGCTAGCTCGATGTAATAACAGTTCCTGCTGAGAAGAAAGAACGAAAACATAAAAAGGCAACTATCTGTGTGGATCAATAATGGATGGAGGATGGAGGAAGAAAGTAGTCTGTGTAAGTCTTTGAGGAAAGGGATGTGCCAGAAGCTAGCACAATAATATTTGTAGGGTTTTGACAACGTCAACACCATTTACAGTGGACATTGGTGTTAAAGAACACATGTTTAGTGCTATTTTACTATACCAACCCCTGCTTGTGTAGAGGATGTGTTTGCCAAGTAATCAAAAAATAAGCGGAGCGATGTTTGGTTGCTTTGAGGCATAAACCAAACAATAGATACTGTCATATTTATCCTTCGATCTTTATCCACTGCTGGGATAAACTATTGTAGAGGGAGAATGGGTACAGAACATCATGTAAGACCGTTCCTTGTCCAAATAATCATCGGATCAATCTCCTTGGTGATGAAAGAGGGCTCTTGCTGATTATCCCCCGAAAGGAAAAAAAAACATCAAGAAGTAGAAAGGATTTCCACAAACAGATTTGATATGGAAAAAATGCTAACGTGTACATTCCTGCGTTTGCTTGTATTCAGGTGCTATACTTTGAAATGTGCTATTTTTTTCTTTGAGCCAAGGATATATTGATATATTCTATTATATCTTTGATGTCTCTATCGCCTCGCTCACTCAGCTTTTCTGTCTTTTTCTCTGTACTTCATACGGAATCAGGACAATCATCCCTACACTTGCATCGATTCACATTCTTTTTTCAATTGCTTCCTCCATTACTTCTTTGAACCATCAGTCATTGTGACTGTTTTTGAAGACGCGTTTATTTTATTTGCGCCACTGAACTTGGAATTAGTTTGACATACGTTAAGGTAATGGTGATAGCAGATAGTCATTTGAGGAGAGAGGCGAGTGTAGAGGTGTTGGCGGCTTGGAGCTCTCCGCTCTTACATTTGATACTGTGTACAATTTAAGCTAACCTGGGTTCTAAACACATTTAAGACCGGGCACTTAACTGGCGTGCACTTTCTCTATACCGACCTTGTTGTAAAAGCGGTGCTCAGCTTTTATTTCGATTTATGGTGCGGAGTATGAAAATACTCGATGGTGTTCTGCTGCTAACCATTTCTATCCTTTCTTTCTTTTTTTTAGATGATCAAAACCGAACAGAAAAAGGAGTCTTCCGAGGTCTTGCGCGTTTCGATGAAGTTACTGTACGACACCCGGGAGTTGCGAACTAAATTTGAGGAGGATGAAAAAATCAAATGGAGGGAAGACAGAGCGGACACGTTTAAGGAGGATGGATATGACTCTGTTAGTATATACACCAAAAGGCTAATAGACATGTATGAATACGAATTTCAGATCAAAGCAGCTAGGGCGCTGTTTGGCAAGACTCCAGATGACCGTAAGCCCTGTAACCTCAGACGCGTAAATAATAACGCCTTTCGAGATTCCGCTGATGCTGAACTAAATGGAGATGACGACGAATTAAATGAAGATGAAGGCGAATTAAAGGGAGACGATGGCGAATTAAATGGAGGCAGTGGTGGTACTGGCAGACTCAGCACAGAGGACTGGGTCCTTATCGGAGAGCCGGAAATGTACAATTACAACGACGTAGTCGTAGCTGTTATTACTAAGAGCTTTGGCGATGAAACAGGCTCCAAGAGATACATCGGCTTCTTGAGCCACATTGCCAGGATCCCGCAAAGCAGCTTGTGGCAATACATTTTTACATTCAACGCACAAATATCTTCTTTACGAAACATTAAGGTACTGATGTGGGCGATTGATAATCTTAAGTCCTATAAGCGTGTTGTGAGGAGCCTTTCCGATGAGGTTGCGATGAAGTCAATACCAGAACTGTTCTTGAAAGGCCCTGTGACAGACACTAGACCTTTTACGGACAATACTGTAGACATTCAAGATGATGTACTCGAGTCGATGAACCAATCGCAAAAGGTTGCGATATCAAGAGCAACTCAGGAAGATGGGGACAAGGTGGTGCTGATTCAGGGCCCTCCTGGATGTGGCAAATCGACAGTAATCGCTGAAATTGTGCGTTTACTTATCTCCCATGGCCAAGATAACGCGAGACCGCAGGTCCTGGCGTGTGCACAGTCGAATGTTGCTATAGCGGACCTTGCGTATAAGTACGTTACCACCAAAAAGCCTAAAAACAAGTTTGAGTGTATCATGGTTATGAGGCCACCCAAGATTACTGATAGCCGCAAGAGAGCTGTGCTTGAACCATTTACAATTACCACCCGATATCACCAATTTGTCAATGCTGTGTTGCACACCATCATACGCGCTTTTGAGCGTACCCCCACCGCGTGTCACGGGAGCACGACAAGAAATGAAGTTAAGAGTATTGTGGCCGCCGATTTCAATGCGTGTGTGGAGAGTGGTTTAATCGAGCTACTGTCTCAGGAAGCCTGCGCCCTCCTTATGTTTACGGAGGGTGCGATCAGCGAATATGAGCTGCCATCTACCGATTTGACCCAGGTGAAGTCCCTTGTTTTAGGAATGCGCAACGAACTTAAGCTCTTTTTTGAACCCGTCGACCTCAAGTCGTTGCTCGAACTTTGCAGTGTTAGTCAGCATACCGGCACATCGCCACTCTCTAAACCCATATCTATTTATGGGTGGGTTAAGCGAGCTCTCCTCGGCGCAGCGTCTGTTGTATTTTGCACGATTAATATTGGGATATCGTTGACTTATAATAAACGCCTGGAAAGATTAGAGTATATCGTTGTCGATGAGGCAGGACAGGCACTAGAGCCAGATGTGGCTGCACTAATGCGCGTTGGTTCGTGCTTTCGCCGCCTAATTTTGGTTGGAGACCCAAAACAGCTCCCAGGATATTGCGCATCCAACCGAGGCAAGCGCGAGATGATGGACCGCAGCCTCATGGAGCGTCTCCAGACATACCGACTGTGCCATTTTACACTTCTCAACGTACAATACCGCATGCATCAAGACATCTGTGCTTTCATATCTCAAGCCTTCTACGATGACGAGCTGACCTCGGACGAATCAATCCACAGCAGGAGCCCCGTTACAACACTACCAGCAATTATGTCCGTTATGTTTCTGGGATCCCGGACGTGCCAATCAAAAATCACGAAAACGAGTGTGGTGAATATCGACGAGGCTAGGTACATTGTTGCCCATGTATTCAACGTGCTGCTGTTGAACAGAAAGAAGTCAACCCCTTCGTGCAATCCTGTTTCTGAATCAGTACCCTATGCTGAAATGGCGAAAAGCCCACAAAAGGCAAGGGTGCGGCAACCTGCAGTAGCCGCCACGATATCCATTGGAATTATATGTATCTACAAGGCACAAGCCAGCGTTATACGTTATCTAATCGACAAGATGCTACCCCAAAAAAGATCTGGATTCAATATAGTCGTTAGCACCATAGATTCATTCCAGGGACAGGAGTGCGACGTTATCTATGTGGCGCTTACAAGAACTACACAAATTAACGATTTTATGTGCGATCCTAACCGTATTAACGTCGCAATTTCGAGAGCTCGACATCACTTTATTGTAGTGAGGGATGTAAATCTTTCACTGACAGGCAAACAGGACGCCTCACTATCCTACTGGCACAGCCTGTGTGTGGACAGGGAACCCGTGATTATCGATCCGGACTACATGAGGAGCGTACCGCTGTACGATGGGCCGGAACGCGTAACTGGTACCAAGGCTAAGGAAATACCAGCAACACCGTCCACAATTTTAAAGCTCATAGCTAAGGGCCTGGTTACCACAACCCCCGTTTGGACCATCCGTTACGAGAGACTCATGATAGGCCCGAAAATCCCACAAGGGATCCATATGCTCGAATATGTTGTGCAAGCGCTGGCCAGTGGAGACTTTGACGCGGGAGATGGCGGTAGAACAACTAGACCTTTATTCCGCAAACAAAAAGGAGCATCTCTGTTCTTCATTACCTCGGTGTGTGATACAGTGTGCCTTGCGTGGACCGTGGTGGTGCGCGGACACCGCCAGGCCATTGAACTACTTGGCATTGGAGACAAAACATTCGTCGAGAAAATGGTCTGGCCGCTGCTCCGTCGCGACATCGAAGAGCAACCAGAATGGAAGCTCTCTGCGTCTATGAGTCTGTGGTCGTCTGGTATAAGCGTAGACCTCTCCAAGGATATGTCAAAAAGTACCTCGTTGCTCTATGTGCCCGCAGATGTAGATGTCCCTGCCGCTGATGTATTGGCGGATGTACCAGAAAATGTACATCTTTTGAACGATCACAACCACATTGAAGCTATGCCCTTTATGAGATCTAGACCCACTATGATCCTTGGAGGTGGGGGTACTGGCAAGACGGAGTGTATGCTGGATATGATTGAGCAGCAACTGGGTATGGATGCAGACTATGACAACATGCAGCTCTATTTAGGAGCAACAGATTCGTTAGCCAACTGGTCATCGATGAGACTGTTAAAACGGGAGAGCATAACGGAAGAGAGCTTTAGGTTGGTATCGTTCACCAGTCTTCCATCTCTACTTGCAAAGCTCTACATGTCGAATAGCGCCATACGCGGAAAGCTCTTTGTGGACCGGTACATCTTTAGGTCCGAATACATGGATGCCATGCCTGCAATGGTCCGCAGCATTGGCGCCGATGAGCTCTACGATGCCATCCACGCGCGCATCGATATAGAGGCACAAAACAGAACTAGGTTCCTTAGGTCAGAGCACAAGACAGCGCACAAGGTGTACAAATCGATCAAAGCATTGCATGGCCATATCGATGCTTACGATCTTCACGCACTCGTCAAACGAGACCCGCAACGATTAGTGGCTATGGCGTCGAAGATAGCACGCATCTACTTAGATGAGGTCCAAGATATATCATGGACAATGTGGTCCGTAATCGAGATAATGCTGTCTGCACGCACCTCGAGCGTGGTGTGTGCTGGTGATTTCACACAGCGACTTACACCAGGGATCTCGATCAATGGCATAAAGACGCTTATCTATAAGCACCTCCCCAAGAGTATGGAGATTGTTAGATATAAGATCAATTATCGATCGGACCCCAGCATTATATCGCTCGCAAACCGTATCCAATCGTACACCCACATGAGAGAACACGCAATGGAACCGTCTCCCTATACTCAGGAAACTAGCAACTCCGTGACACTGGTAGAGATACAGGACATCGAGCATGAAAATGTAGCCGATGTGTTGCGCTATATCGGAGTACCATCCAACAACTACAGAGCTGCGATCGTCACATCGTCGTCATGGGCACACCGGCTTCGTGAGTCTTTGGGTAAATCTCACAATGTCTTTAGTGCTTACGAGTGTAAGGGTCTCGAGTTCGACCTTGTTGTGTGTTGGGATCTCTTCAACCCAAGCATGGGTGTAAAAACATCGACTCTAAGGCATAACATGGGAGCTGCCACCTTAGATAAGGGTAATATTGAGGAAGACGAGAACTTTGAGATATACTTAAACCATCTCTACGTAACCGTTACAAGGGCACGCAAGCATCTTATAATGGTCGTTCCACCGTGCGAGAGATCCAGCATTATCATCAAGGCGCTCGGAATAAGCGATATCATTCATTACAATGAGCTTCAGGAGTGTGGACCTCTGCCTGAAATCACCCTTCTAGTTGACGAGCTCAGTGTGTCTGACGAACTAAGAATGGCGATCGTGATGAGAGAGAGGGGATTGCTCCATCAGGCCCTCAACGTCTTTGAACAGTACGGCGACGCTGCACAAGCAGGGTTTACAAGAGCTCTAATTCACCGAAAAGAGCACAGGCTTCGCGGGGAAGATCACGAGATCCAGCTTTGTATTGCTGAGTGTTACGGAGTGATCGAGGAATTGCACCAGTCGACAGAGAGTGTTCTCAAAATCGAGGATGTAAAGCTATTCCTTGCCCAGGCACTGGTCGCTGATAAGCAGTATGCTGAAGCTTGTTTGCTTTACGAAGACCTGGAGATGGAAGATGAACTGGTCGCGTGTCTAATCGAGGCAGTCGAATCAAAGTCTGGAGATGTAATGCGGATACGATACCTAATACCCGAAAAAGCTGTAGCTATATGGGAGCATTTCAAGGACAACAATAGATACGCAAGATTCGTTGTTGCATTGATGCTTGCGTTTGAACCTCCATCTGTAGACCTAGTTCAGTCGATGATCTCGCACATTCCATCCAAGGCAGGGCTTATTATGATGCATAACTCTCTGGTAGAGGCCAATAAAAGTGTATCTCCCATATGGGAAGTATTCCGAAGAAGAAAGTCGCTGCAGATTGGGCCCGGGTCAGGAAAGTTGGGGGAACTGACATTTTTAGAATGGAGTTCATTGCGACGCCTTGATGGCCGGCACGCTAACAAAGACTTGGGTTACATTATGTCTGCTCATTGCTTGCCAAAATATCAGTCGTCAATGGCATGTCTGTTTGTTGGGCCTAGAAACAGCAAGACCACCGACATCTTGTCACTCCATATCCAATCGGGTGCTATACTAAAGGCGTGTCGATCGCTGGAAGTGCCTTTGAAGCATGTGGCAATGAAGATGACTGAACTCTCGTGCTCCCTTTCAGATTTTATGGCACTCCATTCCCAAATACCGAGTGAAGAAGAGTCAAGGATGCACCTGCTTGCCGAGGCGTACAAGATGCATAAGCTGGAGATGAGGGGTAGCGAGCATCAGCTCGCACTCTTTAGATGGTGTGATAAGATGAGCCGGGGTGCGGACATTATCGGGATTATCTGTACCATGCTTAGGGAGGATAAACAGATGCTGCTCGGCAGCTACAGACCAGGTAACACTGCAAACGCAACACAGAAAGCACTGCTTCGTGTGTTAAGCGAGAGGCGCTAGCTTAGGCAGATCCACAAGCATAAATATCACAAGTGATCCACATCCTCTTAGAATAAAATATTTTGATTCCTTTTCCCCATGGTTTGGTACAAATGTAACATTGTGAAGGTTTCGAGTTTTTATCTCAAGTTTCTTTTTTTTTTTTTCAACATGCTGGAGATGTGCTATCTGCTAGAGATTTGGCTATTTTGAGGTGTAGAATTCTGTTATGTTGCCTTAGAGTATATGCATAGGTTTATTTGTTTGGCCGACACACCATTTGCTATTTGCTCTGTGGTTCGTGCGCAGCGGTAGCCGAAATGGCGGTATCATCCATTTTTGTTAAAGTTGTAGGGGCTATAAAAGGCTTCAGATCCAGCTGCATAGCTACAAAGTCGTAGCACGAGTCTAACTATAGGCCTGATAATTTTATTTTTTGCACTTTTATCCTTCCCTTACAAAAATATAATCGCCAAAGATGATTTTATTGAAATATGTGCGCAACAGTGTGCAGATACTACTGCCGTCTAATTATTTTCTGTGTCATTTTCTACAGTCCTTTTTTTTTTTTTTTTTTTTTTTTTTGATCAAAAAATAACGATCAGAGCTCAATGGCGGGCTTCCTCAGCCCTTAAATCACCGTGTAACCAGGCCTCAACGGTGAATTCCTTTAGTATTTGACACATGATGTAATCGGTTGGTTCCCCAAAAAGCTGTTCTAGGCCTCAAACGTATACTCTCCGGAAATAACCAGATCTTAATGGTAGGTTGTTTAAATCATTACTACACGGTATGATTGATGAACTCCTTCGAATAGTATTCGCGAGCCTACTCTGCCTGTGCACTTAAAAAAAAAAAAAAAAAAAAAAAAAAAAGAAAAGATATGAGTGTGTTCTAAGAAATGAATATAAGGAATTCGGAGGAGTATGGCTTTCAACTCACCCTTTCGTACACGCATTGTCATACATAACTCAGTCTTATAGCTTTCTTATCACATAAGGCCATTGCCATGAAAGACCGACCTTTTGACAAAAAGTTGAGTTCTGAGGGAGGCCCTCTCCATACTTCCTGCCCTCTCCCTACCTGCCCATCTCCGGCTATGAGAGCGGAAAAAGTAGGTATTTGAGATATTCACTCTGCCTTCGTAAAGGAAGTCAATCAAGGAAAGGATGAAGTTGTTCTGCCATTCCATACTGCCCCCGGGCGACAGAAACAAGAAGATAACAGTCTTTTCTACGGCTATTTGCTTCTCTTTCAGCTATTTTTGAGTATTCTTCGTCCCCCACCTTCGCTGTTTTTCGAAGCCATCTGTTCTGCACTTAGGCGCGCATACTGTCAAATCACTTGAGTTGACTTTAGCGTTTGTCTTTTATTAATGAATAGGATCTACGAGGATGCATATTTGATGGTAATCTTCGCTTGCTGATTAATAGGCACTGGGACTCTTTTTCTTAAGGCCTTGCATTGATTTATGACGAGAAAATCTATCCCTTACTAATTGAATCCTTAAAAATAGGTGTATGAATGAAGCCTGTTATCCATCTGGTTTCGAATAGAAGGATGCGTTGAATGTTTTCTTCTAGTAGAATACTATGTCTTTGAATAGGACTGACGTGCTTAAGGATCAGTGGATCAATGCAATATTTGTATAGGACTTTACCACTTAGCTCGTATTGTTGTGTGTACATTTATTGCTTGCAAAGATTCAATCTGAGGTGAGTGCCTTTAAGTGTCGGCACCCGACAAGGTGAATAAACTTCACGAGACAAAGCACTAAACTGATGTGATTGTGAACGAAGCCACAGATAGCCCGTCTAGTTATATTTTATTTTTATTTTCGACACATCTCATCCTGAAGAATGCGGCTTCTGCATTATCATCAACTCGATGCAATAGCAGCTATCCTGTTGAGAAGAAAGAAGACGTAAAAAAGACAGCTATCTATGTAGACCGACAACGAATGGAGGATAGAAGTAGATAGAAGATTGCAAAAGTCTTTGATGAGAAAAGATGTGCCAGGAAATAACACAATAATATTCTGTAGAGCTTCAACAACATCAACTAGCACTCACGATATAACCAAAGCCAGAAGTGATATTTAAAGTACACATGTTTAATGCTATTTACTTTACCAACTCCTTGTATAGAGGATGAACCAACCAAAAAATAAGCGGGGTAATGTTGAGTAAACAGTTTCTGGTCAATGCTTTGAAACATGAACCACACAATAGATACTGTCATGTTTATTCTTCGATCTTTATCAGCTGCTGGGATAAACTATTGTAGAGGGAGAATGGGTACAGAACATCATGTAAGACCGTTCCTTGTCCAAATAATCATCGGATCAATCTCCTTGGTGATGAAAGAGGGCTCTTGCTGATTATCCCCCGAAAGGAAAAAAAAACATCAAGAAGTAGAAAGGATTTCCACAAACAGATTTGATATGGAAAAAATGCTAACGTGTACGTTCCTGCGTTTGCTTGTATTCAGGTGCTATACTTTGAAATGTGCTATTTTTTTCTTTGAGCCAAGGATATATTCTATTATATCTTTGATGTCTCTATCGCCTCGCTCACTCAGCTTTTCTGTCTTTTTCTCTGTACTTCATACGGAATCAGGACAATCATCCCTACACTTGCATCGATTCACATTCTTTTTTCAATTGCTTCCTCCATTACTTCTTCGAACCATCAGTCATTGTGACTGTTTTTGAAGACGCGTTTATTTTATTTGCGCCACTGAACTTGGAATTAGTTTGACATACGTTAAGGTAATGGTGATAGCAGATAGTCATTTGAGAGCATAGGGGTTCATCATTCTTACATTCGATATTGTGCGCGATGTGAGCTGACTTGGGCTCTAAACACATTTAAGACCGGCGTACTTTACTGGCGCACGCTTTTTCTTTGCCGACCTTGTTATAAAAGCGGTGCTCAGCTTTTATTTTGATTTGTGCCACAGAATATGAAGATATTCGATGATATACTGTTATTAACCATTTCTTTCTTTTTTTTCTTTTCTTTTAGATGACCAAAACTGAAAAGAAAGAGGAGTCTTCCGAGGTCTTACGCGTTTCGATGGATTTACTATACGACACCCAAAAGTTGCAAGCTTTACTGGAGAAGGACCAGAAAATCAACTTGGGGAAAGGCAAGGTGGACACCTTTAAGAGGGATGGATACCAGTCTGTTAGTCTGTACACCAAAAGACTTATAGACATGTATACATACGAATTTCAGATCGAAGCAGCAAAGGCGCTGTTTGGCAAGATTCCAGACGACTGCAAGCTCTGTAACCTCAGTCGCGTTAAAAATAACGCCTTTCGAGCCTTCACTGATGTCGAACTGAATGAAGACGATGGTGAGTTATATGGAGACGATGGCGAACTAAGTGGAGGCAATGGTGAATTAAATGGAGGCAGTGGTGGTGCTGACATACCCGGCGCAGAGGAGTGGGTCCTTATCGGAGAGCCAGAAATGTACAATTACAACGACGTAGTCGCAGCTGTTGGCACTAAGAGCTTTGGCGATGAAGCAGGCTCCAAGCGATACATCGGCTGCTTGAGCCACATTTCCAGAATCCCGCAAAGCAACTTGCGGCAATACATTTTTACATTCAACGCGCAAATATCTTCTTTACGAAACATTAAGGTACTGATGTGGGCGATTGATAATCTCACGTCCTATAAGCGCGTCGTGGGAAGCCTTTCCAATGAGGATGCGATGAAGTCAATACCGGAACTGTTCATGAAAGGCCCTGTGACAGACACTAGACCCTTTACGGAGAATACTGTAGACATCCAGGATGACGTGCTCGAGTCGATGAACCAATCGCAAAGAGTTGCGATATCAAGAGCAATTCAGGAAGATGGGGGCAAGGTGGTGTTGATTCAGGGCCCTCCTGGATGTGGTAAATCGACGGTGATCGCCGAAATTGTGCGTTTACTTATCCCCCATGGCCAAGATAGCGCGAGAACACAGGTCCTGGCGTGTGCACAGTCGAATGTTGCTGTGGTAGATCTTGCATATAAGTATGTTACCATTAAAAAACCTAAGGACAATTTTGAGTGTGTCATGGATATGAGGCCATCCAAGATCACCGATAGCCACAAGAGAGCTGTGCTCGAGCCATTTACAATTACCACCCGATATCATCAAGTTGTCAATGCTGTGTTGCATACCATCATACGCGTCTTTGGGCGTACCCCCACCGCGTGTCACGGGAGCACGACAAAGGATGGAGTTAAGAATATTGTGGCCGCCGATTTCAATGCATGTGTGGAAAGTGGCTTAATTGAACTACTTCCTCCGAGAGCCCACACTCTCCTTATGTTTACGGAGGTCACGCTCAGCGATTCTGAGCTGCCGTCTACCGATTTGGCCCAGGTGAAGTCCCTTGTTTTAGGAATGCGCAACGAACTAGAGCTCTTTTTTGAGCCCGTTGACCTCAAGTCGTTGCTCGAACTTTGCAGCGTTAATCAGCATACCGGCACATCGCCACGCTCTAAACCCATATCTATTTATGGGTGGGTGAAGCAAGCTCTCCTTAACACAGCGTCTGTTGTATTTTGCACGATTAATATCGGGATATCGTTGACTTATAATAGACGCTTGGACAGTCTAGCGTATATCGTTGTCGATGAGGCAGGACAGGCACTAGAGCCAGATGTGGCTGCACTAATGTGTGTTGATTCGTACTTTCGTCGCCTTATCTTGGTTGGAGACCCAAAGCAGCTCCCAGGATATTGCGCATCCAACCGAGGCAAGCGCGAGATGATGGACCGCAGTCTTATGGAGCGTCTCCAGACATACCGACTGTGCCATTTTACACTTCTCAATGTACAATACCGCATGCATCAAGACATCTGTGCATTCATATCTCAAACCTTCTACGATAACGAGTTGACCTCCGACGAATCAATCCACAACAGGAGCCCTGTTACAACACTACCAGCAATTATGCCCGTTATGTTTCTGGGGTCCCGGACGAGCCAGTCGAAAATCACGAAAACGAGTGTGGTGAATATCGACGAGGCTAGGTACATTGTTGCCCATGTATTCAACGTGCTGCTGTTGAACAGAAAGAAGCCAACCCCTTCGGGCAATCCTGCGTCTGAATCAGTATCTTATGCTGACATGGCGAAACTCCCACAAAAGACAAGGGTGCGACAACCCGCAGTGGCTGCCACGCTATCCATTGGAATTATATGTATCTACAAGGCACAGGCCAGCGTTATACGTTATCTAATCGACAAGATGCTACCCCAAAAAAGATCTGGATTCAATATAATCGTTAACACCATAGATTCGTTCCAGGGACAGGAGTGTGACGTTATCTATGTGGCACTTACAAGAACTACACAGATTAACGATTTTATGCGCGATCCTAACCGTGTTAACGTCGCAATTTCGAGAGCTCGACACCACCTAATTGTAGTGGGGGATGCAAATCTTTCGCTGACAGGCGAACAAGACGTCTCGCCATCCTACTGGCATAGCCTGTGTGTGGACAGGGAACCCGTGATTATTGGTCCAGACTACATGAGGAACGTACCGCTGTATGATGGGCCGGAACTCATAGCTAGTGCCAAAGCTAAGGAAATACCAGCAACACCGGCCATAATTAAAAAGCTCATAGCTAAAGGCCTGGCTACTACAACCCCCATTTGGACCATCCGCTACGAGAGGCTCATGATAGGCCCGAAAATCCCGCAAGGAAGCCATATACTCGAATATGTCGTGCAAACACTAGCTTGTGGAGACTTTGACGCGGGAGATGGCGGTAGAACAACTAGACCTTTATTCCGCAAACAAAAAGGAGCATCCCTGCTCTTCGTTACCTCGGTGTGTGATACAGTGTGTCTTGCGTGGACCGTGGTGGTGCACGGGCACCGCCAGGCCATTGAGCTTCTTGGCATCGGAGACAAAACATTCATCGAGAAGAAGGTCTGGCCGCTGCTCCGCCACGACATCAAAGAGCAACCAGAATGGAAGCTCTCTGCGTCTATGAGTCTGTGGTCGTCTGGTATAAGCGTAGACCTCTCCAAGGATATGCCAAAAAGTACGTCGTTGCTCTATGTACCCGTAGATGTAGATGTTCCTGCCGCTGACTTATTGGCGGATGTACCAGAGAATGGACACCTTTTGACCGATCACAGCCACGTTAAAGCCATGTCCTTTATGAGGTCCAGACCCATTATGATCCTTGGAGGTGGGGGTACTGGCAAGACGGAGTGCATGTTGGATATGATCGAGCAGCAACTGGATATGGATACAGACTATGACAACATGCAGCTCTATTTGGGAGCGACAGATTCGTTAGCCAACTGGTCGTCGGTGAGGCTATTAAAGCGAGAGAGTATAACAGAACAGGGCTTTAAGATGGTATCGTTCACCAGTCTTCCATCTCTACTCACAAAGCTATACATGTCAAACAGCAGCATACGCGGGAAGCTCTTTGTAGACCGGTACATCTTTAGATCTGAATATATGGATGCCATGCCTGCAATGGTCCGCAGTATTGGCGCCGATGAGCTCTACGATGCTATCCTCGCACGCATGGATATAGAGGCACACAACAGTACTAGGTTCCTTAGGTCAGAGCACAAGACAGCGCACAAGGTGTACAAATCGATCAAAGCATCGCGTGGCGACATCGACGCTTACGACCTTCACGCACTCGTTAAGCGAGACCCGCAACGAGTAGTGGCTATGGCGTCGAAGATAGCACGCATCTACCTAGATGAGGTCCAGGATATATCGTGGACAATGTGGTCTGTAATCGAGATAATGCTGTCTGCAGGCGCCTCAAGCGTGGTGTGTGCTGGTGATTTCACACAGCGACTTACACCAGGGATTTCGGTTAATGGCATAAAGACGCTTATCTATAAACACCTCCCAAAGAGTATGGAGACCATAAAGTTTAAGACAAATTATCGATCAGACCCTAGCATTATATCGCTCGCCAATCGTATTCAATCGTACACACGCATGAGGGAACATGCAATGAAACCGTCCCTCTACCCTCAGGAAAGCAGCAACTCCGTGGCACTGGTAGAGATACAGGACATCGAGCATGAAAATGTAGCCGATGTGTTGCGCTATATCGGAGTACCATCCAACAACTACAGAGCCGCGATTGTCACATCGTCGTCATGGGCACATCGGCTTCGTGAGACTTTGGGTAAATCTCACAATGTCTTTAGTGCTTACGAATGCAAGGGTCTCGAGTTCGACCTTGTTGTGTGTTGGGATCTATTCAACCCAAGCATGGATGTAAAAACATCGACTCTAAGGCGTAACATGGGAACTGCCGCGTTGGATAGAGGCAATATTGAGGGAGATGAGAACTTCGAGATATACTTGAACCACCTCTACGTAACCGTTACAAGGGCACGCAAGCATCTTATAATGGTCGTCCCACCGTGTGATAGAACCAGTATTATGATCAGGGCACTCGGGATTAACGATGTCGTCCATTACAGCGAGGTCCAGGAGCGTGGACCTCTGCCTGAAATCACCCTTCTAGTTGACGAGCTCAGTGTGTCTGACGATCTAAGAATGGCGATTGTAATGAGAGAGAGAGGATTGCTCCAGCAGGCCCTCAACGTCTTTGAGCAGAATGGCGACGCTGCACAAGCAGGGTTTACAAGAGCTCTAATCCATCGAAAAGAGCACAGGCTTCGCGGGGAAGATCACAAGATCCAGCTTTGTATTTCTGAGTGTTACGGAGTGATCGAGGCATTGCAGCAGTTGGCGGGCAGTGTTCTCAAAATCGAGGATGTAAAGCTATTCCTTGCCCAGGCACTGGTCGCTGATAAACAGTATACCAGAGCATGTTTTCTCTACAAGGAATTGGAGATGAAAGATGAACTGGTCACATGCCTGATCGAGGCAGTCGAATCAAAGTCTGAAGATGTAGCGCAGCTACGAGGCCTAGTATCCGATCAAGCTGTAGCTATATGGGAGCATTTCAAGGACAACAATAGATACGCAAGATTTGTTATTGCGTTAATGCTGATATTCAAATCTTCGCCTGTAGATATAGTCCAGTCGATGCTCTCGCACATTCCATCCAAGACAGGGCTTATTATGATGCATAACTCTTTGGCAAAGGCCAATATAAGTATATTCCCCGTATGGGAAGTATTCCGAAGAAGGAAGTCGCTGCAGATCTGGTCTGAATCGCAAGAGCCGGAGGAACTGACATTTTTAGAATGGAGCTCATTACGACGCCTCGATAGCCAACACTCCAACGAAGATTTGGTTTTCATTACGTCTGCTAGCTGCTTCCCAGAATCCCAACCACCAATGGCATGCCTGTTCGTTGGGCCTAGAAACAACAAGACTACAAACACCTTGTCGCTTCATATCCAATCGGGTGCTATGCTAAAGGCGTGTCGATCATTGGAAGTGCCCATGAGGCACGTGGCAACGAGGATGAGAGAGCTCTCGTGCCCTCTGGTAGATTTTATGACACTCCATTCCCAAATACTGAGCGAAGAAGAGTCAAGGATGCACCTGCTTGCTGAGGCGTATAGGGCACATAAGCACGAGATGAGAGGTAGCGAGCATCAGCTCGCACTCTTTAGATGGTGTGCTAAGATGAGCGGGGGTACGGACATTATCGAGGTTATCTGCATCATGCTTAGGGAGGACAAACAGATGCTGCTCGGCATCTACAGCCCAGATAACACTATAAACGCAACACAGAAAGCACTGCTTCGTGTGTTAAGCGAGAGGTGTTTTTAGGTACGCTAGCTTAGGCTTGTCCCATCAAGCATAAATATCACGAGTGGTCCACATCCCCTTAGAATAAAATATCTCGATTTCCTTTTCCCCATGGTTTGGTATAAATGTAGTATTGTGAAGGTTTCGAGTTTATATTTCAACTTTCTTTTTTTTTTTCAACATGTTGGAGATGTGTTATCTGCTAGAGATTCGGTTATTTTAAGGTGTAGAATTCTGTGATGTTGTCTTAGAATATGTGCATAGGTTTATTTGTTTGGCCGACACACTATTTGCTATTTGCTCTGTGGTTCGTTCGCAGCGGCAGCCGAAATGGCGGTATCATCCATTTTTGTTAAAGTTGTAGGGGCTATAAAAGGCCTTAGATCCAGCTGCATAGCTACAAAGTCGTAGCGCGAGTCTCACTATAGGCTTGACAGTTTTATTTTTTGCACTTTTACCCTTCCCTTACAAAAATATAATCGCCAAAGATGATTTTATTGAAATATGTGCACAACAGTGTGTAGATACCAATGCCCTCTAATTATTTTTTTTGATAAAAAATAACGATTAGAGCTTAATGGTGGGCTTCCTCAAGCCTTAATTCATTGCATAACCAACCCTCAACGGTGAATTTCTTTAGTATTTGACACATGATGTAATCGGTTGGTTCCCCAAAAAGCTGTTCTAGGTCTCAAGCGTATACTTTCCGGAAATAACCAGATCTTAATGGTGGGTTGCTTCAGCCATTACTACACAGTATGGTTGATGAACTCCTTCGAATAGTATTCACGAGCCTGCTCTGCCTGTGCACTTAAAAAAAAAAAAAAAAAAAAAAAGAAAAGAAAAGAAAAGATGTGAGTGTATTGTCAGAAATTAATATTAGGAATTCGGAGGAATATGGCTTTCAACTCACCCCTTTCGCACACGCCTTGTCATATATAACTCAGTCTTCTAGTTTTTATGTTACATAAGGTCATTTCCACGAAATGCCGACCTTTTGGCAAAAAGTTGAGCTCTGAGGGGGCCCTCTCCATACCTCCTGCCCTCCCCTACCTGCCCCATCTCCGGTTATGAGAGCGGAAAAAGTAGGTATATGAAATATTCGCTCCGCCTTCGTAAAGAAAGTCAAGCAAGAAAAGGATGAAGTTGTTCTGCCATTCCATGCTGCCTCCGGGTGACAGAAAACAAGAAGACAACAGTCTTTTCTACGGTTATTTGCTTCACTTTCAGCTACCTTTGAGTATTCTTCGTTCCCTACCTTCGCTATTCTTTCGAAGCCATCCGTTCTGTACTTAGGTGTGCATACTGCCAAATCACTCGATTTGACTTTAGCGTTTGTCTTTTATTAATGAATGAGATCTACGAGGATGTGTATTTGATAGTAATCTTCGCTTGTAGATTAATAGGCACTAGGTTCTTTTTCTTAAGGCCTTGCGTTGAATTATGATGAGAAAATCTATCCCTTACTAATTGGATTCTCAACCTACAGCGTATCTAAGTTGCTCTGCTTAAAAATAAGTATATGAATCAAGCCTTTTATCTATCTGGTTTCGATTAGAAGGATGCGTTGAATGTTGTCTTCTAGTAGAATATTATGTCTTTGAATAGGAGATAGAAGATTGCAAAGGTCTTTGATGGAAAAGGATATACCAAGAAATAACACAATAATATTCTGTAGCGCTTCAGCAACACCAATCAGCACTTACCATACAACCGGAATCGATATTTAAAGTACACATGTGTAATGCTATTTACTTTACCAACTCCTTGTACGGAGAATGAACTGGTTAAGTAACCAAAAAATAAGCGGGGTAATGTTGAGTAAACAGTTTCTGGTCAATGCTTTGAAACATGAACCACACAATAGATACTGTCATGTTTATTCTTCGATCTTTATCAGCTGCTGGGATAAACTATTGTAGAGGGAGAATGGGTACAGAACATCATGTAAGACCGTTCCTTGTCCAAATAATCATCGGATCAATCTCCTTGGTGATGAAAGAGGGCTCTTGCTGATTATCCCCCGAAAGGAAAAAAAAACATCAAGAAGTAGAAAGGATTTCCACAAACAGATTTGATATGGAAAAAATGCTAACGTGTACGTTCCTGCGTTTGCTTGTATTCAGGTGCTATACTTTGAAATGTGCTATTTTTTTCTTTGAGCCAAGGATATATTCTATTATATCTTTGATGTCTCTATCGCCTCGCTCACTCAGCTTTTCTGTCTTTTTCTCTGTACTTCATACGGAATCAGGACAATCATCCCTACACTTGCATCGATTCACATTCTTTTTTCAATTGCTTCCTCCATTACTTCTTCGAACCCATCAATCATTGTGACTGTTTTTGAAGACGCGTTTATTTTATTTGCGCCACTGAACTTGGAATTAGTTTGACATACGTTAAGGTAATGGTGATAGCAGATAGTCATTTGAGAGCATAGGGGTTCATCATTCTTACATTCGATATTGTGCGCGATGTGAGCTGACTTGGGCTCTAAACACATTTAAGACCGGCGTACTTTACTGGCGCACGCTTTTTCTTTGCCGACCTTGTTATAAAAGCGGTGCTCAGCTTTTATTTTGATTTGTGCCACAGAATATGAAGATATTCGATGATATACTGTTATTAACCATTTCTTTCTTTTTTTTCTTTTCTTTTAGATGACCAAAACTGAAAAGAAAGAGGAGTCTTCCGAGGTCTTACGCGTTTCGATGGATTTACTATACGACACCCAAAAGTTGCAAGCTTTACTGGAGAAGGACCAGAAAATCAACTTGGGGAAAGGCAAGGTGGACACCTTTAAGAGGGATGGATACCAGTCTGTTAGTCTGTACACCAAAAGACTTATAGACATGTATGAATACGAATTTCAGATCGAAGCAGCAAAGGCGCTGTTTGGCAAGATTCCAGACGACCGCAAGCACTGCCGTCTCGAACGCGTAAAAAATAAAGCCTATCGAGACTTCACCGATGGCGAATTAAATGAAGACGTTGGGGAACTTAATGAAGACAGTGACGTTGGGGAACTTAATGAAGATAGTGGCGATGCTGACAGACCTAACGTAGGGGGCTGGATCCTTGTTGAAGAGCCAGAGATATACAACCACAACGACATTGTCGTTGCTGTAATCACTAAGAATTTTGGCGATTGGGAAGACTCCGAGCGATACATCGGCTGCTTGGAGCACATCTATAGGGACTTGCAAACTGGATCGAATGAATATACTTTTACATTTGACGCGCAAATATCATCTTCCAAGGAAATTGACGTGCTGATGTGGACGATTGGGAACCTTACAGCCTACGAGCGTATTATGAATAGTCTATCTAATGTGGATAAGATGAGCTCGATACCAAAGGTGTTTCTGAGAGGCCCTGCAACAGGCATTAGCCCCCTTATAGACGATACTCCACACAGACGAGCTGATGTACCCGAGTCGATGAACACAGCGCAGAAGGTTGCGATATCAAGGGCAACCCAGGGAGGCCCGGAGGATGTGGTGCTGGTTCAGGGCCCTCCTGGATGTGGTAAATCGACGGTAATCGTCGAAATGGTGCGTTTACTCACCCCCCGTGTCCAGTATAGTGCGAGAGTGCAGGTCCTGGTGTGTGCACAGACGAATGTTGCTGTGGTGGATCTTGCCTACAAGTATATCACCACTAACAAGCCTAAAAGCAAGTTTGAGTATGTTATGGTTATGAGGCCACCCAAGATCATCGATAGCCACAAGAGAGCAGTGCTCGAGCCATTTACAGTTACCGCTCGATATCACCAAGTTGTCAATGCTGTGTTGCACACCATCATACGCGTCTTTGGGTACACCCCCATCGCATGTCATGGGAGCTCGGCAAGAGATAAAGTTAAGAGTATTGTAGCCACCGATTTTAAGAGGTTTGTGGAAAGTGGTTTAATCAAGCTACTGCCTATGCGCGCCCGCGAATTCCTTTCTGGGCTGCCGTCTGCCGATTCGGCCCAGATGAAGCCTCTGATTTTTGGAATGCGCAACGAACTAGGGCCCTTTTTTAGGCGCGATGACTTCAAATCATTGCTCGAACTGTGCAGTACTGGCCAGGGTACTGACATTCCACGCTCTAAACCCTTACCCATTTATGGATGGCTGAAACAAGCTCTTCTTCGTGCAGCTTCGGTCGCGTTTTGCACAATTAATGTTGGGATATCGGTGACTTTTTGGGGAGCCATGACCAACCTAACGTATATCATTGTCGATGAGGCAGCGCAGGCACTAGAGCCGGATGTGACTGCATTAATGTGCGTTGATTCGAGCTTTCGTCGCCTAATTTTGGTTGGAGATCCAATGCAGCTCCCAGGATATTGTACATCCAACCAAGGCAAGCGTGACATGATGGACCGCAGCCTCATGGAGCGTCTCCAGACATACCAATTGTGCCATTCGACACTCCTCGATGTACAGTATCGCATGCATCAAGACATCTGTGCTTTCGTGTCCCGAACCTTCTACGATAACAGATTGACCTCCGACAAATCGATCCACGACAGGAACCCTGTTACAACACTACCAGCAGTTATGCACGTTATGTTCCTGGGATCCCAGGCAAGCCAGTCGAGAATCACGACAACGAGCGTGGTGAATATCGACGAGGCTAGATACATTGTTGCCCATGTATTCAGTGTGCTGTTGTCGTCCAGGCAAAAGCAAGCTCCTTTGACTAATCCTGTGACTAAATCAATCACATTCGCTAAGATGGCGGCGACACTTCCGCAAAAGGTAGAGGCGCGACAACCTGCAGAGGCCCCCACGACCACCATTGGGATCATATGTATCTACAAGCCGCAAGCCAACGTTATACAGTATCTAGTCGACAGAATGCTGTCCCAAGGAGCCTATAAAGGACTTGGATTTAACATAGTCGTTAATACTATAGATTCATTCCAGGGGCAGGAGTGCGACATTATCTATGTGGCACTTACAAGAACTAACAAAATCAACGCTTTTATGTGCGATCCTAACCGTGTTAACGTCGCAATTTCGAGAGCTCGGCATCATCTAATTATAGTGGGAGACGCGAGTCTTTCGCTAACAGACAAAAAAGACGCATCATCATCTTACTGGCATAAGCTGTTTGTGGACAAGAGCTCAATGATTATCGAACAAAAGCACATCAAGAACGTACCTCCGTACGAAGGACCAGAGAGTGTTACTACTATGAGGACCGCGGCAATGCCAGCAGCGCCGATCACAATCAAAAAGCTCATAGCTAGGGGACTGGATGCCACAACTCCTATTTGGACCATCCACTACGAGAGACTTATGATAGACCCGAAAACTCCGCAAGGAATCCATATACTCGAATATGTCGTGCAAACACTGGCTAGTGGAGATTTTGACACGGGCAATGGTGGTAGAACAACAAGGCCTTTATTCCGCAAACAAAAGGGGGCAGCTCTATTTTTCGTTACCACAGTGTGTGATAAAGTGTGCCTTGCGTGGACCGTGATAGTGCACAAGCAGCGTCAGGCCATTGAACTCCTTGGCATTGGAGACAAAACATTCGTCGAGAAGAAGGTTTGGCCATCGCTCCGTCGCGACAACGAAAGGCAACCGGAATGGGTGCTCTCTGCGTCTATGAATTTGTGGTCGTCCGGTATAAGCGTAGACCTCTCCAAGGATATGCCAAAAAGTACGTCGCTGCTCTATGTACCCGCAGATATAGATCCTCCTGCCACCGATGTATTGGCAGATGTACCAGAAAATGGTCGTATGATCGATCACGACCATATTAAAGCCATGGCGTTCATGAGATCCAGGCCCACTATGATTCTTGGAGGTGGGGGTACTGGCAAGACGGAGTGCATGTTGGGTATGATCGAGCAGCAACTGGACATGGATACAGACTATGACAACATGCAGCTCTATTTGGGAGCAACAGATTCGTTAGCCAACTGGTCGTCAATGAGGCTATTAAAATGGGAGAGTATAACGGAACAGGGCTTTAAGATGGTATCGTTCACCAGTCTTCCGTCTCTACTTGCAAAGCTCTTCATGTCGAGCAGCACCATACACGGGAAGCTTTTTGTGGATCGAGATGTCTTTAGGTCCGAATACATGGATGCCATGCCTGCAATGGTCCGCAGTATTGGCGCCGATGAGCTCTATGATGCTATCCTCGCACGCATGGATGTAGAGACACAGAGCAGTATTAGTTCTCTTAGGCCAGAGTACAAGACAGCGCACAAGGTCTATGAATCGGTCAAAGCGTCGCGTGGCCACATCGACGCTTACGACCTTCACGCACTCGTTAAGCGAGACCCGCAACGATTAGTGGCTATGGCGTCGAAGATTGCACGCATCTACTTAGATGAGGTCCAGGATATATCGTGGACAATGTGGTCCGTAATCGACATAATGCTGTCTGCAGGTACCTCAAGCGTGGTGTGTGCTGGCGATTTTACACAACGACTTACACCAGGGATTTCAGTCAATGGCATAAAGACGCTTATCTATAAACACCTCCCAAAGAGTATGGAGACCATAAAGTTTAAGACAAATTATCGATCAGACCCTAGCATTATATCGCTCGCCAATCGTATTCAATCGTACACACGAATGAGGGAACACGCAATGGAACCGTCCCTCTACCCTCAGGAAAGCAGCAACTCCGTGGCACTGGTAGAGATACAGGACATCGAGCATGAAAATGTAGCCGATGTGTTGCGCTATATCGGAGTACCATCCAACAACTACAGAGCCGCGATTGTCACATCGTCGTCATGGGCACATCGGCTTCGTGAGACTTTGGGTAAATCTCACAATGTCTTTAGTGCTTACGAATGCAAGGGTCTCGAGTTCGACCTTGTTGTGTGTTGGGATCTTTTCAACCCAAGCATGGGTGTAAAAACATCGATTCTAAGGCATAACATGGGAGCTACCACCTTAGATAAAGGTAATATTGAGGAAGACGAGAACTTCGAGATATACTTAAATCATCTCTACGTAACCGTTACAAGGGCACGCAAGCATCTTATAATGGTCGTTCCATCGTGTGAAAGAACCAGTATTATGACCAAGGCACTCGGGATTAGCGATATCATTCATTACAGCGATGTCCAGGAGCGTGGACCTCTGCCTGAAATTATCATTCCAATAGATGAGCTCAGCGTGTCTGACGATCTAAGAATGGCGATTGTAATGAGAGAGAGAGGTTTGCTTCAGCAGGCCCTCAATGTCTTTGAGCAGCACGGCGACGCCGCACAAGCAGGATTTACGAGAGCTCTAATCCATCGAAATGAGCACAGGCTTCGCGGGGAAGATCGCGAGATCCAGCTTTGTATTGCTGAGTGTTACGATGTAATCGAGGCATTGCAGCAGTCGACGGACAGTGTTCTCAAAATCGAGGATGTAAAGCTATTCCTTGCCCAGGCACTGGTCGCTGATAAGCAGTATGCTGAAGCCTGTTTGTTTTACGAAGACCTGGAGATGGAAGATGAACTGGTCGCGTGCCTAATCGAGGCAGTCGAATCAAAGTCTGAAGATGTAGCGCAGCTACAAGACCTTGTATCCGATCAAGCTGTAGCTATATGGGAGCATTTCAAGGACAACAATAGATACGCAAGATTTGTTATTGCGTTAATGCTGATATTCAAATCTTCGCCTGTAGATATAGTCCAGTCGATGCTCTCGCACATTCCATCCAAGACAGGGCTTATTATGATGCATAACTCCCTGGTAGAGGCCAATAAAAGTGTATCTCCCATATGGGAAGTATCCCGAAGAAGAAAGTCGCTGCAGATGGAATCTGGTTTGGAAGAGTCAAAAGAACTGACATTCTTAGAATGGAGCTTATTGCGACGCCTGGATGGCCAACACTCCAACGAAGACTTGGTTTACATTACATCTACTGGTTGCTTGTCAGAATCCCAGTCGCCGATGGCGTGTCTATTCGTCGGGGCTAGAAACAACAAGACTACAAAAACCTTGTCGCTTCATATCCAATCGGGTGCTATGCTAAAGTCGTGTCGATCGCTGGAAGTGCCCTTGAGGCATGCGGCAACGAAGATGAGAGAACTCTCGTGCTTTCTGTCCGATTTTATGGCACTCCATTCCCAACTAAGAGGAGAAGAGGCAATGTACCTGCTTGTCGAGGCGTACAAGACGCATAAGCTGGAGATGAGGGGTAGCGAGCATCAACTCGCGCTCTTTAGATGGTGTGCTAAGATGTGTGGAGGTATGAACATCATCGAGATGATCTGCACCACGCTTAGGGAGGATAAAGAGATGCTGACCGCCATCTACAATCCAGGCAACACTTCAAACGCAACACAGAAAGCACTCCTTCGTGTGTTAGACGAGAGAGATTTATAGGCACGTTAGGCTAGGTTTATCTGATTTCGGATCCATCGAGCATTATATATCATAGGTGATCCACATCCTTTTAAAATAAAACACTTTGATTTTATCTTGACCATGGTTTGGTATTTGTTATAAATGTGGCATTGTGATCTCGAGTTTTTATTTCAAGTGTCTTTTTTTTTTTTTTTTTTTTTTTCAACATGCTGAAGATGTGTTGTCTGGTAGAGATTTGGTTATTTTGGGTTATTACGTTGCCTAAGATCATATGCGTGGGATTTTTTGTTTGGCCGACACACCATTTGCTATTTGCTCTGCGGCTCGTGCATAGTGGTAGCCGAAATAGCGGCATCATCTATTTCTATTAAAGTCGCAGGGATTGTAAAGCCTTCAAACCCAGCTTGATAGTTTTTTTATTCTTTTGAATAAATAGGCTTTTATCCTTCCAAAAATGACTAGAACTCAACGATGGGTCCCCTCAGCCCTTGATACATAATGTAAAAGACATCAATGAAGGGTTTTCTCAGCCCTTGATGCATAGAATAAGCAGAGCTTAATGCCAATGACAGATTTCTTCAACCATTCATATATGTACATGATATATTTGATGATACTCAAAGCCGTAATATATCTCTGTAAAATGCCTGGGGGACCATCACTTTTGAGGAGCTGTGGGATTTCATTCACATTTGTTTTTTAATTTAGAAACATTACCTGTGTCCCGCGATAGACTTGAGATTTTATACATTTATTATTTAGTGCTTTTTTTAGTCTACACTACACTTTTACATTTCTACTAATATCATCGCCATGAAGTGCCAGCACGGATCGAAAATTCATCTGACGAGATATCGTAATCTTAAAGAGACCCAAAACCATACTCCTTGAGCCCCATTTCGAACGTCAACAACCCCTCCCTTCTACTTTTACCCTTCCCTTACAAAAACATGATGCCGTTCAAGGCCACGGGCATACATCTTCCGGAAATAACCAATCTTGATAGTGGCTTGCTTCAACCATTATCCTCGTAGCCATGGTCCATATGTGTGTGACCTCTTTTTATTCCTTCTGACCGAGAAAAAACTAAAAATAAAATAAATAAAATCTAGCGTTCGCTCTGATCTACTCTCTATCTTCTTTTTTCTCGCTCAGGAACACATCCAGCGTATTGAAGTTCCAAATGAGCGAGTATGACACTTCTGATCCAATTATACACTCTCTCCAGAGCCAGCTGGCTACACTCACCAGCCGGCTTGAAGCTCTCTCGACTAGCTCTGAATCCAGTCGATCGAACCCCTACTTGGTTCCAAAAGAACCAGCTTACGAAATTACACCTGACGACTCCATTCTCGTCCACTACCCAGCAATGGACGGGAAAGATTTTTTCAAACATAAATCTGGAAACCGTGCAGACGATCTTGCATATGCAACAGAAATGGCTAAAGAGATGCAGTCTTTTGCCAAAAACACAACCCAAACCTATTCTGCACCCAAATCGGCACTCATTGACTGGCCCGACTCTTCCTCTCACCACAGTTCCATGGACAAAACAATCTCACGCTATCAATCACGATTGGCAAACCTTACAAGACCACTTGATCAATTTGCCACGGAAATGTTTTCCTACGAAGTTGACCCTGCGGTCGCACAAGCGTGTTTACAGCTCGCACAGACAATGCGTGAACATATTGCACACCTTGCACAGCAAATGTCAAGCGACAGGGAGGACCTTGTTTACCAAGCGCACAAAATTTCAGTCACCAAGGACACAGTTGATCCACCAATTGTCTCTACTTCAGACTTCATTGAAGCCAGCAAATTGGCAAAGAGTGTTCGTCAGGCTACTAACCCGACAAGACAACGGGCGTACAACAGGAGGACTCAAAACCGGAGTTTCTTTAGTGCAAATACTTACAGACCCACTTCTAATTCTAGCCAATCTCATCCATCGGGTCAAACTCAGACCGCCCACTATCAAAATGACAATGATTCTTTTTTTGGGCGAGGCCAAAATCCAAGGAGAGGGGGACGAGGCCGAGGCCGAGGCTACCAAACCCCTCAATCCAACCAGACAAGTCAGGCACAGACTGCAGGCCAGCAGTAGGTGGCCGTTTACAGATTTACAGAGAAGCATGGGCTCTCATAACCGACAACGAATGGGTCAAGTCGGTCGTCTCCGAGGGATTCAAAATCCCTTTCCACAAACGGCCACCGATATCCAGTTCAACAGCGTACCAAGCTCGAGTAGCAGCGGAGGAAGAGAAGGCGATCGATCAAGAGGTAATCGCACTCTTAGCCAAAAGAGCAATAGAGGTCGCTTCGGGCCCTGGTTTCAAGAGCCGAATATTCACTATCCCCAAGAAAACCGGGGACATTCGTCCAGTCTTAAATCTAAGACCGTTGAATGCCTACGTCTCAGAGCGGCACTTCAAAATGGAGACGATGACGACAGTATGCGCAATGTTACAGAAGAACGACTTTATGACAAGCATCGACCTATCAGACGCATTTCTTCACGTACTAATCCATCCAGATTATCGTCATTATCTACAGTTCCAATGGAAGAACCGGAAATTTCAATTCCGTACACTTCCCTTCGGGCTCTCACTCTCTCCGCTAGTGTTCACCAAAGTTCTCAAGCCTTTCCTCAAATGGGCACGACGACGAGGAATTCGCATATCAGCGTACCTAGACGATTTGATAATCCTAGCCAAGAACAAAGAACAATCAATCCAGTTCACTCAACTAGTGCAAGACAAGTTGGCAGCGCTAGGATTCCTCATCAAGGAAGCCAAGTCTACGTTGATCCCGTCACAGAAAATAGACCATTTAGGTTTCACCATCAACTCCCGGGATATGACTGTCACAGTTCCGAAATCCAAAGTCAGGGACATACGGCGCGAGGCAGGAAAGCTACTACGAAAAGGCGCCACTTCTTTAAGGGAACTTTCTTCGTTCGTCGGGAAAGCAATGGCAACATCTATGGCAGTGTTCCCAGCGCGATTCATGACACGGAATCTGCTTCACCTCAAGAACACAGCACTAAAAGCCAAGGGAGCTTCTTGGTCGGACACGGTCACCCTCACGGAACCAGCCAAGGAGAACCTTCAATGGTGGAAGGAGCAATTGACGTCATGGAATGGTCTGTCATGGATTCAACAACAGACACAAATGGACATATACACGGATGCATCGGACACCGGATGGGGGATCGTGATCAACAATCAAACATGGAGTGGCAAATGGACTCCACAAGAGAAAGACCACCACATCAACTGGAAGGAACTACAGACAGTTCTTCGAGCTGTTCAACTACCAATAACACAGGGCAAAATGATCAACATCATATGCGACAACACGACGACGATTGCACACATCAACAGGTTCGGAGGGACGAGGTCTCCGGAACTAATGAGACTAGCGGACACGTTATGGCGTCACTGCCTAGCAACGGGGACTCGACTTCGGACGACATACATCCCATCTGCATTCAACCCAGCGGATGCACCGTCACGGCGAATGATATCGCAATTGGAATGGAGGATCAGTCGCCCATTCTTTCAACAACTGGAACACCAATGGGGGCCACATCAGGTGGACCTATTTGCGTCGGCACAGAACAAACAGCTACCGACATTTGTCTCATGGAAATTCCATCCAGATGCTCTGAAGATAGACGCCCTTCAACACAACTGGACAGAGATGGGCAACCTTTACATTTGCCCCCCATGGAATCTTCTATCAATCATCTTGGAGAGGATACAGACCCAGAAACTGACAGCAACAATAATAACCCCATGGTGGCCGAGTGCAATATGGTTCCCAACCATCAAGGAGATGGCAGTAGCACCACCAATCCCGATCCCTCGGGAAGCAGTCCTACCAGCCGTCGGAAGCGCAAGCGATCTCCTCAGCAAGAATCCACTCTGGTCATTGACAGCATGGAGAATAAGAGGCGACGTAAAGATCTAGATGCAGGACTCTCACCATCCGCTATCACTCTACTAGATTCAGCAGGTGCCAACAGCAAAACACGTCGACAATATCTGCCAACTCAAGAGGCTTTCGCAGTATGGGCTCAACAAGAAGGCTTCGACCCTAGTACGCCAAATGCAATTGCTGTAGTTAACTATTTATGCCATGCGCGGATTATCTATTCTTGGAGTAGGAATACCACTCTTAACAAAAAATCAGCCATCTTAAAGCTTTACGACGACACATCCGTGATCACAGGCAATATCTACTTTCAGCGGTTCATGGCAGCAATGAAAAGTACTGGCGTATTTCAAATGGAGCACGTATCCGCACTCGACATTTCACCCATCCTTTCATACTTCCGCATGGAGGACAATGTGGATCTTGATATGCCTAAGCTCTCTCGCAAGCTCTGCTGGCTCTTAGGCGTTTGTGCGTTTCTCCGGCCAGATGATATCGGTTGCATCGATGTGTCAAAGTCAGAGACCAATGAAAAGGGTCTTCTCCTTACCATAGTCTTCCCTAAGGAGCGACGCGATGGGCAGCGCATCATAAAGTCGATCTTCGTAGGTAGACACCCTAACGACAAGAAAATTTGCCCAGTCGAGGCCTATACAGAATACACCAGACGGATAGCGGACACACCTCTCGAAATCGAGCACCACAAAGATCAGGATTATAAATTCAATCCTCTTATGCGCTTTGTGAAAGACAAGTCTAAAGTCCTTAGGGTCAGTACCATAGGCACTTTTATGAATGAAATCACACGTCGAATTCCAAATCTTCCGTCGAAACGACCTCCTCCAAAGCCACGCGCTATAGGATCAACCTTGGCAGCCATCGCTGGCGTATCAACCCAAGATATCATGGTTCAAGGGAATTGGTCGTCTGACAAGGTTTTCAACAAACACTACCGTGTTTCCCGCAAAACCAATTCAAATTTGACGACGTCTGTTTTTGGTTCGCTCTGAAGTCACATATGGACCATGGCTACGAGGATAATGATCTGGAAGTGCTACAAAGGACGCACTATCCTCATTATCAGAGTAGCCATGGGACATATGTCCCTCCCACACCTCCCTTTTCTTTTCACTCGTTACTAGATAGAGAGTAGATCAGAGCGAACGCTAGATTTTATTTATTTTATTTTTAGTTTTTTCTCGGTCAGAAGGAATAAAAAGAGGTCACACACATATGTCCCATGGCTACTCTGATAATGAGGATAGTGCGTCCTTTGTAGCACTTCCAGATCATTGTTGTAAAATTTAGGGGCAGATGCGGTAGGAGATTTAGGTCGTTTTGGTGGATTGTGAAGCCGGTCACTTCCAGCTGCAGATAGATAAAATAATTCTAACACAATAAAAAGAACACACACACTACTCAAAGACTGAACGAGAACAGTCAGTACTCAAATGGCTCTTGTGTAAAAGAACAAGGAGCCAGATTTTCCTGAGCTGTTGCTCGTTAAATAGTTGTTGGCAAACCCTCTCCACGTGACTAAAACTAAAACCAACAATATGGTCGATGGGCTCTTTCGATCATCGTTTATGAGCCTGCTCCGTCTGTGCCCTCCAAAAAGAGAAAAGAGAAAAAAAGGGGATTTGAAGGAATATGGCTGTTAACTCAACCCTTTCATACATGCCCTATCACAAATAACTCAGTCTTCTGGCTCTCCTATTACATAAGACCATTGCCATGAAGGATCGTAATACCGAGATTTTACTAGATCAACATTTTTTTTTTTTAAAGTTGCATAAACTGCAGAGAAAAATTTTTTTTGTTTCTGATGAATGCTTTGATACCGACCGAGGCGGCAGGCATGGGTAGCACGTAACCCGGCGCTTTGAGGCAAGGGTAGATTGCTTACCACCACCAGAGTTCCAGAGAAGACCTGAGACGATATCAAAGCCTATATCGATATTCAGAGGCGCCGTCGAGTATTCTTAAATGACTTTTTCGGCAATATTCACAGAGATGTTGAGAACTGCTGTGACAGTTGTAATCCCGAAACGCATGAGCCTCCACCGCCATTGGAGACCGGAGATGGCTGGCGCAGAATTCAGCAGAGCGACTAATCGAGATAGATCCTGGGGGGCGGTGGCCGGAAAACATCATATGGTACAAGAAATTACTGCTTGGAGAAATAGTGCGTTCAAGAACAACTTCAGTGGCCAATACCCATTATTTGACGAAGATATTGTCATGATGGACGGCATAGTTAAGCTTGCTAGCAAGAGCTCTGGTATTTTGACGCCAGAGCCGATTCTCTCTGCTATCCGTTGCCAGTTCCCTAAACTTGAATAACCACCAGCTCTGTAAAAATTATAATAGCAACCTTACTTTATCTGTTTGTCGCCTCACTATGTCTCAAGGCCATTTTCACCACTATATACCACGCTTCATGTAGGAGAGCTTCTCCCAACTGAAGTCTTCAAGCATTTCCCACCAAATACCTTAGGTGGCTTCACACAAGAGCCTTTTTAAAAGGCCCAGTGGAGAGCAAGGGAAATAGTGGAGGGGCTAGCGTGGGAAGCAGCAGGAAAGACAGCGGAAGGAAAAGCAGTGGGACCAGCAAAAGAGATAGCAGAGAAGGCGATAAAGAAGGCGGTCATGAAACCAAGGAGCAAAATCCCATCAGTGATTTCCCTATTTATATGCCCTATTTATGTGTATCGAGCATTGAAGAAAACAATCGCACAGAGTGGCGTTAGCAGAGTGTATGATCTTCAGAACATATATCGAGATATTGCTGCAGTTGATAGTATGGGGTTTGAGAGGGAGCTTGCCGAATCCGAGTACACCTCTGCGACGTTCATTCATAAGATCCGACCTGGCGGAGAACTACTGCTGACGCGGACTCAACTAGCAGACTTCAAGAGGTTCTTAGCCATCATGATGTACAGGAGCGAGTGCCGGAGGAAATAGTATTACGAGTGTCGATTTGATATTATGACACTTCTATCGATTCGAAAACACATGTCCCAAAACAATATTGACAGAGTTCAAGACGTATGGTTCGAGAATCTCAAATGGATCATCAAGACCCCTCACGACGAAATCATTAAGGAGAGCTCAGCTATCGATCCGAAAGGCGTCAAGACTCCCATGGATACTATGTTTGCTTTGAGCAAATATAAAGGACCTATTCACGTTGCGGAACTTATGGACTATTATAACTTAGTGTGGAACTACGTGTGTGTTTGGCAAGTGGAAGAAGACTCTAACTGACAAGTGCTTTGGTGCGTTCGAAGATGAGAATGCTATTCACTTCCACAACTTCCATGTTGTGTCTCCGAAATATATGGTCATCCTTGTGAACTGTCTTTACATGTGGGACCTTATGAAGACCGTGGGTCTCCGGAAGCCGTGGTCTGGAGGCGAGCTCCATGCCAATCCAGTTGTCATCTATACGAAAAAGCCTATGAGAGGCGCGGAAGACTTTACTCCAACAGACGTGTTCAAATACAAAAGGATTGTCGTCCCAAAAGAGAAGGTATATCTCGGCGGCAGTTTCATTTTGGGTGGAGGTACATAACATACATGTACAGGTCCTTGAGATACTACGATAAGACTAAGGAATCTTTATATACTCACAAATTTGGTTGCCGTTTCATGAAGCGCGAAGTATTAGAATATGACGACATTTTATTTTATGTATTTTTATTTCCAATGCATCTTATCCTGATGGGTGCGGCTCCTACACTATGGCTAGCTCGATGTAATAACAGTTCCTGCTGAGAAGAAAGAACGAAAACATAAAAAGGCAACTATCTGTGTGGATCAATAATGGATGGAGGATGGAGGAAGAAAGTAGTCTGTGTAAGTCTTTGAGGAAAGGGATGTGCCAGAAGCTAGCACAATAATATTTGTAGGGTTTTGACAACGTCAACACCATTTACAGTGGACATTGGTGTTAAAGAACACATGTTTAGTGCTATTTTACTATACCAACCCCTGCTTGTGTAGAGGATGTGTTTGCCAAGTAATCAAAAAATAAGCGGAGCGATGTTTGGTTGCTTTGAGGCATAAACCAAACAATAGATACTGTCATATTTATCCTTCGATCTTTATCCACTGCTGGGATAAACTATTGTAGAGGGAGAATGGGTACAGAACATCATGAAAGAGTTCTTTGTCCAAATAATCATCGGATCAATCTCCTTGGTGATGAAAGAGGGCTCTTGCTGATTATCCCCCGAAAGGAAAAAAAAACATCAAGAAGTAGAAAGGATTTCCACAAACAGATTTGATATGGAAAAAATGCTAACGTGTACGTTCCTGCGTTTGCTTGTATTCAGGTGCTATACTTTGAAATGTGCTATTTTTTTCTTTGAGCCAAGGATATATTCTATTATATCTTTGATGTCTCTATCGCCTCGCTCACTCAGCTTTTCTGTCTTTTTCTCTGTACTTCATACGGAATCAGGACAATCATCCCTACACTTGCATCGATTCACATTCTTTTTTCAATTGCTTCCTCCATTACTTCTTCGAACCCATCAATCATTGTGACTGTTTTTGAAGACGCGTTTATTTTATTTGCGCCACTGAACTTGGAATTAGTTTGACATACGTTAAGGTAATGGTGATAGCAGATAGTCATTTGAGGAGAGAGGCGAGTGTAGAGGTGTTGGCGGCTTGGAGCTCTCCACTCTTACATTTGATATTGTGTGCAATGTAAGCTAACCTGGGTTCTAAACACATTTAAGACCGGGCACTTAACTGGCGTGCACTTTCTCTATACCGACCTTGTTATAAAAGCGGTGCTCAGCTTTTATTCCGATTTATGGTGCAGAGTATGGAACTACTCGATGGTGTTCTGTTATTAACCATTTCTTTCTTTTTTTTCTTTTCTTTAGAAAATCAAACCAAATAGAAAAAAGAATCCTCCGAGATCTTGTGCGTTTCGATGAAGTTACTGTACGACACCCAAAAGTTACGAACTTCGCTTAACAAGGACGAGAAGGCTAAACGGGAAAGAGGCAAGATGGACACGTTTAAGAAAGATGGATATGAGTCTGTTAGCCTATACACCAAAAGGCTAATAGACATGTATAAATACGAATTTGGGATCAAAGCAGCAAAGGCGCTGTTTGGCAAGATTCCAGACGACTACAAGCTCTGTGATCTCAGACGTGTAAGGAATAAAAACTTTCGAGATTCCGCCGACAAGGGGTTAAATGAAGACGATAGCGAGCTTAATGAAGACGATAACAAGCTAAATGAAGACGGTGGCGAGCTGAATGAAGGCGATGGCGGATTGAATGGAGAAGATGACGAAGTAAATGGGGATAGTGAAGACGTTGACAAATCTAGTGCAGAGGATTGGATTTTTATTGGAGATGCAGAGATGTACAACCGCAACGACATTGTCGTAGCTGTAATCACTAAGAGCTTTGGCGATGAAACAGGCTCCAAGCGATACATCGGCTGCTTGAGTCACATTTTCAGGATCCCGCAAAGCAGATTGTGTCAATACATTCTCACATTCAACGCGCAAATATCCCCTTCCCAGAATATTAAGGTACTGATGTGGACGATTGAAAACCTTACGTCCTACAAGCGTGTTGTGAAAAGTCTTTCCGATGGGGATGCGATGAGGTCGATACCAGAGCTGTTCTTGAAAGGCCCTATGACAGACGCTAGCCCCCTTACAGACGATACTATAGATATTCAAGATGGTGTGCCCGAGTCGATGAACCCAATGCAGAAAATCGCGATATCAAGAGCAATCCAGGAGGATGGGGACAAGGTGGTACTGATTCAAGGCCCTCCTGGATGTGGTAAATCGACGGTGATCGCCGAAATAATCCATTTGCTTACCACCCATGACCGAGGTAACGCGGGGATGCGAGTCCTGGCGTGCGCACAGACGAACGTTGCTGTGGTAGATCTTGCATATAAGTATGTTACCACTAAAAAACCTAAGGACAAGTTTGCATGTGTTATGGATATGAAGCTACCCAAGATCACCGATAGCCGCAAGAGAGTCGTGCTCGAGCCATTTACAATTATCGCTCGATATCATCAAGTTGTCAATGCTGTGTTGCATACCGTCATACGCGTCTTTGGGCGTACCCCCACTGCGTGTCACGGGAGCACGACAAAGGATGGAGTTAAGAATATTGTGGCCGCCGATTTCAATGCGTGTGTGGAAAGTGGTTTAATCGAACTACTGCCTCAGAGAGTTCGCACTCTTCTGATGTTTACGCAGGCCGCGATAGGCGGCTCTACGCTGCCGCCTGACGCTTTGGCCCGGATGAAGCGCTTTGTTTCAGGAATGCGCAACGAACTTAAGCTCTTTTTTGAACCCATCGAGCTCGAGTCGTTGCTCGAACTTTGCAGTGTTAGTCAGCATACAGGCTCGTCGGCACGCCCTACACCTATACCTATTTACGAATGGGTGAAGCAAGCCCTCCTTGACGCAGCGTCTGTTGTATTTTGCACGATTAATATTGGGATATCGTTGACTTATAATAGACGCTTGGACAGTCTAGCGTATATCGTTGTCGATGAGGCAGGACAGGCACTAGAGCCAGATGTGGCTGCACTAATGTGTGTTGATTCATGCTTTCGTCGCCTTATCTTGGTTGGTGACCCAAAGCAGCTCCCAGGATATTGCGCATCCAACCGAGGCAAGCGCGAGATGATGGACCGCAGCCTCATGGAGCGTCTCCAGACATACCGACTGTGCCATTCTACACTTCTCGATGTACAATACCGCATGCACCAAGACATCTGTGCTTTTGTGTCCCGAACCTTTTACGATAACAGATTGACCTCCGACAAATCTATCCATAACAGGAGCCCTGTTACAGCACTACCAGCAGTTATGCACATTATGTTTAGGGGGTCTCAGGCGAGCCAGTCAAAAATCACGAAAACGAGTGTAGTGAATATCGATGAGGCTAGATACATTGTCGCCCATGTAATCAACGTGCTGTTGCCGTCCAGACGGAAGCAAGCCTCTTCAGCCAAGCCCGTGACTAAACCTGAGTCTGGATCAACATCTTATGCTGACATGGCGGCGAAACTCCCGCAAAAGATAGAGGCGCGACAACCTGCAGAAGCCGCCACGGTCTCTATTGGAATCATATGCATTTACAAACCACAAGCCAACGTTATACAATACCTTGTCGACAAGGCACTGCCCCAAAAATTATCTGAGTTCAATATAGTCGTTAAAACCATAGATTCATTCCAGGGGCAGGAGTGCGACGTTATCTATGTGGCGCTTACAAGAACTAACAAAATCAACGCTTTTATGGTCAATGCTAATCGCGTTAACGTGGCAATTTCGAGAGCTCGACACCACCTAATTGTAGTGGGAGATGCAAATCTTTCGCTGACAGGCAAACAAGGCGCCTCCTTATCATCCTACTGGCATAAGCTGTGTGTGGGCAGGAGATCCATGGTTATCGAACGAAAGCACATGAAGAACGTACCTCTGTACGAAGGACCTGAACACGTTGCTGCTATGAAGGCTGTGGCAATGCCAGTAACACCGACCACAGTCAAAGAGATCATAGCTAAGGCATTGGCTGCCACAACTCCTATTTGGGCCATTCATTATGAGAGGCTCAAGGTAGACCCGGAAATCCCGCAAGGAATCCATATACTCGAATATGTTGTGCAAGCGCTGGCTAGTGGGGACTTTGACGCGGGAGATGGCGGTAGAACAACTAGACCTTTATTCCGCAAACAAAAAGGAGCATCCCTGTTCTTCGTTACCTCGGTGTGTGATACAGTGTGCCTTGCGTGGACCGTGGTGGTGCACGGGCACCGCCAGGCCATTGAGCTTCTTGGCATCGGAGACAAAACATTCATCGAGAAGAAGGTCTGGCCGCTGCTCCGCCACGACATCAAAGAGCAACCAGAATGGAAGCTCTCTGCGTCTATGAGTCTGTGGTCGTCTGGTATAAGCGTAGACCTCTCCAAGGATATGCCAAAAAGTACGTCGTTGCTCTATGTGCCTGCAGATGTAGATGTTCCTGCCGCTGACTTATTGGCGGATGTACCAGAAAATGCACATCTTTTGAACGATCGCGACCATACTAAGCTCATGGCGTCCATGAGGTCCAGACCCATTATGATTCTTGGAGGTGGGGGTACTGGCAAGACGGAGTGTATGCTGGATATGATCGAGCAGCAACTGGACATGGATACAGACTATGACAACATGCAGCTTTATTTGGGAGCAACAGATTCGTTAGCCAACTGGTCGTCGGTGAGGCTACTAAAACGGAAGAGTATAACGGAACAGGGCTTTAGGATGGTATCGTTCACCAGTCTTCCATCTCTACTCACAAAGCTCTACATGTCGAGTAGCGCCATACGCGGGAGGCTCTTTGTGGATCGTAACGTATTTAGATCTGAATATATGGATGCCATGCCTGCAATGGTCCGCAGTATTGGCGCCGATGAGCTCTACGATACTATCCTCGCACGCATGGATATAGAGGCACACAACAGTACTAGGTTCCTTAGGTCAGAGCACAAGACAGCGCACAAGGTGTACAAATCGATCAAAGCATCGCGTGGCCATATCGATGCTTACGATCTTCACGCACTTGTCAAACGAGACCCGCAACGATTAGTGGCTATGGCATCGAAGATAGCACGCATCTACTTAGATGAGGTCCAAGATATATCATGGACAATGTGGTCCGTAATCGAGATAATGCTCTCTGCACGCACCTCGAGCGTGGTGTGTGCTGGTGATTTTACACAGCGACTTACACCAGGGATTTCAGTCAATGGCATAAAGACGCTTATCTATAAACACCTCCCCAAGAGTATGGAGACCATTAGATTTAAGACAAATTATCGATCGGACCCTAACATTATATCGCTCGCAAACCGTATCCAATCGTACACCCACATGAGAGAACACGCAATGGAACCGTCTCTCTATTCTAAGGAAAGCAGCAACTCCGTGACACTGGTAGAGATACAGGACATCGAGCATGAAAATGTAGCCGATGTGTTGCGCTATATCGGAGTACCATCCAACAACTACAGAGCTGCGATCGTCACATCGTCGTCATGGGCACATCGGCTTCGTGAGACTTTGGGTAAATCTCACAATGTCTTTAGTGCTTACGAATGCAAGGGTCTCGAGTTCGACCTTGTTGTGTGTTGGGATCTCTTCAACCCAAGCATGGGTGTAAAAACGTCGACTTTAAGGCATAACATGGGAGCTTCCACCTTAGATAAGGGTAATATTGAGGAAGACGAGAACTTTGAGATATACTTGAACCACCTCTACGTAACCGTTACAAGGGCACGCAAGCATCTTATAGTGGTCGTCCCACCGTGTGATAGAACCAGTATTATGATCAGGGCACTCGGGATTAACGATGTCGTCCATTACAGCGAGGTCCAGGAGCGTGGACCTCTGCCTGAAATTATCATTCCAATAGATGAGCTCAGTGTGTCTGACGATCTAAGAATGGCGATTGTAATGAGAGAGAGAGGCTTGCTTCAGCAGGCCCTCAACGTCTTTGAGCAGAATGGCGACGCTGCACAAGCAGGGTTTACAAGAGCTCTAATCCACCGAAAAGAGCACAGGCTTCGCGGGGAAGATCACGAGATCCAGCTTTGTATTTCTGAGTGTTACGGAGTGATCGAGGAATTGCACCAGTCGACAGAGAGTGTTCTCAAAATCGAGGATGTAAAGCTATTCCTTGCCCAGGCACTGGTCGCTGATAAGCAGTATGCTGAAGCCTGTTTGCTTTACGAAGACCTGGAGATGGAAGATGAACTGGTCGCGTGCCTAATCGAGGCAGTCGAATCAAAGTCTGAAGATGTAGCGCAGCTACAAGACCTTGTATCCGATCAAGCTGTAGCTATATGGGAGCATTTCAAGGACAACAATAGATACGCAAGATTTGTTATTGCGTTAATGCTGATATTCAAATCTTCGCCTGTAGATATAGTCCAGTCGATGCTCTCGCACATTCCATCCAAGACAGGGCTTATTATGATGCATAACTCCCTGGTAGAGGCCAATAAAAGCGTATCTCCCATATGGGAAGTATTCCGAAGAAGAAAGTCGCTGCAGATTGGCCCCGGGTCAGAAGAGTCGGAGGAACTGACATTTTTAGAATGGAGCTCATTGCGACGCCTCGATGGCCGGCACGCTAACAAAGACTTGGGTTACATTATGTCTGCTCATTGCTTGCCAAACTATCAGTCGTTAATGGCATGTCTGTTTGTTGGGCCTAGAAACAACATGACCACCGACATCTTGTCACTCCATATCCAATCGGGTGCTATGCTAAAGGTGTGTCGATCGCTGGAAGTGCCTTTGAAGCATGTGGCAATGAAGATGAGCGAACTCTCGTGCCCCCTCCCAGATTTTATGACACTTCATTCCCAAATAAGCGAAGAAGAGTCAAGGATGCACCTGCTTGCCGAGGCGTACAAGATGCATAAGCTCAAGATGAGGGGTAGCGAGCATCAACTCACGCTCTTTAGATGGTGTGCAAAGATGAGTGGGGGTACGGATATTATCGAGATGATCTGCGCCGTGCTTAGAGAAGACAAAGAGATGTTGCTCGGCATTTACATTCCAGGAAACACTGCAAACGCAACACAGAAAGCACTACTTCGTCTGTTACACGAGAGGTGACCACAGGTGCGCTGGGTTAGGCTTATCTGGCCGTAGACCTATCCAGTATTAAATATCTTAAGTGATTTACATCGTTTTAAAATAAAACACTCTGATTCTCCCTTCTCCCTGGTATATTATGAAATGTGGGCTTACGAATGTTTCGAGTTCTTTTATTTTTTTTTTTTATTTTTTAATGAAGCCTGCTATCTATCTGGTTTCGAATAGAAGGATGCGTTGAATGTTGTCTTCTAGTGAAATATTATGTCTTTGAATAGGAGATAGAAGATTGCGAAAGTCTTTGATGGGAAAGGATGTGCCAGGGAATAACACGATAATATTCTGTAGAGCTTCAACAACATCAGCCAGCACTTACGATATAACCAGAACCAGAATTGATGTTTAAAGTACACATGTTTAATGCTATTTACTCTACCAACTCCTTGTATATAAGATGAACTGGTTAAGTAACCAAAAAAAAAAAATAAGCTCTGTCAATTGCTGGGGCTGGGACAAACTGCTGCTGAGGAGATCGTCTCTCGCCCTTATTTCTCATTTTCCATGGGGGCTCTAGCTGACTATCTCCCGAAAAAATAAAAATAAATAGTAGAAGGGGTTTCAGTTTGTTATATATGCTTGTAAGCGTTTCATGTTTTGCTTGTGTGATACTCGAAGCAAGTAGACAGGAGTGGAAAAAAGGCTTAAATACACACTGCTGTGCTTAGAAATGTGGGTATTTATTACTTCGCCAATTTTTTTAAGAGACAGCTTTGAGCCTATATAACCTAGGATATTTTTCTCTATACCCTCGCTTCTCCCATTACCCCACCTGCTCATCTCTTCTGGATTGTTTTTTGTTTCTTCATACGGAACCAAAATAACCATTCCTGCACTTGCACCAATCCATATCCAACACAAGAAACTTCAGTAGTTACTTCAATTTCAAAAAGTAAACAGCTCATATCAAGCATGATCCGGTTCATTGATAAACTCGGTTCTTTTCATACTCACACGCAAAAAAAAATAAAATAAATCCCGCTTTTGTTAGATGGATCCTACACTTTTACCTGACCCAGCTTCTCGTTCCGGAATTGGGTCATTTTACAGCTGGCTCTTAAACCAAAAAAGATATGACATCAACCGTTTGGCGATGCAAGACTATCCTACATGGGCAAAACGAGTGGTTCATGCTGAACGCAAGCGATACAAAGACAAAGGAACAGATAGACCAACAAAAGCTGATAAAAAAAAAGTTCTGGATTTCGGTGAAGGAGTTGGCTCACAATCGCCACAACCAAACGATAATCAGCAAGGGTCAGTTGATAGTAGTCAGCAGCCGCCCACAGAACTGGAAGAGGAAAAGAAAAAAGAGAAAGGGCCAGGTCAAGGGGAATATGATGCTGAATACCTTCATATGCATGTTGCGGAGAAAGCAACATACGATATCATCTATGATAAAAACCTTCCCAGGCATACTAGGCCGTACCGTTTACAGAACTTCTGGGGACACTTTGTCTGTAAAACAGAGGAATGCGAGGAAAAAGAATGGATATCAGCCATCATCGCCAGTCGCCTGGTTTTTTCCAGGTCCGATAATTCCTACAAGGTCATACTTCATGCTCAGAAGTGCAGACAATGCGAACGCTATGCCAAACCTATTGTGGATCCGGAGGCCTATGCTCAGCGGGTGGTCTTTGTTTTGGACTTGTGGCTGGGCCTTAGAGAAAGGATAGAGTCCACTGAATCTGGACTCAAAACCAGGGGTCCTCATGATATCAATCGCTGCCATGGATGCGCGGTAGGCGAGTGTAAAAATGCACTAGAGGAGTGAAGGACTTATCTTTGTCATACAATAGCTCTGGTATTAACAGATACGAGAATTAAATAAAATAATAAAAGATGAAAATGAAAACATATTCTAGAACTCTAAGTATCCTCAAGTTGCCTTCAATAGATATTAGACACCAATATGTCTCTCCTCAGTTCGTTTGTCACCTCTCCTCTTCATTATAAAGGTAGGTTAAACTGCTTGTAATTGAATTAAAAGTAACCATGAGAGACTGCTTTATTGTATAACAATCATTGCTTCTTCCTTCTTCCTTCTTCCTTTACTTTATGACATAGAATATGAAGATGTTCGATGATGCACCTGTCATTAACCATTTTTTTACTTTTTTTTAGAGGATCAGAACCATGGTGAGAAATGCGAATCCCAGGAGCAGTTATTTTCACCAGTACATCAAAGCCCAAAGATCTTTTTTCACCTTTGAACTTGATTAATATATGTTTTAGTGATGGAGCATGTATGATTTATACCCTGATACAAAAGATGTTTTTTTTTTGGCAAATACATCGGTTCACATGGCGAAAACCATTGATCTCAAGAGCCAAAAAGTAAAACCCGAGAACCTGATGCAAGGACAGAATTCTGTGCCGCCTTCTGCCTAAATGAGACTTCATTGGTTACACCAGCAATTTTGATATCGCTTTTGAAGGCGAGGAATAGTTGGATTCGAGATTTTAAGGGCTGCGGCTCCGATACATGGAGTTCTGCTGCTTCTCGGGCACCAGTAGTTCCAAGAAGGGCTTTTACCGAGTGGATGGAACAGGTGATTATTGACTATACTCTACCTATTTCAAGTATTTGTAGCAATTTCTTCATTTACCATTCCCAATCTTTGCCCCAGCATCCGCAGCTCGCCCCTTCTCATTCTGATGTGCTCTCGTCATCGGTGGTAGAGTCATCAGAAATGCTTACTACTGAGTCATCATCGCCCAGTACCAATATATCCCGTTGCCAGAATGGTAAGAGCGAGTCATCATACTCTACTCCAAAGAACTTGAACAAGTAGCAGAAGTGACTTGAAGGCCGGATCAAAGCACAGTGAGTAGAGGGCTCAATCAATCTAAGGTGATAGGATTCAGCGAGGCGTTGTATTTCATTATGTTGAGGCTGTCAATCTTTATGACGGTTACGACGCCGCTATTGGCGGATCTTAGCCTGAGTCATGCTGCGCCGCAAAGGATGCGCTTATTTTTCGGGTCTACGAGCAGAGTCTGCGCCTCCAAAATGTATTAAGAGCAACATCTATATCTGAAGAGAGAGCGAACACATACTACTCCAACAACCCAGGATGATCGTAATATCATGTCGATACTTGTTTTTGGGATTTCTGATGTTCAGAGAACGCATCGAACCTTTGGTCAAAACTTTATACAACCACATTGATGCAGATGATTGTTTGCACGGGTTGTTAGGCTTTTAGGCATGTTTCATCCTGTCATCCTGCTGTACCACCTTCAAATTATGCGCATATGTGCATACACATTTGACATTTTAAAATTAATCGGATATTCAAGGAATTGTTCAAGTATTTACCGAGTAAGGCATTGAAGGAGAAGGATAAATGTATCATATGGTAGTACATCAAGTATAGCAATGCCAACACAAACATAATAAAGAGTGTTCGTAAGCAGTGCTGTGCTGGATTGCAATAACACTGAATATGTTGTGTGCACCCTGTGATCTTGTGGAACCAAATTGTTCATCTTATTTATGCCATTAATGCATTTGAAGAGCTGCATTGCCAAGAGTAAGGAAATCACAGAGCCTGAGTTTTGTAGAAATGTATCATGTTGATACTTTGGCAATGGTCTAATGACTATTACATTGAAACCTTAAACATCAATGTATAAAGGCAAAGAACAGCTGTGTGAAATATTTATGGGACTCAAAATTGTATAAAGGGCCTATCATTTCTCTCAACTTCAAAACTAATTACCCATACACCTATTCCATTCGATAATTAAGTAAAAGCCATCTTACTTCATCTGTTTGTCGCCATTATGTCTCAAGATCAGTTCCATCACTATATACCACGCTTCATATTGAAGAGCTTCTCTGATAACTTCCAACTGAAACCTTCAAGTATTTTCTCACCAAATGCCTCAGGTAACTTCACAGAAGTGCCTTTTTCAAAAGGGCCAGTGGGGAGCAAGGGAAATAGTGGAGGGGATAGCGTGGGAAGCAACAGGAAAGGTAACAGAAGGAAAAGCAGTGGGATCAACAAAAGAGATAGCAGAGAAGGCGATAAAGAAGGCGGTCATGAAGCCAAGGAGCAAAATCCTATTATTGATTTTCCTATTTATGTGTATCGAGCGCTGGAGAAAACAATCGCACAGAGCGACGTTAGCAGAGTGTATGGTCTTCAGAACATGTACCAGGACATTGCTGAAGTCGATAGTATGAGGTTTGAGAAGGAGCTCGCCAAGTTGGAATGCACCTCTGCGACGTTCATTCATAAGATCCGATCTGGCGAAGAACTACTGTTGACGCGGACTCAACTAGCAGACTTCAAGAGGTTCCTAGCCATCATGACATACAGGAGTGAGTGCCGAAGGGAACAGTATTACGAGTGTCGATTTGATATTATGACACTTCTATCGATTCGAAAACACATGTCCCAAAACAATATTGACAGAGTTCAAGACGTATGGTTCGAGAATCTCAAATGGATCATCAAGACCCCTCACGACGAAATCATTAAGGAGAGCTCAGCTCTCGATCCGAAAGGCGTCAAGACTCCCATGGATACTATGTTTGCTTTGAGCAAATATAAAGGACCTATTCACGTTGCAGAACTTATGGACTATTATAACTTAGTGTGCAACTACGTGTGTGTCTGGCAAGCGGAAGAAGGGTCTGAATTTATCCTAACCGACAAGTGCTTTGGTGCGTTCGAAGGTGACATGGGTGTATGCTTCCACAACTTCTATGTTGTGTCGCCGAAATATGTCGTCGTTCTTGTGAACCGTCTTTACATGTGGGACCTTATGAAGACCACGGGTCTCCGGAAGTCGTGGTTTGGGGATGAGCTCCATGCCAATCCAGATGTTATCTATACGAAAAAGCCTATGAGAGGTGCGGAAGACTTTACTCCAACAGACGTGTTCAAATACAAAAGGATTGTTGTCCCAAAAGAGAAAGTGTATCTCTGTAACAGCATCCTTTTGGATGCTAGTCCCAAGTATATAACATACAAGTCCGATATCTCCATGTACAGATCTTTAAGATACTACGACAAAACTAAGGAAGATCTGTTCACCTTCAAATATGGTTACCATGTCCTAAAGCGCGAAGTATTAGCTAATCTCAAGGCAAAGGTGAATAGAACACATTGCTCCTAGGCCCTTCTCGAAGGACTTTTCTAAGACATTACATTTTTTCCTCCTCTCCTCATAAACAAAGGTTGTAGTTGTTGAAAACAGCTTGGTGAAAATAAAATAATAGGCCTTTCAGCCATTGCTAAAAAAGAACCAGTACCAAAGTTTAGGAGAGGGTCAATTAAGTTATAGAGTCAGTTTTTTTTTTTTTTAGTGTTTCTTCCTGAATGGTACAGCTTTGCAGCGTGGGCCAACTTCAGAACAACTTCGAGATCATCAGGTTCCTCTGCATTCCTTTAGTGAAATTTGGCCTGTCGCCATCAAGCATTCCCTTTGATATTTATCCGAGGTTAACCATTCATTTCTGTAAGTCAGTGACTATGGTGATAAGTATATTAGGCGCTACAATAGATATTCTCTTAAGAGAGCAAGAAAACGTAAAATATGGTCACATATATGAGCCTACAACTAATAGAGGATAGAAGAAAAGAAAAGACTACAAGAGTCCCAGATGGGTAGCGCAGTGCCAGACAGTGCCACTTCTCTCGTATTGAGGAACAGTTGATTAAATAAAAAGCGAAACAATGTCAGGTAAACAGTTGTCGACCATTGCTTAATGTCATACAAAACACCAGTAGATGGAATAAACAAGGTGATTGGCACAAAATAGGAGGAAAGGCCCAGGCTCTACTTTTTATCCCCCGAAAAAATACAAGCTGCTATCTCACCACATGCATACAGGTTGTGTTCTAATGTCCTTATTTAATAAACACACCAACACTAAGATGGCTCCAAGCAAAAAATCTAAGCACGGAAATGGGTTTAAATACACACAGATGCTGTGCTTGTTTGTTTGTATATGCCAAAGTAATCAAGGTGCTGTAGCACTTGAAAATGTGGGCTTTTCTTGCTTCGCCAAATCTTATTTTTTTACAGATGACTTTTGACCCTATAAAAACCTGCTACATGTAACTTGTTATATCCCTGTCGCCCCTTTCATCTCGCTCCCTTCATTTCTTTAGCTTGTTCTCTATTCTTCATACGGGGTCAGGGGATCATCACCACACTTACATCGATACACATTCAACACAAGGCACGTCAACAACTACTTCGATTTCTAAAAGTAAGCAGCCCACATCAAACACAGACCCTGTTCATCGATCAAAGTCAGCTCTTTCAGTACTCACAAGTAAAAAAAAAAAAAAAAAAAAAAAAAAAAGGATACCCTCTTATATTAGATGAATCCCGCGAATTTGCCAGCCCAAGCTAATCGCACCAGAATTGGTTCGTTTTACAGCAGGGTCTGGAGGCTAGTTGACTTAGATGACTTATTGGAGCAAGACTATCCAACCTGGGCAGGAAATGTGATCCGAGCAGAACGCAATCGACGCATACATATGGGAACAGAACCGCCAACAAATTTTGAAAGAGTTTTAATCCTGGATTTCGCTGAAGAGCTCACTAATGATTTATTCGAACCAGGTGATAACCAACCGGAACAGGCAGAGTTTGATGGTGAATATCTTCATACGCACGTTGCTGCTGTAGCATCATACGACATCGTCTATAATAATACTCTTTGTAGGAATGATAAAAAGCTTTCCAAAGCAAACAAAAATGTCAAGGGGCGTTTCGTCTGCGGAACTGAGAGATGCGGGAACCGTGAATGGGAGTCATCTGTTATCGCCACCAACCTGAGGTTTTCTAAGGTTGGCAACTCCTACAAGGCCACGCTTCATGCCCAGCAGTGCAATCGATGCGAAAAATATGCAGAGCCTATTGTTGAGGTGGAAACCTATGTTGAACGGGTAGTCTACATGTTGGACCTATGGATGGGTGTTAGAGAAAGGGAGAAGCCCTCTGAAACGAATAGAAGAGCCAGACGTCCTCATGATAGGTCTCGCTGCCATGGCTGTAAAGTAGGCGAGTGCCCAAATGTAACAAGAGGAAGGAGGAGGAGGTCATGATAGACCTTGGTTCCTTAGTTGAGGGGAAAATTTAAAAAAAAATTCCCTATTGCTACTCCTATGGAGCATAACACGCAGAGGCCAGTAATGAAACAGTTGCAAATCAGCCTCTTATCAAAGTAACATTAGAATGAGCAGTTGATCCACTATCTTCTGATTGCAAGCCAGGACAAGTCAGAGAGTGTAAATATCAGGCTTTATTATCATTATTATCATTATTATCATTATCATTATTATCATTATTATCATTATCATTATTATCATTATTATTTTTTAACCGCCTCCTTTAACAATGAAATGAAAATAAAGGTTTGTTAGGAGGGCAAAGGACAATGCTTTTTTTTTTTTTTTAAGCATCAGCATTGACCTCTGTCAGCCAGCAGTAACGCTGCCTGAAGTTCAGTATTTCCGAGTATGCGCTCCGTTGAAGATATACTCCAACCAGAAAGACACTTGTCAATATGAAAAATCGTAAACAACTGGATAAGATTTTTAAATGATTGCAGCTGAGTTACATGGAGCTTTGCCACTTTCCGGGCATCAGTTCTTATAAAAAAAATAAATATTACTACTGAGTGGATGCCAAGAGATAATTGACGATTATATTGAATCTGCATTGTAAGTGTCTTATTTGTTACTAGAAGAAAGAGAAAGGCGAGGGATCATGCTTTATTCGAAGGATTTAGATGGAGTGGCAAAAACGACTTGGAACCACTATAACGCACAATTAGCGAGCGACTCTGTTTGTCAGAGCAGAATTGGGCTCTTGCTTTATATCCCCGAATAATACAAGATTTATTTTGACAAACAATTTGTCGAACGAATGTTTAGATTACTGTCCTTGTTAATACTCATCAAAATTAGAAAGGATCGCAGCAGGCTGTGCTTGTGAAGTTCTGTCCAATTACAGCGCTTTGACTAGGCCTATAAATGAAGAATCACGTGTTGAATTGTAATCAAGACACAAACCTAAATTTGGGCCACTTAGACTAAGTTCCAACCGGGGACCAAGAAATCGCTGCAGATTGGATTGCACAAAGAGTCAACTGTGATGTTCATGTTTGTTATTTAATAATTGTTGCATCTTTGTTTGTGATGCTAACAGGAGCGTGAAAGCCTCGGATAGAATATGGAATACTAAGACGACAAAGGACGTCTTTACGTCCATTATCCGAGCCAGCAACCCTCTTGTCCCGCCACACCCACCCTCATCTTCTACGAGCTTTAATAAAAGATTGATTACACAGGAGAGGGTTGCTAGCATAGGAAGGATAATGAACATTCAAAGATGCTGTGCTCAAAAATGTGGGCTCCCATTTCCTCGCCATTTTAATTTTTGCACGAATGACTTCTGAACCTATAAAAACCGATCGCTTCCTTCATCTTGCTTTCTCTTCTCTTTTGGTTTGTTTTTTATCCTCTATACGAAGTCCAGAACAACCATCTTCTCCCACACAAACATCAGAACAAATCCAACACAAGGAATCCCCAGTAGCTACGTCGGTTTCAAAAATGTAAATAGCTCATATCAGACATTATCTAGTTCATCGATCAAAACCAGCTTTTTTCGTACTCACACGCAAAAAAAAAAAAAAAAAAAAACACTTTCACTTATATTAGATGAACCCCACGAATTTACCTGAGCAAGCCTCCCGTTCCATAATTGGTTCATTTTACAGCAAGGTCTGGAGGGTAAACAGGCATGACTTGAATCATTTGTCGGTGAAGAAATATCCGACTTGGGCAAGACGAGTGATCCATGCTGAACGCAGTCGACGCAAGAACAATGAAACAGATGAACCAACAGCCGCTGAAAAGAAAATAGTTCTGGATTTCGGTGAAGGAATCAGTGTGCAACTGTTCCAACCAAGTGGCAATCAACAAGAGCCAGCCAATATCCAGCAACCTCAGCCAAGCGAGAAGCAACAAGAGCCAGTCGATATCCAGCAGCCACAGCCAAGTGAAAATCAACAAGGGTCAGTTAATAATCAGCAATCCCAACCAAGTGAGAAGCCAGAAGGACCAGTTAATGATCGGCAACCCCTGACAAGTGAGAAGCAACAAGGAGCAGTTAATAATCAGCAAACTCAGCCAAGAAAGAAGAAAAGAGGATCAGTTAAGAAGCAGCAATCCCAACCAAGTGGGAAGCAACAGGGACCAGACAATAATCAGCAATCTCAACCAAATGAGAAACAACAAGGATCAGTTAAGAACCAGCGACCCCAACCAAGTGGGAAGCAACAAGGATCAGTTAATAATCAACAATCCCAACCAAGTGAGAAGCAGAAAGGATCGATCAATAATCGGCAACCTCAGCTAGGGAAGCAACAAGGATCAGTTAATAAGCAGCAATCCCAACCAAGTGATAATCAACAAGAACCAGTCAATGATCAGCAACTGTCCATCGAACGGGAAAAGGAGGAGTTTGATGGTAAATATCTTCATACACATGTTGCAAATGAAGCATCATATTATATCGCCTACGACGAAACTCTCTGCAGGGATGATATCAGGATTTTATGCAAAAAAAAAGATATAAAAAATATACCCGTGTGGGGACACTTTGTCTGCAAAACAAAGAAGTGCAAGGGACGTGAATGGAAGTCATCTGTTATCGCCACCAACCTGAGGTTTTCTAAGCTTGGCAAATCCTACAAGGCCACGCTTCATGCCCAGCAGTGCAGTCGATGCGGAAATTATGCAGAGCCTATTGTTGAGGTGGAAAACTATGTTGAACGGGTAATCTCCAGATTGGACCGGTGGATGGGTGTTAAAAGACATACAGGAGACAAAGAAGAGAGAAAAAAATCCAAACGTCCTCATGATATGTCTCGATGTCATGGATGCAAAGTAAGAGAATGTCCATACAATGGGGAAGAGGAGGAAGACGAGCGTCCAGAGATATTTTTCAGATTTTTAAATTCGAAATAACATCCTCCGTTTTGACAGAAAGAAACCTTTACAAATAATTCTTTTCAAATTGAATTTTTAAAAATATGTTAGTCGCGACTTTTAGGCAAAAAAAAAAAAAAAATCCAGATGACTCTAATGCACATTAGCCAGCCCGCGATGAAGCAATGGCTGATTGGATGATGCTCAATTATAAAACTAATCACCTGTCAAAACGACAGAATGGAATGATCTACGTGCATTTCAATTGTGTACCATGACAGGAATTTTTTTAAAATTTGTTCCTTGAAGAGCACTAACTTGGAAAACAATGATAAATTTAAAAGCGTTTTGATTAAAATGGTGAAAATCCTCTTCTCTTCACCCATTAAATCTTTACCTTTGTGGTGAGATGAGTATTTGGAGGAGCGTGTTGGTTCAAAGGATACTATGGTCATGGTCCAACTCACCAACATCTTCATAAGAGCTGGTACCCAGGAGGTGGCAGAGGTCCATGACAGGTGCCCCTTCTGTCTCATTAAGGCCCTTACGACGAAGTCAAGTCAAGAGGGTAGCGTTCTGGTTTCAAGTGCTAGATACCACTCTCTCCGGGGCCTTAGTGTTTAACGTAGGACTGTTTTGACATCACTCACACTCTGGCTCTGACTGGCTGTGGAGTCCTTTCCCTTTTTCTCTTCTCTCTCTTTTTTTCCTTTTTTTACTCTCACTCTACGTTAACTATTTTGTATTCTGGCTTAAGCGAAACAAACTGCCTCAAACTGCCTCCCAAACTCCTCAAGTACAATTGTCCCATCAAAAGTAACAGGAACGGGAATGATTACCAACAAGAAAAGAATTACCTATTCAATAACAGGACGGTCCTCAGCGGGAGCAGAGTGGAGTCGCCTGATTGATTAGTGATTGAAAGAGATACCTGATCGCTTGATTAGAACTTGGTATATGACCCATGTTTGTGGTCTGGCAAAGCAGTGTTGGACACCATGGACGGTCTTTGTCTCTTAAGGCACTATCTATTGTTCAACTCACTGCACTCGCTCCAACGTCAAACCTGACCTCCAAGTGTTATATATGGCCGTGCAAAGTATATAACACATGTCTACGCTGATAGACTTGATATCAGTGCTCCCGCTTTCTAAATCCGCTTAGATAACTAATAGAAATGAAAATGAAAGACTTGGGAGGAGGTAACGGTTAGTACCTTTTTTTTTTTTTTTTCTTTACTTTGAGCTTTTTATTCGTCTTTTCCTTACTTTCCCTTCCTCGATTTTTGTTTGCTTGTTTTTCAAGCATTGGCATTGACTTCTGTTATCCAGTATTAGTTCCATTGTAGGGATGTGTGTTGAAGCTGCTTTTTCTCTATCCCACTTCTTTCTCTTTTTTCTTTTAGAGACAAACGTTTTTTCTTCCCTTGCTTTGTATTTATACTATTTTTCTTTAATACCCTATAGACCGATTTCGGCTTTACTCAAGAGGCCAGCCTTGGAGAACTCAAGTATTGATTTTATGGCCCCTGGTCCTCGATCCTTGGGATTTTATTCACCAAGTCATCAGGTGAAAATGATCTCGTTCCCTGGAATTAATTGGCCCGTAAAGAAAGTAGCTAATCGTGTAAGTAGCTGGCCTGTTTCTTTGCAAAGAACGCTGTATAGCCAACAGGAGAACAGCAAATAGTCACTAACATTGCTTTACTCCTTTCCCTCTTTTCTCTTTAGCACACTGCCTTTGTAAGTATACCTCACATATCTCTGCAACCTCCGCCTCTGAATAACGAAGTTTTAACAATCTTCCCTCTTTCTCCCTCCCTCACAAAAGGATGAAGGCGTTGCAGTCGCAACATATAATACTCCAAGCGCTCCTGTCGAGGTCAATGGTGGCACCTTCAAGTCTACACTGGAAGGCTCTACTCTAGACGGTATATCAGGACGTGAAGATGAGTTCTCCAATTTCATCATGAATATAATAACCAAACCCTCGCATACATTGGTCATCAGTGGAAACTCTGATATCTGGCTTGGGGCCCTTGGCACTTCACGTAGCAGTGAGCCAAGTGGTGCTGATTCCTCCAAGACTATAACTGTCACCCATCACTTTACGAGGCTTGAACAACCTTCCGAACATAGAGCATGTGAGCCTAGTGAGCCTCACTAAAGATGCTGACTCGGGTGTCACTACGCTGGTAGCAAAGATCATATTCATAACTCTTCTCAGCTTAATTTGAGATTAGGAGACTCTGTATTTAATATGCTCAATGATAATGGAGACTTGGTAGGAGTCGCCAAAATCCCAGATCTATATTTGGCTATAGGTGACAGCTTTGTGACAGCTACCGCCACGTTCGCAGATTCCGATGCCTACAATACCTTGACAACCAAGAGTAATACTTTCACAATTGCAGGTTTTGAGGGTTCCGCGAAGCATTCCTACCTGGCCAAAGCGTTGTGTGCTATTAGATCCCCATTTACACTCCCCAAGCTTGAAACTGTCTAAATCAGAAAAAAACAGCAGAGGCACTCATAGTTGCGAAGCATCACAGATCAGTTCAATAAATGTGGCAACTATCGGCTATGCATTCATGTCCAATACCAAGCTGACCTAAAAACATTCGTTTTTACTATACATTCTCTTTTACTATGTGGGTAAACAGAGCTGAAGCTCGATTCCTTCGCAGCTACACCAACTTGAGCAACCATCTCCTCATTTATCCTTTGGAGCTTTTTTTTTTTTTTTTTTCCAAATGGTAATTATTCCACGGTAATATAAGAACAAGTAGATTACATATCTTCCATTCAGATAAACGACATATGGTCTTTAAGGTATATATCGTGCAAATAGGTGAGCCAAAAAGCGTTCCATGGCCTCGATCCGCTCGCTGAGCGATAAATCTCAGCTAACTGGATAAGATATGATTAGAATAGAGGGTGGAGATGGAGATACGTTAATATATATCTCAAAGCACATTAAAAAAATACCCTCACACATAAAAGTCTGGGTGCATTACGGAAATACTATTGTTGGCTTAAAAAGCTGTAGTTACACATAGAAGCAAACTACATACTCAAGTGGATATCAAAGGCCTCGACTTTATGAGACCATCGAGAATAAGACCATAGCTTAGTCAAGAAAATCCATTAATGCATCAGTGCTACAAAAAAGATTTGGCTGGCAGTCAGTGTCTTGGAAAGAGGGGGATATTTTCTTTAAATCCTTAGTTCAGGATATCCAAGCTGTTTAGTTCTCGTTACTCTGAGGATCCTTTTCCCCCTGTCTTTCGCTATTTCTTCAAACCGTCTCTTCTTTAATTAGACCTGTATACTACCAAGCCACGTATTTGCTTTCTCTGGCAGAACATACCATCAATCTCCGATACTCAGTGTGACATAAGAACTGGCTACCTCGGAGCCTCATGTGATGGCTCATGAGGGCCCTATTGCCAGGAATGGGCATCTTTTCTCTTTTCTTTCTTTTTTTTTTTATTTTTAACTTATCATCAAGTAATCGAATCCGATCAACGAAGATTCATCTTTGGCAGTGATAATGGTCTAGGTTTAATTTGTGATGCAATACGGTTTCATCGATTCCACCGTTTACTGGCAGGATTGGCCTATTAAGAGTATTGTCCTTTTTTTTTGATTTCCTTCTAGCCAATGGATGTTCTGGAGATCAGGTCCTAAACGATTAGAAATTAGCACAGAATTGGACATCGGTAACAAGCACAAATATATCTACTCGCAAGGTCCACTAAAACGCTATGTCATTCTTTACTCTCATTACAACTCTATACCTGCCTATAAATATAGAAGCACTGAGTACTTTAGGGATTTCGAGTATAATATACCCACTCTATCAGAGAAATAACCAGGTTGGTGCCATGTATAGCATAATCGTGGCATTAGTGCTGTGCTCTTATAAAGAACATCTATATAGTGCATATGCTAGCAACCTTACGTTGATCTTGATCGATGTACATGTACCATGCTGATCTGTAATACGCGGGTAAGAAAGAAGAAGTTGCAAATTTGAGAGCATCGTGTACTCAAAAATGTCATGTGCACCACGTCCTCACAATCCACATCGTATCCAAGCTGCTCTGCTGAAAATAGGTAGATGGCTGATGTATGTTTACTACATGTGCCTGCTTTACTAGTATGAGACTGTGGCTATTGAGTATCGTCTTGCGGTGGGATGTTTTGAATAGAATTGCTGTGCCTGGGGGCCAAGCTCTAGAAGCTTTCAACACCCGTGAATCGCTCTAAATTCAGCATCGACCTTCGCAAGAACAAACAGAAGTTGGAGTCGATATCTGGTGAGATTATTTCTAATAAATTTTAAATAAAAGAAGGGTTGTCGCGAAAGTGTTCTGGAAACAGATTAGACAGGCTTCGCCGAAACTCCTTCTTCCCTTAACCTCCCTCTTTAGTCTCTTTCCTTTACTCTTGCTTGTTATCCCTCTCAATCTTTTCTCTTATGCTTCTAAGCATTACTCATATAATGCTACACTCATAAACACTGTATCACTAATAGCTATGACATCAACTGAGGAAAGACTTCAGACATTTCATTCCGCCAATTTGGATGGGCCACCAGCTCCGACATCAGATATGTAATATATTGAGGCTCGGTTTGATGGCCAAACCCAACGGTACACCATCCTCTGGAGCGACATTTGTCTGCGTACAAGCGGTTCATATAAAGAAAGGATAAGTAGTTCTATCCTTCCTCATGGACGGCAATTTAAAAACAGTACGGATAACAATATTAACATTAATGACAAGAGACCTCTACGGTTACCCTTGTGACAGCAACCGTCTTGGTGGTATTTATGTAAATCATTCCAGTATTGCGAAAATAAATGTAGTATAACACCATTCTGGATCCGTGCCTTGCCTGGCATCATACTGGATATATTTATTTCTCAGACAGATAATGAGTTGTATTCGATTGCCGGCGGTTAGTAAACATATTTATAATATTTATTTATATATTTATTAAACGACAGCGCAATCGTTGGAAGCAAATTTAGGTTTAAGTTTTTGTTTGGATGTTGTGAAACCTTGTTCATTTTATTTAGTGCCATAGATATTTGAGGGGTAACATTATGAGTAAGAACATCACCAGAGAGCCTGAGCATTGGTAGAGGGGAGATCACCTTGTGCTCATTGCAAGGAGATGTTTGGGAGATTAATAAAGCTCAAAAGTGTATAAAAGGTAAAAAAAGTCTTTTGTTTTCTGCCATTTTCCCTTCAGTGCCCATTCCCAAGATCATTCGTCCATATATCTGAGCCATTCGACAATTAAGGGGACACCGTCTTTTTTTCTTTTTTCTTTTTTTTTTTTTTTTTTTTTTTTTTTTTTTTTTTTTTTTTCGTTTTTATCTATTTACCGTCATCATGTCTCAAGATCAGTTTCATCACTATATACCACGTTTCATACTGAAGAGTTTCTCTGAATATTTCCAGCTGAAACCCTCAAGCATTTTCTCACCGAATGCCTCAGGCGGCTTTACATTAGAGTCCCTTGAAAATGGCCCTGTGAAGAGCAAGGGAAATAACGGAGGAGGTAGCAGGAAAAGCAACAAGAAAGGCAAAAAAATAGGCAAAAAAAAGAAAAGCAGTGGTAGTAACATAAGAAGCAGCAGGGAAGACGACAGCAAAGGTAGCCATGGAGAGGAGCAAGATCCGATCATGGAATATCCAATTAATGTTTACCAAGTAATGGAGGAAACAGTCACACAGAGCGACGTTGGCAGAGTGTATGGTGTTCAGAACATGTACCAGGACATTGCTGAAGTCGATAGTATGTGGTTTGAGAAGGAGCTTGCCAAGTTGGAGTGCACCTCTGCGACGTTCATTCACAAGATCCGATCTGGCGGAGAGCTACCGCTGACGCGGACTCAACTAGCAGACTTCAAGAGGTTCTTAGCCATCATGATGTACAGGGGGGAGCACCGGAGGGAGCAGTATTACGAGTGTAGGTTCGACGTTAGGACGCTACTATCAGTTCGGAAACATATGTTTCAAAACAACATTGAAAGAGTTCAAGACGTGTGGTTCGAGAACCTCAAATGGATCATCAAGACCCCTCATGATGAAATCATTAAGGAAGGCACAAAAATCATTCCCTTGATTCCAATGAATAAATACAATGGGCCTATCCACATCGCGGAACTTCTGGACTATTATCACATGATGTGCAACTACATGTGTGTTTGGCAAGCAGAAGAAGGGTCTGAATTTATCCTAACCGACAAGTGCTTTGGTGCGTTCGAAGGCGAGAATGGCATTCACTTCCACAATTTCTATGTTGTGTCTCCGAAATATATGGTCGTTCTTGTGAACCGTCTTTACATGTGGGACCTTGTGAAGACCATGGGTCTCCGGAAGTCGTGGTTTGGGGATGAGCTCCATGCCAATCCAGATGTTATCTATACGAAAAAGGCTATGAGAGGTGCGGAAGACTTTACTCCAACAGACGTGTTCAAATACAAAAGGATTGTTGTCTCAAAAGAGAAGGTGTATCTCTGCAACAGTATCTTCTTGGATGCAAACCCCAATTATATAACATACAAATCCGATATCTCCATGTACAAGTCCTTAAGATACTACGACAAAACTAAAGAAGATCTGTTCACCTTCAAATATGATTACCATGTCCTGAAGCGCAAAGTATTAGCCAATCTCAAGGCAGAGATGAACAGGACACATTGTTTCTGAACTATCTTCGAAAGACTTCAGAGCATTGCACTTCTTCTTCATTCCTTCACAAAGATAGGCTGTGGTTGTTGAGCGCAACTCGGTAGAAATAAAAGAATGGATCTCATAACCATTTCGCGATAATAGTTTCTTTATTTATTTGTTTGTTTACTTTTACTTTTATTTGTTTGTTTACTTTTTTATTTTTATTTTTTTATACAACGCCTTTTTGTTATTTTTGCTGTTCTTTCCTTTCCTTTCAGGACATCTCCTTTATCCTTAAGTGAAATATGATTCATATTTCCATATTCAAGTCTCATTTATCGACAACCAAAAAAAAAAAAAAAAAAAAAAAAAAAAAACAGCAAGTGGCCTAGACGAAGTCTTCTATCTGAGAGGCCTCATCACAGCCAATGCGTTACTTTTTTACTTTGATCTTTTTGTTTTCATCGACATTCCCAGGTCTGGGGAGGCGTGTATTGGCGTTTTCGTTTTGTGATTGGAGACACTAATATGAAAAAAGCAGGACATTGACAACTCATTGCTTTGCAAGCCTTACACATTCAAGCTTGCTGCTCTTTACCCAAGCATGAGGCGGAATAACCCGCTTAGTGTTTCAAAAGTCATTAATTTTTTTCTGCAAATGCTTTAAGTGGTGATTTCGGATCACCAGAGATGGGGTAGTCTCGCAAGACAAATCATACCCAAAACAACTCGCTCGCTAATTGGAGATGGAGATATTATTTAATATCTTTTGTCATTGGAATGCTGTGATAAAGTCATCGTCAACAAAATCCGCTAACTCCGAGTACCCTAACCAACTACCTGGTAACCTGATATCTGGATAATAATGTTGAAGCCATTTGATAGCTCTTTCGTCATCTGTATGAGGGCTTAAGCCCGCAATGGTGTGGAGTTGTGGCCAATGCTTGGTCATCCATTGGACATCCACTAATCCGATCCGGGTCTCCAAATCTGACACGTCCAGTTCCTTGAGAGACTTCAAGCTGATAAGCCGATCCAATCCACTCTCGACAGTCATTTCCAAACATTGAAGTTGATATCCACGATCGTGTTCCTCTGTATGATAGAAATTGTATGTCATAAAGGGATTATGTCCTAGCCACAATGCCTCTAGATTTACAAATCTTCCAAGACGCTCGTACACTTGACACTGGGGCTTCCTTCCACCAATACCACCATCATCCCCAGTATCAATGCCACTTCCATCTACATGCTTTTCAGGGACTATAATGACTTCATCTTCTCTTAGCAGATCTGGCCTTGGTACACCTGTGATCATGAGCTTGAGGACCTTGAGGGTGTTCTCACATGCCCATGGAATTAATGTATTGGTTTTTGGGTCCAGATCAATAAATATATCCATGTCCATTTTACAAAGCACTACATCTGAATAGCCCTGTATCAGAACTGTATCCAATGTATGCAATCTAGGACAATATGAGAGGATAGGTAAAAGACTGTTGCCGTCCAATCGATAATTGGCTGGTATGATCAATGTTTCCAAAGTTGCGAAATGACTAGTCAAGGACGAGAGCGAATCCCTTAAAAAAGAGATTGTGCCCGTAGCTACGATCGACTTCAAACCTTGAGGGGATCCAGTGATCAATTCTGAGATGTGATGATCGGTCAAAGTACTCCTGTAACCATCATTGCCTCCCAAGTGAAGCCGCTCGAGAGCAGGCATACAAGTCGGCATGGAGCTGACAAGTGTTTGAGCAACCAACTGATTGACCTCACCGATCTCTAAACACTCCACATAACGACATTGCTGCCATAACCATAGCCAAAACGGTCTGGATGCTAGATCACTATGGCATCCATACAAGTTAATGGTCTTGATATTCAGTTCCGGTCCTGTGTGTTCAGCCTTTATTGCTGTTGTTGTTACTGCTGCTGCTGCTCTTGTTATTGATAAGTCTTTATTATTCATCATCGGATTATTTTTCGAGCCAACGGCGATAAATCGAAGATTCAAGACCCTCAATTTGCTTGTACATCTTGTCAAAATATATTTGAGTTTCCAAGGCTCTACAGTATTCTCGTGGGGCTTGGACGTGTCAGTTCTTAATACTCGAGCATGTGGGGCTAACATGCCATAGGTCTTTAAGGCGTCATCTGACATTAGATCATCAATAGATATGGAGAGCTGATCATGATGTTCAATCGCGTGGCATCGACTTAGAAAATGACGATACAGCTGTTGCGGTGTGGGTTTTTTTTCGATTTGTTGTTGTTGCTGTTGTAGTTCTTTCTCTTGTCCTTGTCCATATGGATTCGTTAGTGCTGTTTTTGAATCGGGCGACGGGGGTTGAAAGTATCGGAGGAAATCTGCGTGTTTAGGTATCTTTTTGATCATGGAGCCATATTTTGTCAATGGAGGTACGAAAAAGCTGTGAGAGAGTTCTTGTAGATCATCATATTGCTCTTGTATATACAGGTCATGGTCTTGGTCTTGGTCTTGTTCTTGGTCTTGTTCTTGTTCTTGTTCTTGTTCTTGTTCTTGTTCTTGGTCTTGATATTGATATTGATCTTGTTTTAGTTGCCCTTGTCGCTGTTGAGCATAGAGATAATAATCGTTCAACACCAATCTACGAAAGGCCTGCCTGTTGAATTCGCCCCAAACGGATCCAATATCATACCAAAGATAAGGGGCAACGATGCTGTGCCATCGTCTGCAGACACAGACACACTGAGCCATATCATGTCGATTCAGTTGTTGACACACGATATTGTCGAGTTCTGGAATGTTGAACATGTCTGCAACTTTTTCAGATGGAAAGAAGCAAATGAGAATGAGAATGAAAAGATGAAATGCATCATCAATAAAAAATAAGAAAGAAGTTGTTCAAATCTAATTCTTGTGCTACATGAGATTCCACAATCAATCTGATTTTGTCGTTGCGCATGCACATGGATATTTTAGATCTTCCCCGAGGCAAAAGAAAAAAGAAAAAAGAAAAAAAAAAAAAAGCTCTCTTTTTGCCTCGACATTCTGACTTGCTTGCTCAGCCCCATGTCTTTCCCTAGAATGTACAAGCATAAAAAGCGGAATAGATAGTAGGCTGATCACAAAAAGTATAGCCCTTTGCGGATGTTTGATTGATGTCCAATGGGGCGTTAACACATGTCAAATGAAAACTGACAGGTGGCTTTAATCGATGCTAGACCAACTTTTGTGCTTGATTACTGCCTACTGTACGCCGCATCAATTGCTTAACCAACAAAGTGTCTTTCTTCATCTAAACCATTCAGCTTTCATACCCCCCCCCCCCCACTGTACTTTCTATCGTTCTCATCATCCTCATACTATGCGCACTTTAGACTCAATTAAAGAATGCGCCCGAGTCATCGGTACATGGATATGATTCACATGCAAAGAGAGCACTAACAAATGCACTATAAAAAAAAAAGACAAAAGTTGGTGACACAACCAGTGGCTATTCCAAAGGAGAGGCTGATTCGGACTCGGGCAGAATCCCCAGGTCAAACTTAATGCTAAAAAGAGAGAGCAGCTGTGGTCAATGCAGAGACAAGGAATAGCAACATCCGGGAAATCCTTTGCCCATGTCTTTTTGTTCTTTTTTTTTTTTTTTTTTTTTTGTTTAATATCTTAACGGGTACAAAGCTTGTTAAGCTGTTTAAATACTTTTCTTTTTTTTTTTGTACATTCATCCCTCATTTTTCTTGTTATCCCTTACAAGCTGTGTACTATTTTTATTATCTATCATCTGAGGCCTAAGGATCGCCATAACAACTATCCATACTCTCGTTGGGCCCCTTCCCTGCTCCTTGTTCGTCTGGTGAGTGGTCTGGGAGTTATCTCCTTCCACTCACCTCTCGAGGATGTAGTTGTCCTGATTGTGTTTATAAACCCAGCGTCTGTTAGCAAATCCAAAGGTCTTACTCCTTTTTCTCTCTTTCTCTAATCTTGGCAACCTTACTCATAACGGCCCAATAATCCCTCACTTTGTCACAGCTTTCCCTGTCTCTCGATTTTTTCTACCTCAACCTCTTTGCTTTCATGCTTCATGAACCCATCAGACCCTGGCCGGTAGGATAATTGAGCTGCTTGTACGACGACGCAAGACGGGCGAGGAAGAAAGGGATCACAGGTTAAGTTACGGGTAATACTATGGCGAACCCATTATTTGGAGTTGGACAATGGCCCCCAAGCGGCCTTGATCTTCTTCTCTTGCACTGTGGAGCAGAAAAAATATATACTATCTTATTAACAATGCCATTATAGAGACGAGTGGCTACAGAGAGAAAAGATTTAAAAGAAAAAAAAAAAAAAAAAAACCTCACTAGTCTATTTACATCGCATTCAATATTCCTGCTAGTCATCTTGTCAGCCATAGCATAGTAGCATAGCATAGAAATAAAGTATATTTAGAAAGCTGCAAAGGAGAGGAAGGGAAAAAAGTGAAGAATTTACAGCGAAAATGACCATGATGAATGACCATGTGAGTAAATGCCTCTACTTTTAATGTCGATGGTCTGCTCCCCCTTCCCCTTCTGTGGTTTGAGGACTTTGGGATTCAGGCGGATATTACCATGTAGTTGGGGGGATAGAAAGCTGCTGTTCTAGGAGGCCAATGGTGAGGATGAAGAGCGAGGAAAGTTAAGCAGAATTATGGTCTTTTTATATTCGATTTCGCATTCTCCATTCCACAAGGAAACCACGTCTTGGTGTGCAATGTTGTGATAATTTGTCAAGAAAATGAGCGCTGTGTGGTATTCAGAAGCAAAAGTGGAGGAGCAATATATGCAAATATAAATAAGATGATCGGGTGAACATGATAGGAAATAAAGAAAAGCAGATCAAAGAGATGATTGATTTAAAGCAGACGCGTCTTCCTTTCAAAAATAAAAATAAAAATAAAAATATAAATAAAAATAAAAATATAAATAAAAATAAAAATAAAAATATAAATAAAAATAAAAATAAAAATAAAAATAAAAATAAAAATAAAAATATAAATAAAAATAAAAATAAAAATAAAATAAAATAAAATAAAAAAAAGTTTCATTAGATGATATGGGATCTATGACAAGTCAAAATGAAGGTCCAGTGTCGACCAAGAGATTTGTAGTGTATTAAATAAGACTCTGTTTTTATTAATTCTAAAAAATCGTAATGCTCTACTTGGGGACAGCTGGGACCTTTCCACAGTCATAGTACACTCTGCTGACTCCAGGCAATGAACGGTTGGTTCTCTTGACAGCATTGCCATCACAGCCCATTCCTCCCAAGCCACCGTTGCCTCCACTGCCACCGCAGCCATTAGCGTAGACACTCATGCCCTTTGCATCCTTGCTTCCAAAGAAGCCCCACTCATAGATCTGGTCCCTCTTGCCTTCACTGAACTGGACAGGGCCTCCAATCTCGAATCCTCCAGTCGACGATCCATCGTTGTGGTAGATTGTAATAAAGTGGCAGGGCTGGTAGCTGCAGTTTCCTTGAGGAGTACAGAAGACTGGGTGGCAGTTGTTGTTGGTCATCGCGCGGATACCGACAGCAGGCTTGCAGAGAGCATGGGCAGAAGCAGCGAGTCCGAGCAAGGCAAGGGTCAAAACTTGAATGGAAGGCATGATGGTAGTTGTAGTTGTTCAGAGAAGTTGTGGAATGCTTTGTTTGATGTTGTTGATAATGAGAAAAACGAACGACAATGGTTGCCTTTTATACCTTTTTTTTTTTTTTTTTTTTTTTTTTTTTTTTTGGCTTCCCACGAATATCCATCCTTCAAAGCAGCCTGGAGTTCATAAATAACATGTGCTATGTTGTTTCCTATCAAGAGTTTGCTGTAAAGCTCTTTTTTGCCATCAAGGAGCATGAGACAAATATTCATTGTTCAGGGTCAAGAACAAGGATGAGGCGCAACTTACATAAATTTTAATTAAGCTCTATATGTGAGAAAAGAGGGTCTAAGGGTTCAAAAGTTCTAGGCGCATCCGCTCTGAAGAAGCTTCAAGTACATGTAGATGGATAAAGTTCGTAAAAGTGTACAGTATATATTATACATGTATATAGGGTAAATATATAGCAGCTGGATACATCCATGTTGTGTTTGGAGTTCAATTTCGCATAGAGACGAATGAGGCGCAACGGCAAGCTATGGATACATGTGGATATATACCGTACAATGATTCATAACCTATCGGAGTCAATCGTGGCACCGGAGGGGCTACATCTTTTCGAAATTTCCCAGTCCTACCTTTTTACATGAAGATGTCCATTGTGCCTGAATTATAACTTTATTCGTCGACCAATCACACTGAACAGTTTGATGTGGCAGTGAAATTACCATGTGTGTGGCTTAGATTAGACAAGTATCCCACGCTTACTCGCACTTTTCTAGTTTATTATTATTGTTGTAATTGTAGGCTTCTACGTTTTTTTTCTTTTTTTCTTTTTTCCCTACCCTTCTTATCCTTGCAATTGTGCTTTGAGTTGATTAACTTCGGCCTCCAGCTTCTCTCGACTCTCACGCTCGTCTGAAAGCTCCTTCTTAACTCGATCTAGCTCTTCTGTCATCCATCGTCGCAGTTTGGCAATCTCGAGTTCCAGTACTGCATTGTTGCCACCCGTTGTAGGAACACCCTGGAACTGACCGAATCTTGAGCTGAGTGATTTGACACCGCCAGCTGGTGGTGGGGCCCCCGCAGGTGATCCCGTTGCAGGTGTGGAGCCAGCAGAATCCGTCGCTGCCGATGAACTTGCTGATCCAACACTACCCTGAGGGGACTCGTTTCCTGATCCTACGCGGCGACCCGTTGGTCGTAGAGCAACAGAGGATGGTTGTGCTCCTGCAAATGGGGTAGGAAACTTTTGGAAAATAGGTTTAACAGGCTTGGGTGGAGGTGGAGGCGCTGTCTTCTCTGAAACAGGTGTAGGTGTAGGCTCTGGTTTTACTTCTTCAGGGATGGGCGCCTACGTTAACATGTACAAATAAAGTCAGGTCATCCATATACAGTCAGAAAGAAGAATAATCTAAATGCGTTATCTTTTCTATAACTTACAGCCTTGACTTCAGCCTCCAACTGTGCGACAAAGCTAGCCTCAGGATTGGGTACAGGTGCTGAGGGAAGTTTACGGCCCTTGGCTGGACGTGGCCTTGAAGCATGGCTCAAAGCTGGCCCCGAATTCTCAATTTCAGGGAGCTTGGGTTTCTCAACCACAGGCTCCTTTGCTTGTTCTTCAACAACCTGATCCTCGCTATCCTCTACTGCATGACGCTCCTTGTTGGTATCGACATCCGGTGTTACTGCAGCGGGTACATCAGTATGAGATGCAGCATCTACAGAAGACGGTGCATCTGGGGTATGATGCCCTTCAGAATTCTGCTCGGCGACCTCTGTAGCTGACTCCTTTTGGAGTTTATCATGAGCAACGTCCATTTCCGGTTCCTGTGACTCTGCGCGAATAGTCTCTGGCGACTCAACGTGTACATGTCGCTCCTCCTGATGAGGCTCTACCTCCGGCACTGATTCCTTAGTTGACTCGTGTTCCTCCTTTTCCTCCTTTTCCTCCTTAGGAACCGCAGGGACTTCTTGCTCTTCTTTTTCCTCTTCAAGAATCGCATGCACTTCATGAGCCTGAGCGAACACTTCTTCTGGCTCGCTAGGAACAGGAGGCAATGTTGCAGAGTGTGGAAGCACAACTGACTTCCTTTTCTCACCCGCTTGGTGAATTGAAGGCGGTCTTGCTAAAGGAGGCAGAGACCTGTTTCGCGCCACAGGTGTTGGTAAAATATACGAATTTTGGTTCGATTGAGTGCTAGTAGGGCTAGTGGGCTCAGCATCTTCTTGTGACTGAGGCTCATGATGAATTGCCTTTGTTTCTGCCTCAGGTGCCTCAGGAATGGGCTTATGAGGTCGCGGTGCGGTATTGGGTCGAGAATTACCTTGACCAACACCAGTAGCGCTGACAGCTGCAGCCGTGGGAGACAATGGTTCAGGATTAAGGGCCAAAGGCGCGGAGACTAAGCGTGGTGATACTGGATAATCACGGCTGCTGGAACGAGACGCCAAAGATGCTCTTCTTGGTGGGGGAGAAGAGGGCAATGGTGGTCCATCGTTCGATAGTGTTGACGAGGCTCCAGGCGATGCAATCATAGAAGGAGGTCGTGAAGCACGGGCAACAGGTGGTGGTGTCACTGTGGGCACTTCAGTCCTTGCATGCCCAGATTCTGAAGGGATTGGAGGCAATGCGACAGGAGCATGAAGGGGTGGACGAGAGTGCACCGGTGACTTTGGTGGCTCTTCATGGTGAACAGTGGCTGTTGGCTCAGGGAGAGTGCTGACAGGGACTGGAGCTGGGGCGGGAGCTGGAGTTGGGGATATGGGTATGGCGGTAGAGGGCTGGGCTGGTTCTTCCTTGATCTCCTGAACAAAATCCGATGGAAAGTTGCCACTTTCACCTTGCTCATTCCTGCCACACCACCAGCCTTCGTCTCCCATCTTGTCCGTCACCACTACTGTTGATCCCTTGATCAACGAAATCTCGTCTAAGTGCAAGGGGTAAGAGAAAATACAAGGTGAATGTAGCTTCAATTAACAATCGAGATTCTTCTTCTGCGTGTGCGATATTTTCTAGTTATTGCCTGTTAAATAAATAATATCCTGTTTCAATGATCTCGTACCATCTTCTTGTGCGGTGTATTCATACATAACGAGCGCCTTAATTTGCTTGGCTAAACAAGTCAAAGTAAATTAAGTATCAGTCCATCAACCCTTTTTATCGGTTTCCTCATTCCTATATCATTGTCATGCAACGTACCTTTGGGCTTTTTGGCTCGGCTAGGGATACGTGGCTCGGGGGAAGCAGCAACTTCCTCGACTGGATGAACTGGGGGACCTAGAGGAGCCGAAGGAGCTGGAACTGGAGGGGCTGGAGGAGTAGCACGTATAGGATTATTGATCAGCGGTGCAAGCACCTCCTCTGCGACTGGTGGGATAAGTTTTGCAGCTGAAGCGTTACGAGCGCTAAAGCCTGGAGAGCGTGGCTCATCCACTGAAGTCCGTCTGGATGTGCTGCCTGTTCCGGCACCTACACCATGAACAGGGACCGAAGTTGGGGCATGAGCAGGGACATGAGCAGGAGCAGGAGCATGAGCAGGAGCATGAGCAGGAGCATGAGCAGGAGCATGAGCAGGAGCATGAGCAGGAGCATGAGCAGGAGCATGAGCAGGAGCATGAGCAGGAGCATGAGCAGGAGCATGAGCAGGAGCATGAGCAGGAGCATGAGCAGGAGCAGGAACAAGGACAGGGGCAGCCTCAGCTCCAGTAGGATTACCTGGCTCAATGCCACCCAGCTTTTTCAAATTCCCCGTCTTTTTCAATCCCGGGATGACGCCTCCTGCAAAAAGAGAACCAAGTCCTCCTTGCTTGACGCCGAATGCAGCCAGTTTGAATTTTGTCGGTTTATCGCTATCGCCATCCTCTTTGTTTTCGATGAGTTTGACGTACTGTTTTTGTTTTTGTTTTTGTATAGAATCACTACATTAGTTAGGATACCATGAAGTATTTTCCTTGTCGTACGGAATAATAAAAATAACCGTCAATAATTTCAAATTATCCTGCATAAACCTTACATTGCTTGGGAAAACACCAATCCTGCCGTTCAGATCACCCTTCCACCATGCAGGATCACTCGAATCAAGAATGGTGACCACGCGGCCCGTCTCCAACGACAGTTCCCCAGACTCCTTTGCTTCGTAGTCATATTCCACGCGTGCAAGGACAGGTCCTGTGATCCATTATGATCGGGTGGAAAGGGGTTGGGAAGAAGGTTTAAGAGAAAGTTAAAAAAAGAACAGACGACGGTTAACGCTCTCTGCGCTGCTCATTCTTTTGTTTGGCTCAGGAACAATCATGTCATACATAATATATTCAATGTCATATTACATTACCTTCATTTTTAGGTGCTGCTGGTGCTTCCTCTGAGGCAGTAGGATCCTGTGTCTGCGCAGGTGCAGGTGCAGGTGCAGGTGCAGGTGCAGGTGCAGGTGCGGTTTCGGGTGCGGTTTCTTCCGAAGCTGCAGGAACTGAAGCAACTGGAACCGGAGCTGAGGCTGAGGTTGGGGCTGGGGCTGAAACCTCCTCCTCGTAGGGCTCTACAAACTGTAATGATCATGTAACGAAAAAAAAAAAAAAAAAAAAAAAAAAACGCATTAAGTTCAAATATTCTTTTTTTTTTTATAAAATGATCTTCCACCACATGAATTTAATGTAAAAACGCGTCTGTAATCCTTACATTAGATGGAAACCAGCCAGCGCTGCCATCTTTTTCTTTCTCGCCCACCCACCATCCTTCATCCGTTTGGTCCGAAACGACAACAATGTCTCCAACCTCAAGGGTCAATTCATCGTCTTTTTCGGCGCCATAAGAATGATGCGCAATGTAACGTGGAGCAGCTGTGTCGTCATTTCATCCAGCAGTACATTGTTCCAGGAATTAGTCATAAAACAGAATGGGAATAATTAATAACGAGTTAGAAATACACGATTTTCCCTTTACATGTTCTCTCTTTTTTCTCTTTCTCTTTTTTTTTTATATTCTAATAATTCTGTTGCCGGGTGGGGTTATTTACGCATGCTATAGTCTTGATTCTACCGTGGCCTTATTGTGGAAAAAAGATGGTGATGAAAGAGGAAAACCGTTTACAGGACTGTGTTCGTGGGTGTGGATGTGAACGTGAACGTGAATGCGTGTGCCTTTTATAATAATAAATAAAAAAACGATTAGGTATAGGATAAAGATGGCAGATAATTCATTAAGGGAGAAAAGATGTTCTTGAACCTGAAATTCCCCCACACTTTGCTCAAAAACTCAGCCCAAAAGATGTCACATGATCCCGTCTCCAGATCATTTCTTTTGGTAGGGCTTTTTGCCTTTGTTGGGATGCTGGCCTTTTGGATTGCCTTTATGTTTTCCTCCTTCACTTGAACTAGCTACTGGCGTCGGTGGCTTCCATTTCTTGACCTTGTCCAACACACGTTGCACTATATCCCGTTCATCCGATCGTACAATAACGGCATTCCGCTTGTTTAAAGAGAGAGAAGAGTCATTAGGTCTTTTGAGCAAAGCCCTGTCATCCTGTATTGCGAAGGTATTTAGAAAATGTAGAATTTAGTAAGTATGCCGATTACACTTGGCTTGGCACTCCTAAGATACATGGTGTTTGTTCTCACAATTGAGATCTACCTTTGCTGTTGACGGATAAGTAGCCAGCTTGGATTCCAATAACTCTCTTAAACCCTTTTGCACTTCCACGGTGAGTTTTGTATTAGGAATCTTTTTGTTCTTCACCACTGTTTCTTTGAATTCGTCCAATGGCATCATCAGGATCTTGGCGCATCCAATTAATTCTTCGGGAATTTCGCCATCTGCCTCTAAAATAAAGTACCTAAGTACGAGAAGAAAGCGATAGGTAATGAGCATAAAGAAAATTGAATTCAGTCCATTCATAGGATATAACAAAGAAAATACAAAAAAAAAAATAAAAAAAGCGCAATCCCTTACTCTTCCAACCCATCATACTCCAACAGCCACTCTACTTTCTCATCCTTTCCAGCCTCATCCTGCTGTGTAAATTTGTTTATAACTAATTCACCACTAATCTCGGCAATGTTGTGTGGGTTGGGCACATCCACGAAGCCATACTTGCGTAATAGATCCGCATTACAGAGCTCGCCATAAGTATTATAGATTTGTTGACCAGCTTGAATATTCGCGATGGCTACCATTCTCAAACATTCTTTTTCATGGAACAGTCGAGCGTTGTTGTGGCCGGTTTTGTGGTTTAACATATCTGCCATTGGAACCATGGATACGTTGATCTTCTCTTCATCTTCGTCATCATCATCCATTTCTTCATCCATATCTCCGCCTTCCTCTTTATCTGTGGAAGGGGCAGTATCGTGAAAAGCATACGCCATGATCAATGAGCCCATACGATGAAAAATTTGAATAAAAGTCGAGATTGCATTATCTTTCTTCGGATCCAAGTCCGGCTCACTGTTGTTTCCTGGGGAAGAGGTGAAGAGAGCACCGTTATCACTTATAACGGGCCAAAGTTTCTCGTGGAAGGCAGCTTCTGCCTCTTGTTTTCCAATTTTGTCTATAGCTCCAGTCCCTTTCAATTCCAACAGCTCTTCTTCACTCCAGAACATTGGCGTAGAAAATTCAGTAGGAAGAATATCTAATACCAAATGAATCAAAATTGGACCAAAGTTGTTTTTGTTAATATTTCAAAGAAAAAGAAAAAAAAAATGGATTAAATCATTTAGATATATTACCAAAGTATGGCTTCCAAAGTGAGTCTGATCCACGGCAATACTCATAGATCATGCACAGCATCAAGGGATTCCAGCCTTCCATACTCGACAGATCAATCTTTTTTGAAAGTTCAGAGGTTAATGGAGAGAGAAGTAGATGCCGTGGAATTGAAAAGAGCTCCTCATTTTTCTGTCAAGAAGTGAAAAAAAAAAAAAAAAAAAAAAAAAAAGGATTATTGTTATTGACGTTGCAATGAATAGTCATGTCCCGGATAAATAAAAATAAAAAATTTTAATACTATCTCACCCTACTTTAATATCAGAAGAAGCGATTACACCACGACCAGCACCCTCTTCAGAGTAGTCCTGTAATGCTATGGAGGCAGAGACTTTGGCTCCATTGTCGTGGAGCCATGTGAGGAATGCAGCGTTGACTTGATCGAATGCAACCATGATGGCGAATGCGAAGAAAAAAAAAAAAAAAAAAAAAGAAAGCTTTTAACTACAACAAGCCACATCCGGACACATGGAAACCGATCAAGGTTCAGGTCCAGAATTTGATTTATGCCTGCATTTCATCACTCAGGGTAAGCAAAATATTTGGCTTCCAATACATTCGAGTTTATTCAAAAAAACATATGGACTACTGACTAAACGGGGTGGGGAGCTACAATGTCAAAGTAAGTTCGATTTGACAAATTGATAGTTCAGGTACGCATTATGGTTTGGTTCTCCCCAAAGACATGTTACACTGCGTACCAAAGCTGTCACTATAATGAATGTCAGCTATTGCTTCGATGAACATTAAAAAGAAAATTATCTGTTGAATGATTGGTACTCTAGCCTTCATTCTCAAAAGAAGAGAGTTGACAGACAAGAGATATCCTCACACACAGTTCATCATGAGCAGGTCGCAAAAGGTGCCATACCATCAAATAGGTCTTTTCACAATCTCGCTAATCGGTTCGCACGATTGGAAGCTACCGGAACAGTTGAAGCTGCAGTTGAGACCGTCCTCCCTTTCCTTTTCGTTTTTTTTTTATTTTTTTTTTTAAAAAATATCTTGTCAAATGCGCATAAGGATTTAAAGTTTGGTACACTCGAAGCTTCGCCCAACCTTTAAGGACAACATTGATCTCCACTTTATTCGAAGACTTTTCGATCATGCATCATTGTCCTCTGAAATCCTATTGCTATTAAACCACTGTTATAAAGAAAAACGATACATAGGTTTTTTTTCTAGTCTTATCAGAAGTCTCTGAAAATTGAATTGATAAAACCTCAAATCCTGACGTCCATATCGGACATTATCTGTTTATCAATTCTCGAATTGTCACCTATCATAAAGCAATCTTCATTTCCTGGAACGATAGCTTCTTCCAAAGTTGTGGCCGAGGACTCTAATCTATCAATTGAGCTGAGTCGTATGTATAGGAGACTCCTGTGGGGTGGTATATGAAACTGACACCTTTCGCTATTGCAGTTATGAGAAATCCTTCAAAAAATGTAAAAAAAATAAAAAAAAAAAAAAAAAAAAAAAAACAAGAACCGAACAGGTTGATGGCGAGGCCTATACGTGGCTATCCTCAATCCAAACAAAAATACGTCTGTGATGTTGTCTGTGAAGTGCACGACATTTTTAGCGGCAGTCAATCAGGATCTGCCACTAACATATACCCACATGTTATTCATGAATATTCTCCTCGTTCTCACGCTTCTTCACTTTTCTCTTCGCCTCATTTTTTGTTGTGCAGTAAACGCTCAAAAGTTAAACTTTGTTAAACCCGCCTTTCTCCAACTCCCTAAATATGCACAACCAAATTGGGAACTCAAAGGCGATCTCACCATCATGTCGTGAGAAGCGCCATAACGTTTCACGAGCCACACCGTACGTTCGACTCAACGAACAGGGCTCCCCAAGGTATGAAAATATGGATCTGCTAACCTGGTTTGTGCATAGACTCTATACGACTAAAATATTTACGTTCACCTTTTTTTTTTTACTAATAATATTCTTCTCTTCCTCTATAACAACCATAGGAGTCCCTGTCGTTCAGATAAAGGGAGGCTCGCCTGCTGAGCCCGCATCGCAGAGACAGAAAAGCAGGAAAAAAACAAAAAAGGCCTTGCAGAGCCGACGCAGGTCGATACAGCCTGAGCCACGCTCGAAGAAAAGGATCTCCATTGTTTATGTATCAAAAATCTAATTTAGTATTTTGCCCGAACCATAAACCAACTTCCTTTTATGTAGGGCACAGTAGGACACAGCAAACAATGGCGTCCTCACTTCGACAGCTAGCATGCTGTTTATTATCTCTGGGAATCCAGCTTTTTCATTCCCACCATTCACCTTCACGGCAGAGACCCAATCTGTCGCCGTCCAACACATCTACTCTGCCAACATTTTACTTTGGAGCAGCCTCTTCACTCACCCCATTTTCTTTCGTCTTTGAAACCCCAATCACATTATCACTGGAATACGTTTCTAGACCTCAATCAAGAGGTGGAAGGCGATATAAAAAAAATAAACAAAGTAAATAAAGGATGATGTGCATTATCAATTCCTTCATGCTTCTTCTTTTTAGAATTGCTATGAAGTGTCTACTAGTATTACAAGGGCATAGAAAAACTTAAAGTAAAGAGTATTACGGTAGTTGGCAGCCGGAAGCGCCTCGAAGGAACATGACGTTTATGTACATTGTCATCCTGGTCTCAAATTCTGAGTGTAGAACTGGCTCTTCTTCGTCCATGTTCACTTTGGGCAGCCTGCGACTCATAGATCACTCATACCAAATAGCGCTCCAGCAACGAACGATCTGGAGTCGTTTTGGCCAGAAGTGCAATGTAAAAGCTACAGTCTTCTGACCTATTTATGAGTTATTGGTGCTTGACCCAGTATAAGGTTTTCTCGATGCTGATATTGATATCAAAGCTTAGGCCAGTGTTGCCTGTCTATCATATTCTGAGTTATTACAAAATGATAGTAGTGATTTCAATACTAAAGATGTCCTGTGTGCGAGGCGCGTAATTTCCAGTTCAATGAAGGGAGAAGGACTGGATAGTAGATGGTCAGTCGGATGCAGTGGGCCGAAAGCCCGTTTTATGCCCAAAGATTAGTCCATAGCTTCCACAGAGAATTAAATAAGTTGGCTAAGCTTTATTAAAAAGATGTAAAGAGGAATAGTGAGAAAGTCTGAAATACAGATACGTAGCTACTTCTTAATGGCTTTGTAGATTAGGTAAGGCGGTCCCCAGACAGGTGATGTGAGTACAGCGAGCGTAGCGACAGTATAAATGAGGATCTGCTCCCCAATGGTCTGGAATTCTTCTTCAGTGATCTTGATATCTTGGACATCTCGTACTTCTTGTTTCACAATCTTGTCAAGCATATTCTTGAGTGGCTCCAAATCAGGGAGATCTCCTTCATCTTGGTCTTCGATCACAATCACACGGTCCGTCCTGACAATCGCTTGAGTGTATTCGTGGATTCTGTTGACCAAGGTTTCTATACACTCTCGTGTGGCATAGTGTTGCATATTTCGTCTTTTGACCTGGTTAACAATTAAAAGGATCTCAAATCTGGGTGTCAATGCCTGATTGACCTTTTGAATCAGGAGCATGTCGGAGCGCTGGATCCTTCCGTTGTGATCCATCACAATGATTCCAATCTTGAGTGGCTTTCGGTTTTTCTTTCCAAGTTTAAGCGCTTCAGTGATTTCTTCTGCGTTGCGCCTCGTTGCGACCAGATCTGGCTCAATCAGACCCGGTGCATCAACCATGAGAATATTTTGGCCATTAATGTCGACGATTTGTTGCTGTACTTGCGTCGTCACTCCGCCGCCATGCATTGCGAACCCCGATTCAAAATTTGCCCCGAGATGGTTGGCGATATAGCTCTTCCCAGTCCCTGGATTGCCAGTGATGAATAGGACACAGCTGACATCGTCTCTCATGATTGTGATATATTATGCGGTGACTCCACTGGTTAATATGGGAAAACGATAAGATTGCAATAAAGGAGAAAGAAAAAAATAACAATAAATTGGACTGGGTTTGATGTTCCTAGGCCTTAATGCGTCTATTTATTTCGTCCATTTGCTTCGCCAGCCAATTACACTTTTTTTTTTCTTGCTTCGCCATCTGCACATTGGATGGCTCTTCGCCCTTGGCCGCAAAGTGGACAGTGGGATAAAATAAACAATATCCCTTGAACTTTAACCTGGTAATCATGCAAAAAAAAGCTCAAAGCTTGCCAGCTGAGCCTAAACCAATTAAATCTAGGCCCTTCGCCGCTTATTTTTCAAGATATAAACATTGATAGATGGTGAAGCACTTGATGACAGCAATACTTCCAATGGACAACATACTTGTGGCGAAGTGATGAACAATACAAAAAAAGTGCCTTGAGTAATGTTGCATGGGTTAGAACACAGCAGTTTGGATGCCCAGAAAGCTACGACTTAAAAAAAAAGGTTAAAAGGCGCCTCCTGGCCGCTTTATTACTTACTTAAACTTCTCTTTTATTAATATCACTGTTGCAATCTTTAACGCCCTTTTAACAGTAAAAATGACCAATGTCGACTATGCTCTCTTCATCACTGGCAATCCCGGATCTGGCAAAAGCTTCATCGCCAACAATCTTGGGGCGAATTTTCGGACTGGCTTCTCAATGCATGGCGGTGGTGTGACGACCGAAGTCCAGAGCGCGGAGGTTACCATTGAATCACAGCGTGTCCTTTTAGTCGATGCGCCAGGCTTGATCGAAGCTGATTACCAGGCGACTCAACGTAATGCAGGAATGATCACTGATGCTCTTGGTATCAGTCGACACACCCCTTGCAAGATTGGTGTCATTGTCACTGACCACAATGGTCGGATCCAACAAGCTGACCTGCTCCTGATTAAGAAGGTCCATGAGGCATTGACACCCGCATTTGAATTTCTACTCATTGTGAACCAGATCAGACGACGGAACATCACCAACTATGCGACCCGAGAGTGCTTAACAGCTTTAGTCCAAACTATCCAGAGCCGCACAGGAGCCGACGTGAGAATCGATCGAGTGATCGCAATAGCCGATTTTGAACCAGAGCAGCGCCCAGATATGGCTCCTCTTATCCGAATGTTGGGCTCTATAAACCAGCAATCTGCTGAGGACGTCAAGCCAATTGTGATTTCAACTGAAGAGCATCAGTCACTTGGAGAGAAGATACTGTTTTACGTTTATCGCACGCTCAAGATTATTGCGAGCCTTGCGGGCCCAATGCTAATGATTGGCCAAATGATCATGTAGTTCATGTCATGGAAATCAAGAATTTTTCTCCTTTCCATTCCAAATACATTACCACGAATTTATAGTTATCTCATTTTCATCAATTTCTTTTATTAAAAAATAAATAAATAAAGCTATTTAGTGCTTTATTTAATAGTTGCAATAAAACAGTGATTCTAATCTCTAAGGATCTACATATACCTTAGTAGCTATTTAAAACCCTCAGCGTTGAGACGAGGGATCGCTAAAGTGGGGAGATATGGACTGCTGCTACAGTAAAAGTGCAAAGAGCAAACGTCTCATGCGTAATAATGATGCTCCCAGCATTGCAACTTATGCTCCATAGGATCCTTATTTGGCCAACCACCCGCACCCTCTGACATGGCTACCAATCGTCCTCCACTGATGCTGGCTCTTGAGTCTATTGTATTAATTAAAGTGAGACAGTCATCGGATACGTGATGCCGTATATTCCGCCGCTTGACTTAGTTTACAATCAGCAGAGTGCAGAGTTCAAAGTTAATATATTCTGTTCAACCCTCAATACTCAAGAGGTCGCCTGCATATTTGGTATCGCCACTAGATCGGCCTCTGTCAACCCAAGAGCATCCATAAGGAGCAAACGTTCCTCATTTATCATCATCCTTTGTTTCTAGATGTTTGTCGTCATGGCTTCGCCACCACCTATTCCAAGTCCCGAGAGGGACCTGCGTCTAGGTTGTTAACGATATTGCTCTTGCCGACGTCAAGATTGCCAGTAATGAATAACGCACAACTGATATCTATTAACCCTAAAGTCGAGTTTTTAAAAAATGCCTCGCCATCACCCCTGAAAACCTTATATTGGTTTTTTTGAAAACAAACAAACAAACAAACGGAATTGTTTGTTGCTTCGCCTACTTCGCCAACAATATGTGACAGGTTTTCCAGCCTGTATAATTCATGCAAATGAAATCTTGGGGTTTTCCCCTCAGTCAATAATGTAACATGGGTCAACTCTCTAAGGGATGGGTAGTATGGCGAAGTAAGTTTGATTGATATTTATTCAGTTACAAATGAATAAAGCATGCATTCAATGGAGCGAAGAAAGCATCTGAAAGGGAAACTTTTTTCTCTTCTCTTTTTTATATAACTAGATAAAATATCAATCCTTTTTGTTCTTCTATCACAGTTGCCCTGAATTATCCTATACAATAAATACAATAAAAAAAAATGAATAGTATTTCATCCAAATATACCTTATTCGTAACTGGAAACCCTGGGTCCGGGAAGAGCTTCATTGCCAACCATCTTGGCGCACACTTCCCTTCAGGCTTCTCAGACCATGGCGGGGGCTACACTACTGAATTACATACAGAAAACGTTCCAATCGATGAAGACGAAGTACTTATGGTCGATGCACCAGGCTTGATTGAAGCAAACTATAAAACAACTGTAAAGAATGCGACGTTGATCACACGTGCGCTCAACAAGGGCCAGTCTGAGGAGTATGGCCAGCAGATCCCCTACAAGATCGGTATCGTCATCACAGACACAAATGGACGCATCCAGCCGGCAGACATGCTCTTAGTCAGGAAGTTGTATGAAGCACTGACTCCTAAGCCTGAATTTATGTTGATCATCAACCAAGTCAGAAAGAGTAACCTTCATAAAGTGATGTCGGAAGAGTACCAGCGCAACCTAATTACGACGATCAGAGAAAAGACAGGTGCCACTATTCGTTCGGAGCATATTGTAACAATTGCCGATCTCCCTGATGACGAACAGGTTGACCTCAAACAGTTGAAAGAGGTCCTGAGTAAAATTGATGCAATTTCTGTGAAAGTAAGCCCAATTACGATCACTAAAGATGAATTTGATACCATCCTGAACATGGACCAGCCCCATGGATTCACAGCCACCAATAACATTCCTCAACAAGCGCTTCGGCTCCCCAAAGTATCTCGATTTTTACAACCTATAAAACCTATAAAGAAACTTTTGCAGCTCGAAAAACCTAAACAGGCAAGCTTCGATCTACGTTTGCATTGATTATTGGTATACACAAAATAGTGAGATACTTACTTATTTTTTTTGTTGTGATATCAGGATAAGGCTTCTAAAATCTCTAATCCGGTCAACGAGGGGTCTCGGAAAAATTTCGATAGGCACTTTGGGCCGAACGAGCCGGTAGTATCCAATTCGGGTACTAATGGACCACCGTCTCATATCCATGGATACTCTAACCCAGCTCCACCAATAAACCAATCCCATACTTCATATCATGATAAGCCCCAACCTCAGCCTCCATTATCTGATATCAGTAATATACCTGCATATCGGCAACAAGGAGCGGGGCCGCAATCATTTGACTATCAATCTTGTGCGACGTCGCTTAGTTCGACAAATGTACATGTCCTAATAACTTCTGGCGCAGCAAAGATCCACCCCACAACACCTTATGACGTAGCAGGCGTCCAACCTCAAGCATCTTTTGGTATGGCAGAATCCCTGCCCGAAGTGACTTCTGGCTTAATAAATGCACCGCATCATGTACCTCCTAGCGAAATAAGTCAACAGTCTCTGGCGTCCCTTGACACAGTAGATCACTTATCACCCCAATCGCCTGCTGTGATAGATTTCCAGTCTGCCGCGGTAGGCCACCAGCCCTTGGTGTCCCCTTGCGAAGCAAACAACCAGTATTTAGACCCTATAGTTGCAGTAGACCACCGGACTGTTGAAACAAAACCTACCAACTGCGGTAGTAGTCATCTAGAGCAACCAATTGACATAGCTTCAGACGCACCCTTACAGGCCCCGATGGCACCGCAAGTAGTTGAAGATGTCGAATATATAGACGTCGTAGATTAGTTGGTATAAGTGCACTTTATCAACTGAAAGCATATGTACCATTTGTATCAATAAAAGCTAATGGTACAGACTCAACATGTAGGCTTGGGGAAGCTCTTGCTATATACGAAGAGATTACTAAGTCTTGAAGCCTGAAAATTGTAATTTACAGTATAAAAGCTTGTTCGCCACTGCCTGATAGCTCCTTCAAGATCTAAAAGATTTTATTCGATTTCATTCCAAGGAAAAATAAAAAAAGAAATCTGTAGTGACAGTGCTGGCAACATGCACTTCCTGACCTTAGGATTTCGCTACCTTGTAGAGAATGTAAGAAACCCCAGCTATTAGTGCTGCTGGCCCTGAAGCTACAAATGCAGCGGATGTAGCCATACCAGCAGTTTCACCCACAGCGAGTGCAACTGCACCTACAGTTGCAACTGCACCTACAGTTGCAGCTGCACCTACAGCTGAACTCAACGTGAAAATTGTGAACTCCTTGAAACTAGCCTTGTATTCTTCTTCGGTAACCGTAATATCATTGACATTTTGCGCTCGTTTTGCATTGATTCTCTCAAGCATATTAATGAGTGGCTGTATGTCTGGCTTCTCATCATTATCGTAGTCTCTGATAACAAGCACACGATCGGTCCTGACATCAGCACCAGTGTTGGCCTTGATTGTTTCCACCACTGTTTCTATACACTGCGGTGTGGCATAATATTTCAGGTTGCGCTTCTTGACCTGGTTGATAATCAAAAGGATCTCGAACACGGGTGACAATGCTTCGTGAATCTTCTTGATCAAGAGCAGGTCCCCGTGTTGGATTCTTCCGTTGTGATCCGCTACAACAACCCCGATCCTAAGAGGAATATTATACGTTGGCCCAATTTGTAACGCTTTGGTGATTTCTTCTGCATTGCGTCTCGTCGTGTCTAGGGTCGCCTCAAACAGGCCTGGTGCATCAACCATGAGCACCAACTGACCATCAATCCAAACATCCTCACACAGTACGTCTTTTGTTACTCCAGTGCCATCCAACGAGAAGCCGGACTTGAAATTTGCCCCAAGGTTGTTTGCAATGAAACTCTTGCCGGTTCCAGGGTTGCCAGTGATGAACAGAGCGAAGCTGTATTTTGCGTCCATTGGTGATAGAAAAAGGAGGAGAGGGGAGGAGGAGAGGGGAGGAGAAAAGGGTTCGATGCTGTTGTAAATCCTTTTCAATTTTCAATGGGTTTTATATCTTTCTTTTCACAGCCCCTGATTTTTTTTTTTTTTTTTTTTTTTTACTTCGCCAAATATAACACAAGCCGATTGTTTGGCAGCCTGAACTTTATGCAGTTTTTTCTGTCTTTTACTTCCCTTCCTGTCTTTTGTGCCAAGAAGAAGGAACACAATATTAGCTGGTGAAGACAATAATCAGCGACAAACTCCTGACTGTCGGGTAGGACGCTCTTATCCTTCCATATTTGTAGCTTAAGATCACAGCATAGTCATCACGCTGTAATTGTTATTCCACTATTCCCCCACCATAGCTTCCAATATATCAACAACACAAAACAATGTTCTAGTCCTCCTTCCTAACTATGATCATATCAAAGCAAATCGATGTTCCCTCTTGCGTTTCAATCTCGCCATCGTCGACAAGTTATTGTTGAAACTTATTCAACCTTTATATGCCCTTGCAAGGTTCTGGAATGACAATGAGGACGATTCCCTTGAAGTTAAGTTCCCCGGTGATGAAAAAAAAAAAAGAAAAAAAAAAAAAAAAGCTGAAAACCACTGGGCACTGTTAACTGATGACACCTTCCTTTGTTTCCAGAAGTGGGTTATTCTCTTGTGCCTACCAGTGCTGTTGTTGTTGTTGTTGTTGTTGTTGTTGTTGTTTTTTTTTTTTTTTTTTTTTTTTTTTTTTTTGATGTAAACTTCCAAACAGGAAGAATCTTGGTCAACTGGTGGTGAGGATGTCCGCTAATGTGTGTTACTCCTGTATCTCCTACTGCAGCGTCCTCAAAGTCATCTTTCCATGCTCGAAATACTGTCGCAGTCACTAGATCTACTTCGACCGCAATACAGTCGGAGCGAAAAACATCGCTCGTGTCTGCTTGGCACATGTTCTCTTTTGACAAAAGCGGGCCGGTCATACCAGTAACCTCCCGTTCACACAGAACACTTCCAGTGGCAAGAAGGTTAAGGCCTTACCATATGCCTATTGTAAGTGAAAGAACTGCGCCCACATAATTTGTAGTTTACAGCAAATTCTTGTAAATAAAAGAATGTTGGCATCATTGTTTGATTGATGAAAAATTCTTTTATTTTATGGCGAAAGAACAGGGCTCGCCAACGGTGAGACGGAGCCTTCTGCATCCTGTTCCAGATCTTCCAACAGCTCCACCTCTTCTTCATCAAACTCATCCGAATAATCAGCATATGTCTCTTGGCTCTTCCTATAGCTAGTAACATCGCCACTTGCTTCAGAATGAGCAGGATCGAATTCAAAATCGTATTCAGGTAACTTTGGTGATTGTCCTCGACTTTGTTGTTGTTGTTGTTGTCCGAAATCCAATGCCCTTGAAGAAACCCGACGAGGCTGTCCAAACATAGGTTCGGAGGAGGAGGATGTGCTTGAGAAAATGTTTGTGTTCGGGAATATTGGCCTATTCTCTTTATCTTCATCATCCTCTTCATATTGACTATCCTGCGACTGTGGAGTGCCTTCCCCATCTCTACCCCCCTCATACTCATATCCATATTCATCGTCATTGATTTCAGAGGAGTTACGACTGTTTTCTTGATCATATTCTTGATTATAGTCCTCATCCTCATTATACTCTTCATCCTCTTTTTCGTTCAGCTTGGCACCGTCACCACGCTCATTTTGACTATAATCTTTCCGATAATTATATGCATTGGCTCCATTGTCACTGTCATCATCCCCTAATATAATAACCTCGTCATCATCTTCAGAGCGATTCTTTCTCTTCGATGTCTTGCTCTTTGCTAGCTCCTGTTCTTGTGTTGATGGCTTCTTCATGAAGGCTGTGAATGGATTGACAGATGAAGAACGCGAGTCTTTTTTGGAAATACTATCACTTTCAAATTTAGCTGAGCCTCGAGCTGAGAATCCTCCAGTCCCTGAGCCAAATGAAGATCCGGTTGCAAATCCAAATGCTGCTGCCGTACCCATAGATGAGGCGCCAAACATGGCTTTATCGGCCGTACTTTCATTCGAATTTACGCCTGAAAATGAGACTTTTTTAGAAGCCGAAGCGCTATCGACTCCTGGTGACGTAGCCCTAAAGCTAAAACTACTAGCTTCTCTATTAGAAGGAACACTTTGAGAAGCCGACGAGAACACTGATTGTGGGCCGAACTTTTCGTCTTCTTTGCTTTTTGTTGCGAAGCTGGCCTGTCCAAAGCCAAAGCCAAAGCCAAAGGCAGGGGGTGCTTTAGGCACGCCAGGAGATGCAGAGCTGACAGGTGACTGGCCGAAACCGAAACTACTGCTCGAAGAGGTATCCCTTGATGTTGTTAACTTGGCAGCATCTGACGATGCAGACGTTCCAAAACCACCAACATTGGGAGATGAAGACGCTGAAATCCCAAAATTAGAGCTGGCCCTAGTTGATTTAGCAGGCGATGTTGCAAGTGTAGGGACAGTTGCGGTGTTTGACTTGGACATTGAAAATGAAAAAGTAGGCGGGGCGGTGCTTATATTGTTGCTGGTCATTGCCGATGAGGTCGGGGCCTCGTTAGAAGCAATTCCGAATGGCGATTTCGAGGCGCTAACGGCAGCAAACGGATTGGCAGGGAGCGTTGTATTTGACAATGGTTTCAGAGTATCTTCCTTCAGAGTTGACACAGGAGTGTTAAAAATACTTCCGGAAGATGGTTTGGCTGAGGAAGATCCAAAGGCGAAAGTGGATGGAGACATTGAGGAACCTGCCTTGGTGTTGACTGGGATTCCAAAATTAATTGTAGGCGAAGTTGTATTGAGTTTTGATGGTGCACCGAAACCAACTGTTGGATTAAATGGTGTGCTAGATTTGGAAGGGGAGTCAGACTCAGATAAAGGTGCAGAGATGCCTGTCTTTTCCGGAACGGACTTCTCTGAGACTAGGCCTGCACTTATAGGTTTGGCAGCCTTTGTTGATGTCGGAAATACTGTCGCGAAAGCAGTGTTGCTTGGCGCCTGATCTTCATCATTATTGGAGTCTTTGTGCACAATTGCCAAAATCTTTTCTGCAACGGTTTGTGGACGAGCATTGTTACTTGGACCCGCCTTCGCCTTAACCAGAGACACAGGGGGCGACAGGTCTATAACTGATGAGTTCTTCAGAACTGGCTTCTTCTCGGCTGAAATTAAGTCTTTATCATCATTCGAGACGGATTCTGTAGCTGAAATCTTACGCTTCAAGACAGACGGTGATTGCCCAATCACGCCTTTTCCATGTGCTGCTGCTGTCTTTGTAATATCCATTTCCTTAGCTGTTTTCTCTGCTACTAGAGATTCTGCCTTTTTTTCCTTTTCCTTATTGACCCAATACTCCGCGTTTTCTTTCCTGATTTGTGCACGCTCCTCCATTCTACGTTTTTTTGCAACTTCCGGCGGCTCTGTTCCTTTCCACTCTAAAAATCGCTTCACCTTGACATGGTTTGGCAAGTCATTCCATTCGACACCCTTGTACTTTTCAATCTCAAGATACTCATCTAGAGATGGAAGCGGGGTCTGCTTTGGTACATCGTTATTGAGGCCTGTAGATTCTTGAAGGATCGCTAATGGGGCAGCTCGGCGAACAGAACCTCGAGGTATGGATAATTTGGTCCTTTCCGATGATGAGGTTGATGCCTTTGCGGGTAGATTTTCAGATTGGGCGGTAGCTTTAACAGGGAAAATATCTGTAAATGCTCCGTTCTTAGGGATGTCGGAGGCTGATTGGGGACATCTTGTTGGTTAGTATACTCTTGCACTTTTTTTTAAAAATTACGACAGAAGATCAATGGGGAATTTTTTCTTTTTTAAAAAATATAAAATAAAAAATTAAAAAAAAAACTTACGAATAATAGAGTCCATAATGAGTAGACAGCAATACTCTGCCTGCTTATACGTCAAGAGATGGCCTCTTTGGCGTCTGAAGAATTCCTCCAAGAATTCAATATTATGGACAGGATGCATACCAAACTTATCCAAATTAATGGGCGTATCATTCTTATTCTCTTGCTCATATTTTCCTACTGGCTTGGGTTCTTCAGGCTTAAGTGCATCCTTAATTCGTGAGGGCTTGGGAGTGGCGATCGGTGGACAGTCCACAAAATGCTCTCCGGAGGACGTCGAGGGAAGTTTGATTGAAGGGCTAACGGATCGGCTCTGCATTGGCGAAAACTCGATATCCTCAGGCACCGCAAGCCCGGACTCAAATGGTTGAGGTGAAGGGCTTCTACGTGTGAAGGCAATAGAGTTGGTGTTTGACTTTTGCTTCTCAATTTCGAGATCCTCTTTCTGTTGTATCTGATCAGCAGCAAGCTCATGCTCCTCCTCGTTCTCATCAATGGCATCTGGCGATTCTGGTGGGTAATATTTTACTGTATCTGCAGTCTCCTCAATGTTATCGTCGTCTGAGTATGAGTAGACAAGACCTTGGGAATAGCTTGTCTCGGCCTCATAGTCGTCAGCATCCTCCTCATCGAACTGAACAGTCGAATGAAAGGTTTGGTCCTCATGCTCTTCTCTCGCAGCGATAGTTGTAGATACTTCGTCACCATCATCAACAGCAGGTGAAAATGGATCTTTCGCATCATGCAGCACTTCAGCTGTAACCTCGTCTAAGGCCTCCATTTTTTTTCGCAGAGCCTTTGATTCTTGAATGATTTCATTTGACTTGCGAAGCTCTGCTGCAATACGATCACCAAGCTCACCAGCATCCCTTTCAACTGCCTCGATCTCTTCGGCTTTGTCCTTCTTCGACTGTTTGCTCTTCTTTTTCTTCTTACCCTTTTGATTCGACGGTTCAAGTTTTTGACTATCATCTTCCTGCTGGATCGATGAGATTTCTTCAGGCGCTGGGCTTGATTCTTTGTTGACAGCATCTGATGTCTGACTTTCTTCCATGGCCTCCTTGTCCATGTTGTTTTCTTCTTCAGCTTTGGCTGCCAGGCTGCGCGTTGTCCTGCGAGTAGGGCGTATGGATGTAGAGGGCTGTAGAGGCTTTCTCCGTGTACGTCTTGATTCCTTACGATCAGCTACAGCATCTGAATCATGTCCACTCAGTGCACTCTCTTCGTGCTCTAAGCGATGCTTTGTACTATGAACTCTCTCCGCCGGGTCCACTACACTGCCTTCGGGTGTTGAAGTAGGTTCTTGTGATGATGCAACTAATGTAATCTAAAAGCGACATGATATAAAAAAACAAAATTGGTTATGGCAAAGATTATAATTTACTAAGCCATTTTTTTAAAGGTAAACAAAAACATCTCTTCAGATCTTTTATGATACCTCAGAGTTTAAAGTGTTAGAGGCTTCAGCCGCATCATCCACAATTTCAATCACGTCTAGTGTTTCCTGAGTAACCCTCACTTCACTCACTTCTGTGGTAGTAGTGGTAGTGGTAACAACTGAATCTAGCTGCATCAGCTCTGCATCAGCTCTCTCTTCGTCAGTTTCACTAAGAACCTCCTGCTGGGTCTCTTGTTCTTCTTCTTGTTCTTGCTCCTGCTCCTGTCCTTGCTCTTGCTCTTGTAATTCTCGTGATGAGGTTGCTTCGTTGTACCATGGATTCAAGAAGTGAGCCAATCGTAGCCTTAATGACGATGTTTTATTCTATTTTTTCAATAATAATAATAATAAAGAGCTTAGTAGAGGAAGATATCGGACAGAATAAATGGCCATATCATTTACATACATGTTGGAGGCCTTGGGAGGAAGTCCTGCGTTTCGATTGCCTGTCAGGTCGTGCATATGGTGTCCTTCGTGTAGCGGAATGCTGCTTCTCGCGACGCGATAGTGGATTTGTTTTAGACCTGTCCATTTAATTGTATTGAGATGAAAGCGTATTCCCGTCGCGTATGGTGTACAGGCGTATTGATGCCAAGAGGAAGTTTAGTGGAAAAAAAAAAAAAAAAAAAAAAAAGATTTATTTTTTTTTTTAACCAGCAAACTCTTCGAGGAATGTACTGATGTGTAATGGTTGCAAATGTGTGAGAACGTGTGAATGAACAATAAAAAACTTTCTCGGTTTACAAAAAAAAGGTCACGGGCTACGTTTTTATGATTGGAAATAAAGCAGGAACACCTCTACCACAAGAACCACTAGCAGAGCATCAGCGCCAGTACCGAAACGTACGGAGTGAACCACGGATAAGAGTAATGTCAAGCCATTGAAAAAGAGCCTACTGAACAGCCGCAAAGATCATCCAAGTATAGCCACATCTCTTAGATAGCTGACTATTTCCCGCCTTTTGTGTCGGCAGCCATACACAATGTTTCCCTGGATGGGATTCAGGCCCCGTAAGAGAGACTTTCCTTGATGACAGGGATGCTTCGACTCTCCAACAATGCGTTGCGGTTATTTTCATGCCCTCAATAAACTGAGAGGGTGTCATGTAACGCGTCGCTGCCCATATCCAAGATCAATTCAGTTTCTGACTAGCGCCGATGTCGCAGTTTCTAGTCTAAGGACATGATCGCAATCTTAATCATCAAACAACAGTGTAAATGTAAGGAGGCTTGATGAGATTAATGGCAAAGGCCATGATCATTCCCAAAGTAAATTTTTTTTAGTTTTTAGAACAGTCTTTCCGATAAAAAAAAAAAAAAAAAAAAGTAGATGGCTTCTGTTAGTTATAAGTGAAGTTGTTTAAATTATAACAGCCATTGAATGTTTGTTCTACTGCAAGTGCAATTAACCAACTTTATCCGACAAATAAGAAAGAAGTGAGAACTCTTAGACACTTCCTGAAGAAAACATTGTAAAATCCATTCGATCTTGATCCTTATACAATTCCACAATACCAATACAACATGATATTGATGTAATTCAGGTACTCAAGGTCATCTGTCCTCAACCGAGAGATGACTTGTAGTCCGACATTTGCTCATCAACATGGTCTCATCCCTCAGTTGATTGTCTGTCAGCTCGATCTATGAAAGGGTTGATCGAGATGATTAAACCTGGAACTAAGGCGGAGAGCAGGACCAAGATAGAGATCAAGTCTGGCCAAAAGCGGGTCAGAAATGACATCGTAGGAGTCTCTAATACTAAAAGCACATGCTGATCAAGGAGCATTGGATTATAGTTCCTGAGGACGAACGCACGAACAAACGCACTTGTTTAGAGCCATGACTCTAAACCAACTTACCAAACGACAACATATCACTATCATTGGCAAACGAGAGCTATTAATGACTACTTGTTCAACTTCGAACCTGAAGAATATCATCAATTACCTATTATACTATCGCACTACTTATGAGGTCTCCGTACAGCAGTCATTATTCGGGAGATGGATTGCCTGGGTAGCGAAAACGTCTTAAGGAGACCCGCTGCCTTGACACTCGTTTATCTTTCTGTTTAGTTACAAGGCCCATCAAATCCATACTCGCTAGAGTAGTTCCTTGGGATAAACCCGTACAAGCCGAGAATAGAACTCGAGCAACAGCTAGCCATCAAATAATAAAATAATAGGAGGAAGACTTTTTACTCAAGGGCAAGGACAAACATATCCTGCTTGTATCTTCATCTCTCTCTTAAATTTTGGCACGAACAATGGCACGAACAATGGCACGTGTGTCATGCATGAAAAACCCAAAATAGTTTATTTAAGTTTTGTCTAAATTGCGCTGTAGAACGGCATAACTTTTTAAATCAATCCCTGCATTTGAAATATCGTTCAAAGAGAAGAAATAGGCTTTCTTTTTGCATGGTAATGTTTGTGATGGGCTATGCCAAGAACGAAGCGATAATTCCTATCCACCCTTCAAGCCTCGGATAATTTAATGCCCATCCCTGTGCAATGGCTTTACAAAAAGGAGGCAAGGAAATAGTGCAGGATATTGTCAGTCAGAGGATCATTGCTGCTAAGCCCCGAGCATGAAGTGACGTCTCTGAATGAGGGCAATTACCATCTCCTATTTTTGTTCTTTCTCCCCTGTTCTGCATGGTAATGCCAATGCATTGGCTATGCACTAATAGAAAATATTCTCCGTCATTTGATCAGTAACTCGATGGACAAAAGCGCCGCGACTGTTTTCAAGTCGAATCATAGTTGCGCCAAGTGCTCGGTTTCCACATCTATAGTATTGAACTGCAGCCATTCCAACGCCTTCACTTTTTGGACAATTGAGGACAGTCTTAGTTGAGGGACGCAGCTCTAATCATTCCTGCTCCAATATAAATAGCTCTTCCTGTGCCTCTCTCTTTTTCCTTAAACCTTTAAACCTTCAAGACCACAACAAGGTACACAGCCAGCCTCCTTATCACTTCTCCAGCTTCCTCCCATCATTGCTAATGTTCTCTCATTCTCTGACTATTCTTTTATGATTAAAAATGAAGCTAATGTACTGTCCACTTTACAATATGATATTCTCTTCATATCGATATAGCTTACAACATGTTACGAAAGACTCTCTTGGCCATATTCATTCTTGCCTCTGTTGCGAGCGCTGACATTCCCGGTGTCAGGCGAGATGGTAGCGGTTTCCATATCGACTATGGAACCAAGCTTTATCCTTGCACTGTTGGCAAAAACTCGTGCAAGTCAGATGGCCCATGCCAAGCTCATGAAATGGCAACTTCCTTTTATGCATGTGGTGACTCGGGATGGAGTGTGTGCACCGGATTTTGCAGGGGTAGACCCTAGTCAAGGTCATGGGGTGTAGCCTAGATGTTGCCTTTAGTATTCAAGATATCTGAATAAATTTCCTGTTGAATAAACAAAGTATAAAAACTCAAAGAAGCTGATTTGACCCAATTCAATTCAAGCAATCAAAGACCAAGAAATGCCTAGCTGCTGGACGATGCTCATTTATAAGCTGTAGTAGCTTCATGAAGAAGAAAGAATAACATAGCTTCCAAAGGCCTGTATTTTATATCCATTTCTAAGAAACAAGACATGAACATGCTATTGGATTGTAATGCGATCCCATATAGGTCTCACGAATGACTTATAGAATTACCAGGAGGGCTAGGTCCTTTGTCCCTTCGCACGGAACCTTTGAGTACTGGCTATTCTAGTCTTGACGTATTGTATATGTCTTTTTTTTTTTTTTTTTTTTTTTTTTTTGGAGAATTCATTCTATATATCACCGTAAGAATGGAAGTGCTCAGTTTCAGATCTATCACAAGAACCCCTTCTCGAGATATCGAGGTAGCGATTTTTATGTTCATGCCTCATAATATATAATTGACCTTTTGCGCGTACCGCTTTTGAGCCCACCAGCGTGCTTTTGACGAGAATCTAATCATTGCCGGCAGGGTCATTGACCAACACACATGCATGCATACGCATGTATTATTGGTAGATTAAAGGAGGCCATTGACTGCACGATAAATACGATGGATAATAGTTGTGGAGTTAAATGGGAAGTGTGGATCTATTTTGTAGTACAACATCACCCGAGTATTTACCGGTTTTCTTCTAGGCTTGACTATACTCATCTCATTCATTAGATCAGTATTTCATATATTTTTAAATACTATCGAATGTATTGGGTCAACTATTTTACAGATGGCCAAATATCGCGAATTCAAACAACATCTTTTACTTTAAAAATACATGAATTTACTGACCAAACGAAGAAGGAATAGTTTGGCTTTTTCTTTTTATTTTGTACGCGCACAAACTTTGGACTTTTTATTACAGAGGTTGGCATTAGAGACTTATACCGATGCCATTTTTGGTTAATACGCTATCAATTACAAAAGATTTATTAAGTTATAGGATTATAATTGACAGAAACCTCTCTAAAAGAGATATCGGTATGAGTCTCTACCCAAAAAAGCAATGCCAAAGGAAGTTTTTGCTGATACAAAAGATCGACATGTCTGTAGAAGACATAAATTTTTGGTGGCAAAATTTCGAAGCCATTACACCTGACAGTAACAGATCTTTGAAGAGTCATGATGCCTTCTTACACACCGTTGCTGTAAGTTTTGTTATCATTTATATTGGCTTCAGCCACCTCTACATCACATTCTCTCACATCTCCACCATTTCAGTAGCCCGTATTTCAAGATACATTACCATCATGTGTCTGTTCCTTCCCGCCTGTTCTTCGCATGAGTTCGTCCATAGAACACAGTTGACATCACATACGCGCAAAAATAAAAAGATAGTTACTGTTTTTTAACTCGAGTTCAATTTAGTTAGTTTAGAAAACTGAATCAGTATAATAGATAACCAAACACTCAGCTGTAAACACCCGTACGCTTAACTAGAAGTCTTTAGTTATTAATCGCCGCACTAGGCCTTCATCTCTCCTTATTTAACAACAATTATCGCGCCTTGGGGTACGAAACACAACACAAAAGGTGTATTTAGGGATTAAGTTATAATGTATGAAAAAAAAAATGGTGCCACATTGGGCAATGTGAGGGCTTCCAAAAGACCGACGGATAGTGTAATTTATTGGAGAATGAAACTGCCAATTATCAATATAGAAAAATAGATTGCTATGTACATTAATGAAAAAGTGGTGTTGCTAAGAATAGCTGACGGTACTTGGGTTCCGTGAACTTTCCTAAAGAAAGAGCCGGCTGCAGGCAATTAACCAGACGATTGCTCGGTAGGTTCGTCAACAATCTTATTCGAACCACCACCATGGCTAGCTTGGCCACCTTTTCTACCAGCTTCGCGTGCTCTCTCGCTGCCAGGCTCGAATTTTCCGCTGGAAGCTTGACCGCCCTTAGATGCAATAGAATGCTGTATCAAAGTGAAAGATGGGTTTTTAGGAGCATGAATACTTCAGCTCAAACGAGTAAGGTCTAAAATCGCATTTAAACAAAAATTAACTCACCTGCTTAGCGGGATCCATGGAAGCAAAACCGCCGGTGTGGCTAGATTGACCACCTTTGCGAGCGATCTCTTGAACTTCTTCCTTGGGACGGTTTGCAAAATTGCCAGGGTTAGGATTGTTTGTCATTTTGGATAATGGGGTGATTACTCGAAAGGAGCGTTTGATACTTTGTCTAAATGGATACAGTTTGGATATATGCTTTAAATGAATGGTTTTTTGTTACGGTTGTCAAGGATGAAGACCACTCATTTAAATACCTTTTGGAGATGCGACTTTTTGACCGCTGTTATAATAGTTATGTCAGCGCTCCCACGGAAGAGAGAAGCTGATGGAATCACAGTCTTTAGTGTTGAACGTACACATGTCTCAGTTTCGACCGCGACAAGAGTAATGAGCGCGCATATCTTTTTTGACATTGGTAAACGACATTCTGATGCATTGCCGTCCTATTTCCCTATCATTGCAATGTTTCACTTGTTTTCCCACATCTACAGTACACAAGCCACCACTGATAATAATAGTTAAAACGGAACTGTTATATACGTATATACTTTAATTCATTAATGCTTATTTCGTAATTGTGACAGTTACCCAAGGATAATTTGGCTGCTATCTTTGTTTCAGCACGCGTTTTGCACTAATCTCCTAATTTCAAGTTAAATCAGTATCCAGCGCTCGTTGGTGCCATAGTGTATCAACGGCACTAATCGCCTACTTTACGCTACTTGGATGTAGAAAAACTTTACATCAACAATCTTATACCAATAGATGATTGGATAGAATATTCTGGCTTTGTCATTATTAAGACTAGAATGTGGCTAAGTTGATGTACGTGAATTTTTGATGTGTAGGCAATAGAATACGAAATGGAGCGAACTGTCTCCCGTAAAAATAATTAATAGGCTATGAAGCTTTCACAGAGGCATTGGCTGGGGACAAGGAAAGCTTGATGAGCCAAATATCATTGACGATAATATTGAGAACAAATTCCCTAGTAATAATAATAATTCTGGATTGGCTCCCTCAACCCTACTTGATATAACTTGTGCCAATCCTGGCTTGGTCTCATGTACTGTACCTACTCAACAACACTTGGAGATGATGGATATTAGCAAGGGATGCTTAAAGTCTTGATGCCCTTTGAAGGATGAGCGAGGTTATCGTTATCCCCGCTTCTGTCCTCTGATAATTTGCTGTGTGCAGAGATTCATGCTGCGTGCTCTTTTTGGTTAATACTTTTCAATTACAAGAATTGTGTTAAGCAAACCAAAAAGAGCCA